TGCATACATTACAGAAAGGAGGGGTTGAGGGAGGAGTTGTGGTGGCAACCTGAGTGTCCTGTCACCTGGCTGGTTCCCTTCTCCCCCTCCCCATGAGTCATTTTCAGAAGACAAAAGGTAGTCGCAGTTTCCTGCCCCCCTGAGGGAAGATCTGATCATTGTCCTTTGTTCCAGTCCATGCTGAATCCACTCCCATATGGAAGTTCTTTGTGATCTTGATTGTCTTCTGTCTAGGACCATCAGGGTTGGCATAGCAACTGGGCAGGACACCTGTGGATGTGCTGGGATGTTCAAGGGATTATGGCTGGCCTGTATCAAACCTTCCCCATTTTGTAGTCCTTCCTTCATGGAGTAAAATAAAAGTGGAACAGTGCAAATCCGATGTATGGTTGATTTTCTATGAATTTATAACAGAAGCGTAGCGTATGTAGTGTGTGAGTGTGAGTGTGTGTGACGTTTGTACAAACTGAATGATGGGGGGGGGGTTTTCACGCCCAGCCCTCTGAGCGTCCAGCTTTGCTGTGCCAGAGATTTGGCACCGATACTATTAGTATGATTACTCATTAGTTGCTTTTCTAAAAAAAAAAAAGTGACCCAAAGCGACTTATAAATGCTTAGCAACTTCTTTCATCTCAACGTTGTATGAGGGCTCCTCTTGGTCACGCGGATGAATTCTGATGCATTTATTTGCACCTTGTACAAGCAAGCAATTGAGAAATAAGCTCCAGGTCACAGAACTCTTCTGCCGAGTCTTTGCTCTGCTGATTGAGCTGAATTAGGAATTCATCCCCCCCTCCCCGGTGATAACATGGAAGCAGATTAAGCACTTTGCCTGCTCCAGTGTCTGCTTATTCCCTGGTACAGATTGCTCCTAACTATCTCCCCAAACACCTTATGGAAAGCAATTGATAAGTGGTTATCTTAAAAGGGCAGTATAATGGGTTTCCACGAGGCTATTAAATTACATTTTGCCTTTGGGCTCCAGAAAGCGAAGCTTTTACCCAAGCGTTTTGTATCTCTGGGTTGCTGCGCGGTGCATTTGGTTGTGTACTTAGATTGGCTAGCACTTATCTTCAAGGTTGCCGCTGGCCAATACACGCACAGTATAGCAGAAAAGCAAATACAGTACTAAGCAGCAAAGGTCTCCCTTGAAAGCAGAGCACAGTCCAGGGGTCAGCAAACTTTTTCAGCAGGGGACCGGTCCACTGTCCCTCAGACCTTGTGGTGGGCCCGACTCTATTTTTTGGGGGGAAATTAACGAATTCCTATGCCCCACAAATAACCCAGAGATGCATTTTAAATAAAAGCACACATTCTACTCATGTAAAAACACGCTGATTCCTGGACTGTCCGCAGGCCGGCTTTAGAAGACGATTGGGCCGAATCCGGCCCCTGGGCCTTAGTTTGCCTACCCATGGAAGTGGAGACAAGAGCCTGAATCCAGCTCAGGCTGCTACAGTTTGTGGGTCTTTTATGGTGTCTGCTTGTTGCATTGGGCTGCTTGTTGGATATAGCCTGCCCTGCACTGAATTTGAATGCAATAAGGGATTTTGTTCTTTCAGCTAGCAATACCATTGTAGTAGAGTATTTTAATGAATTGTTGGCTATGAAACATCTCATAATGATATGCAGCATCAACTTTGTATCGGATGCAGATACAGGTGGAATCTAGACACATTAAAAAATGCTGTGAAAATGCTTTAAAAAAAAGTTTTAAAACATATATTGAATTTGCAGTTGGCTCATCATCTAGTGTCACTTTGGATAATGCACTTAAAACATATTTGCAGCTGTATAGTTGAGCACAGACAGGGATACAAATCTGCACTTTAAAGGGCTTGTTGGAAAAAGGAGGTATTCAGAGTACCTTATCAAGAGGTCAAAATCACTAGCTAAAGAATGTGAAAGTAGAGAATGTGTACCTTAAAGGTAAAGGGACCCTTGACCATTAGGTCCAGTCGTGGCCAACTCTGGGGTTGCGGTGCTCATCTTGCTTTATTGGCCAAGGGAGCCAGCATGACTAAGCCGCTTCTGGCAAACCAGAGCAGCGCACGGAAACGCCGTTTACCTTCCCGCCGGAGCGGTACCTATTTATCTACTTGCACTTTGACGTGCTTTCGAACTGCTAGGTTGGCAGGAGCAGGGACCGAGCAATGGGAGCTCACCCCGTTACGGAGATTCGAACCGCCGACCTTCTGATCAGCAAGTCCTAGGCTCTCTGGTTTAACCCACAGCGCCACCCACGTCCCATATGTGTACCTTAATGGTACCTTAATGCCCTTGCATCCGCACTAGAGATAAGGCGCACTTGTGCCCCATGCCTAGATTTACCCCCATTCTAGATGGCAAGGGGAAGTGCTGAAGAATGGCAACTCTTGCATCTTACAGAAACATTTTGAAAACACACTCCCAAATTGTAAAACAGGGGCAATTATTTTGCTAGAGGCAGCTAGCTAAAACTCCAAACTGTTCCTGGTATATAGGGACAGTTGGGAGCACATGCACACAGTGAATCTGCATAGTGTGAATGTGCTAAACTTTGAGCAGTCAGGCTTTAACCACGTGCTATATACACATCAGAAAGTGTCTTATCCAAAACAGGTGCCGCCCAAGAGTGTGCTTTTGGCAGGATCCCGGGAGAGAACAAAACTTCAAGTAAGTTTTTGATATCTATTCTCTGCCCTCCAATGGAATTTTGCTTTGCCAGCTTTGGCACTCCTCCACTTTTATGAATACATCTGCAGAATGTGCTTTCAAACAAAAATGCATTCAACAGGTGCCCGTATTATATTGTATTATTAAAGTGGGATACTTTCTTGCTTCCACTGTTAGGCTTAGATCAGGGTGGAATTTTTCTGAAGTTATCCAAGGTTGACTATTTAGTAGTAGTTCGTTGTCTGATTAATGCAACAGTTCTTTAAATCATTTACACGCAATGCTAAGCCACTAAGTGTGAATGTTTTAACCAGTTTGTTTAAAAAACCACAAGTTATCTCACAGGCTAGCAAATGAGCCACAGCTTAGTTTTCCAAAGCTTGGTTTCAGCTGCCCTTGCCCCGTGACTCTGTAGCATTGGGTAGGGTGGCCAAACAAATCATAGTTAAACAAGACTCAGCACAAAAGTCCTTGCATTGGCAGAGCTTTTTAGTTGGATATTGGTGCCACATGTTGGGTTGTTTTAAGAAAACATCGTTAGCATTCTGAGCTGGTTTCAGAAGTTGAAACAAACCACCTAAGCTTGGGCTAAACAAACCACAGCTTAAGTGTTATGTGCAAATCCTGTCTAGTTTCAGGGACTCTTTCCCGAAAGTTGGCTGCTGAGAAGGAACTTTCTCTCTTGTTAAGTGAAGTCTTTTGCTGTGTCTGTTGCTTTAGTTCGTGGATCCTTATGATGCTGATGATGAAGGCAACTCCAACAGTAGTTTGGGCTCCCTTGAGTTGAGTAGGGTGATCTTTCTGAAGCATCTGAGCACAGAAGACAGTGTTCTTTCAGAAGGCCCAGAATCCCTCTCTGCCTTCGCACCCATGGAAATCCCTCTAATTGTAACTCGTGAGGATGAACCTCAACTGAATGAAGCAGCTGAAGTATTGCAGATGTCCACAGAACCTTCCTGGCTTCCTGGGCCAGGTCATTCAAAGCATGCTGTTCTCTCTAAAAAATCACCTTGTGATTTTGTGCTACACCCGATGTTGGCCGATTGTGATAATCTGCGTGAAATTCTTAAGGTCAAGAGGAAGCAAGGGAGGGCTGTCCTAGACAGTGCTGGAGAAACGCCAAGGAAAAAATTGCGGATGACTTGAGTTCGTGTAGCTTAACTGCAATCTACCTATGTCTGTGGGTGAAAACAATGCCTGTTGTTAAAATAAATTAGGTGGAGCTCACAAGTGTGCAAGTCTTTTTAACATTTAAGCACTTCATTGTTCTTGCAAGGCCACATTACACAAAAAAGGTAATTGCAAAAGTTTTGGAAAGTTAGGAACACGTAGCACTAAAAAGGAAGTTCATACTAGAAGATGATTTCTGTCCCATCAGTGAGGAAGCAGTGTTTGTGAGAAATTTTTTATACTGTTTCTCCACGCTAAATAGTCTGCACAATAATAGTGTTATGAACTGCTGGTTTTTGGGATGTCAAGGGCAAACATGGCATGATTCTGTCCTGCCTGAAAGCAGGCCACACTATACGCTGGTCATTATTTGAAGACCAAATGCTGGACTAGACAGCCTTGTTACATCAAACTAACCATGTATGTCCTAATCCCCAACTGACTGACTGCCTTGCTACTCCTGGCTTTGCTAGTGTCAGTCGCCTGGTAATAAAGGCAGTTTGGAAGATACCAAATCGCAGAGAATTTACCAAGAACAATTGTTATCCCTTTAGTGCGGAAATCTCAATAACACCATGCATTTCTTGCACCCCACTGATATAGCAGTATTCACCAGCCCTTGTGCCAGAAGCAGCTGATGCCCCCTTTTCCCACTTAACTGAGCTTTCTTCACCTTGCTAACTTGATGTGTGCAATAGGCCATAGTGTTGTTTTAAATTATTTAAGTGCCATCTTATTATTGCGAGCCTCCCTGAAGGTGGCTCACAGATTTTAGATAACGAAATAAATAGCTCTAGAAAAGTGGCCCCCAATCTGTTGCCCTCCAGTTGTTTAGGACTACAACAATTCCCAACCATTGGTCATGCTTACTGGGGTTGATGGGAATCCAACAAGAGTTGGAAGGCAAGCTTGTTCTAGAGCCTGTTTTGAAATACTTACTGTAAAAGCTGAATTGAAGGAATAAATTTATTCCAAGCTATCAGGTTGCCAAATGGCAGACCACATTCTACAGATGGACTATAACTCAAGCTCTTCTGCTATAGAGGCTATTTCAAGATAGGATTGCAGTACACTTACTTTTTGATTTTAGCTTTGTGTATATAGGCCTCTCTCTTTTGTTGGTTTATTCTCATGACAAGTGAATAAGGCACTGAAAACCCCCCCACAAAACAAGAAATCGTGCTGTAAAGTTTTATTTAAGCATCTGACATTAGTACACCAATCTAGAACAATCCAAAAACAACAAATCCTTCTGACAGTCTTTCCAGGTACTTTTCAAACATAAATCTTTCTTAGCCACCTCTATACAGCCATCTGAAAACTTAACTATGCCTTGCAGTCCAACAGGCAACATCTAAGCACGTTTCAGATACATCACTCTTACTCTCCTCTACATAACCATTTGACAACATAACTATGCTTTGCAGTGTTAAAACAGCCTTCTAGAACTAGATTCGAGATGCAAAAATGCTTGAATGCTGGTTACAGGTTCCTTTTTACTCAGTACACAGGACAGCCACGCCACGTTCATAGAAGCTACGAGGGTCTTCCTTGGTAGCGATTTCAAAGTCAACCGTGAAGATCAGATCAGCACGAGTGAAGTTCAGATAAACAGGTAATGTCACCTGCAAAACAAACAGGTTCAGTACAAGGTGAAGAGGAGGAAGTAAATCACGAGGAGAGCATAAACAGCATGTACGACTGAAAAGCACGAGACTCAACAGATCACATTACTTACCACATTAGACTTTTTATCAGCATTTGTCTGTTTGATCCAGCGAAGCTGAGTTATGGGCAAGACCGTTGAAATAGCATTGGAAAGCGACAGCTTGTTGTTATTGCATGTTGCTCCCTGAAGCTTCAGGCCTATTGAGTTAAAAAGAGAGGGATGTTTAAATGTCAGCCGTGAAGTGTATTTAAGTCTGTTATTTTGTGGATTCACCATTTCATATAAAGTCTCCTTAGAAGTGAAGTACATAGAATTGTAGAGTTGGAAGGGACCCCGAGAGTCATCTCAACCAAAGTAACTATGGCAGATGGCCACCCTATCTCTGCTTAAAAAACCTCCAATGATTATGTGTTCACTTCAGGATGCCTGGATTTCATACTTGCATGGCAGCTAGATGCAGTCTTGGAAATTTGTCTGATCTTGGCACGGACAGAATGCAATGTCACCTAACTGCATACATGAAGTCAAAGGAATCTGCAGATACCTGGAATCTTTGCCACAGCTACTGTGCCACACACCTGTCTCCATTAAAGACCCCTGAAGAGGTGCAAGATGCAGATGTGCCACCCATACCCCCAAAATCTCAATGGAACACCACTTCAGCACAACTGAATTCATGTGCAATCTAACCTCATGGTATTTTGCACACAAAATTACTTTGCCACTGTATACTCTGTATGTTGTGTTAACTTTTACACCCATTAAGAAACTGGAACGTTTCAGCATGAAGAGTATTTCCTCAATGTCACCCTTGAGACGGTTGCTCCAACTAACCTGTTACTCCAAAACTGCAAGCATCCAACACTGCGTTCTGAGTTGTTGTAACGTTGACTTCTAGGCAGAGTTCTTCAAGAGACCAGCTGTTGGCTTGAGCCACGTACTGCCTTGTAGCTGTGATGTAGGCCTCAGGTACAAATAGGCCTCCCAGGCAGACATGGATGTTCTGTTAAGCAAATCCACAGCTGTTTGTTTGACACAACTTGATTCATTGGATCAGTACCAGAGGCCTGCAGGTGAAGACCTGGTGAGCAGGGCTGGGCGATATTAGTGTTTCAACATCACGGTGTATCCCCAGCCAAACACCATGGTTTGGCGATATACCGCGATGTTGAAAAAACAAGATGCATTGGCCTCTGCCTGCAAGACACCAGGTGAAATTGCCCCTGTTCTCACCTCAAGAACTGAGGCGGTTTCAGGCTCGCAGGCTGGGACAATGCAGCTTGTTTGCTGAGGGGAGGGGAGGTTAGGTTTCTTCCTCTCCCCAGCTGAGACAGGCCCAGTGCTCTCAACATTCATGCACAGGACGTCGGGGCTCCTTTAACTGCTCGACTGAGGCAAAGGGCAGCCGCACACTCCTCAGTCGAGCAGATTAAAGATGCAGAGGGAGGAACAGACTGTATCAATGCCTCTCTGATACAGCTTGTTTCTCCCTCTCCGTCATATGAGGGCAGAGTGGGATGGCGGTTTCACTCAGTGATATTACCACTGGTGAAACTGCTGTCGCTCCTGAGTCCCTCTGCTAGCAGCGCCTGTTGGAGGAAGAAACTCTCGACTCCCAGGCCTGCTAGTGAGTCATATACAGACTTATTCTTATCTCTCTTTGCCCAATCATTTTAGGTGCACACTCTGCCTTCCCTCTGACCCTAGAAGCTACTGGCCTCACCAGCCCCACAAAATCCCATGGATTTAAGCAGATCTGTGTGAGTGGAAATACAGACACCCACACTTCCTTAGCAGCACGCTAAAAATGAGGATATGCTATAGTCAACCCCTTCTCAAACAGCATTATGAGAATATGAGATGTGATCCATATGGTGACAGCATTGTACATAACTAAAAAAGTGGTGCTTGGAAAACTATGGAAGAGACTTCATCAGTAGAGGGGTTACAGAACCAGGGCTTCACTGCTTCCCTAGCAACCAGCAGAGTGTATTTATTATCCTCTATCTTCTCCAAGGAACATGCTTTTCCACCCCTGATGTAGTCTTCATATTTCACATAAAAGTCAGAGGAATTCAAACTCATCTCATGTGTATTCTCACATTACTGGTACTGAATTCAACCACTACGAAACACTCTATTGCCTACCTTCAGTTCTTTTGCTCCACCTGCAGCAGCTGCCTGGGAGATGCTCTGTAGCTGCTTAATGCGCTCACTGAAGTCAGACACCCACTGGATGACCGTCATGCCAGCAGGCACAGTGTAGTGAGACCAGCTGCGAGGCAAGATGCCTAGAGAGAAAGTATAAAAACGCTGTACTTTTTGTGAGCAAAAGTCTAGTCACAACTGGATGGTCTCACTCCTTCATTGATAGCCACTCTATAAGCCAGGGGTTGTCAACCTGGTCCCTACTGCCCCCTAGTGGGCGTTTCAGGATTCTAGGTGGGTGGTGGTGGGTTCTACAGCACAAGCTGAATCCATTGAGCACTGGTGGGCGGTAAGGAAATTTTACCATCAAGAAAGATGCATTAGTGGCCGGTAGGTATAAAAAGGTTGACTACCCCTGATATAAGCAAACACTGAGCACATTTTTAAAAAGCACACCAGGTGGTAATTATGGCAATTAAATTACTTTATCATGGCATTTATGTTAACTTCTAAACACTCAACATTTACACTCAAAACTCTTGTGTGTAACATGTAAAGATACTAAATTAAGCACCAGCGACTGCAGAATCTATGGATGGGATTCTGTAACGTGAAAAAAACAACCAACCACCAAGCTGGACTTATGATTTGGCAGCAGGTTTAGTTGAACGTAGGTACTTGGTTTAACCCCATCCCATAGGCACAATACCACAGCTAAGAAAGAGACCCCCTTAGACCTTCCATTTTCTTTCAATAGCAGCAGCATCTTAATTCGGGAAGCTGTGTGTGCATTTTAAACAATAGTTTAGAATAGCCCACCTTTCACTAGTTCATTAATAAGCGTCCGCAGATAGTTGGTCTGCTTCTTCTTCCCCTCGCACACTTGAACCACATCTGCAAGATCTTGACGAACGTCCTGAAGGAGTTTGGCTCCCATCTTCACTTCTCTTTCAAAGAATCTGAACAAAGGATCCTTGGTTTCCAAAGGAAGAGCAATGTGTTAGTAAGTGGAAAAAATCCTGGCAACTGAGTTGTGAGAGCAGGAATATCCCAGCACTATCCTTCCTAGAAGCACCATCAGTAACTTTACACATTTTGATTTTTGAAACCAAGACAATTTTGTCAATTAAGTATCACCATCATCTAAGACAGTATTAATATGATTTTGCAAACCTTCACCCTACATCAGGGCTGGGGAACCTGTGGCCTTCCAAATATGGTTGGACTCTACCTCTCATCAGCTCCAGCCAGTATGGCAAAGGCTAGGGATTATGGGAGTTGTGGTCCAGCAGAATCTGGCCAGAACAAGTTCCCCAGCTCTGCTGTACATACTAGGTTGCGTGTCCCACCTTGATATTTTCCACGGTACGTTTCAGGTGGTTCAGTGTCTGTGGGATGAGGTGGAGCCAGTTGGAAGCCGTGGTGTGCAGTGTTCGCATCCAAGCTGGCCGACCATCCGAGGTGGAGTCTGTCCGTGCCTTCTTCTCGGTCTCAGCATAGGCCAAGTCATCCTCATCCTCTAGCATTTGCATTTTCAGCATTTTACTGATCATGTCAATACCTGAAATGTACAGGGTATGAAATGCTTAACCATTTTAAAAAGGTTAAAGATTAACATACGTGTGCTAGCTGTAAGCAGGCTAACTTTAATCCAAACTTGAGCTTTGAAAGCCCTGCATATAGTTTAGGAATTTGATCATGTGCTATTAGTCGGTTCACAAATAACATTCAGCCACATATCCTCAAAGTGTGGTCTTGACAACTTCAGCTCATTAGATTGTGAGTAAAGTCTTGGCTTTCAGGATTCATCCCTGCTGCAACACTTCAACCTCCCTATCATCTGGCTAAATCTGGTTCATGAGATTCATGCTGCACTAAGCCTTTAATTTTTTAAAACCCAGCTAATTCCGTTGTAACAGATGCAACATTTGCAAGCTTCTTTAGAGAATCTTGTGTGGTTTAGCAAATATTGTTTAGATTCCGGTGAACAACGAACTACTGAAGTGAAGCATTTTTTTACCCTGGGTGGTGAGAAGAACCTTCTCGGCATTGTTTGGCAGCCCGAGCCAGGAGGGTGTTTGCGTATCTGGCAGCAACTCAACCCACTGGACAAATTCTTCACGCCTGTCGAGACAAAACAGCAGGTAATGACCACGTGGTCCACAGCACTGAGCAGTTTGAACCAACCTGGCCCAGACTTACTACTAAAGGCAGAACTTAAGTACCTGATTCCATCTGGCATCTGGATGTCTTTATGACCGTCAACCTTGCAGGCCAATTTGAATTCACTGTCAAAACTTGAAGTGGTGAAGAGGCGCTCCAGGAAACTGTTCAATAAACGCTGGTCAAATTCGTTATCAATGCGTCCTCCATAAATCGACTGAGCCATCAGGGTCTTCAGTGCAGACCAGGGGATCTTGTCAGGAGAGATATTCTGCCGGCCCTGGAGGGGTAGACAGTTTTGTTGTAATGGAGGTAGCTTTTGGATAGTAAAAGTCTAAAAAGCCAACATTACTACAAATTAAGAACCAGTGTGGTAGGCTGGTCAGCATGTTGGAAGACCCAGGTTTCAAAATCTCGGACTTGGGAGACCCAGGTTTCAAAATCTTGTTTAGCGTAGCCATTTGTTGATCTTGGACAAGTTATTCAGTATTTATCTTTACTTACCACGCATGCTGCCTTGAGCTCCCATTGAGGAAAGGCAGGATATGAATGCGCTTTGCCTACTTGTTACAAATTACTTGTCCTTCATGAAAGCAGTCCAGCCACGTTCCCTTTAAGACAGAGCGGTAAAGTGGAACGCCTGCAACTTCACTTGCCTTTGCCGTGTCATCCAGCCATGTATCCACTGTATCACATGCAGATCTTAGATCAGATTCACCAAACTCGTATTTTTTTGACCAGCCGAGAGGAGCATATCGGAGACGCTCTTGAATGATGGCATGGAACCAAGCAAGAAGGAAATAGAGACGAGCGCGTTCATTTGGTGACTAGGGAGGAGAGAGGGGAAAAAATGTTTCTTCTTCTTCTTACATTGCATTCAAGAGAAGAACTGCATGCTTGAGATTACGAGGAATAAACCCTTGTCCTTACTTTGTACATTTTTTTTAATCTTACGGAGTTACAGGAACACCTCCTGGAGCAAGTTTGCCAAAGGAAACAGGCACAGTGCAGCCTTAGGACTGTGCTAGTGAACACAAGGTATTGCATTTGGACATCGAGTCAGAACAGATGGCCTGGTCGTTGTGGATATTACACGTTTAGGTTGCCTCAGAGAGACTGCCTGAATATTTGTCTGCTTTGTGCAGGCTAGAGGGGCTTACTAAAGCTCTGCACTGTCTTCTCCCATCCTTCCTCAGATGCTTTGCGCTCTACCCGAGTGTCAGGAGCAAGCAGAGGACCAGCACCATTCTCTCTGCAAGGTTGGCGTTAAGGAAACATAGCCTGGGAGGAGCTTCAACTTCTTTCATTTAAATCAGTGAATGGTCAAAAGGCCAGGAGGATGATCTTTCCAATGCAAGAATTAATGAGTAACTGACACTCCCTTTTAGGTGAGAATAGTTGGGCTCTAAACTAAACTCTGATGGATCCCCCCCCACTAGAACTTTTGGGAACCACCATATGCTGTCCCACTAATGCGTTGGCTAACTATAGGATCTGTTTATAATCATCGAGACAGCTTACCTTGCACATTCTGGACACCGGAATGCTGCTGAAGGTTCTCAACATGTTGGCCTTTACCCCGGGGGGTGGTTCAAACACAAAGATTCTCCCAGCCCTCAGCAAGTTCACAGGCACCTAAAACACAGAATAAGCCCCACAATTATGCACTAAAAGATGACCCCCCCCTTTCCCAGACCTCTGCAAAATGACTACGCCAGCTCAAATTCATGCTGAATCTTAAAAAGAGTCACGTTCTAGTCTCAAGAAGTATCTTCATGTTAATAATAATAATAATAATAATAATAATACTAATAAGGAACAGAAGTCACCCACCGGCAGTTGGTACAGGACGAATGCCAGAGCCTCATTCCAATACCAACAGAAGAGAACGGAGGGGAGGGTAAAGAACATCTAGACATTTTTCATTTTGTATTTGCTTTTATCCCCATTTACTGAGGTAATGTATTGAAACACTCAAAAAACCACGTTGAAGTTTTATTTAAATAAAAGCATTGTAGTTTATTTAAATAAAACTTTTTTAGGAAAAAAATCTGCATAAAAGTTAATTTATTATTTTCTATTCATTGCCATTAAGTTGATTTTAGTGAGGAGAAGGTTAATGGATTTTTTAAAAGGCTGGACAGAGGTGTGTGTCTGTGTGGGGGGGAAATACTATCTCTGTGTGTCTGTTTTAAGGCGGCACCCTTCTCCCAGAAACAACAGTGCAGAAAGAAAAGGCTTGCAAAGATCCAGGTCATGACTAGGATTTTGCTTCTGAGCTGCTTACTTTTGGATTTATCTCCATTGTAAGGAAGAGTCTGAAGCAGGCATGAGGCTGAAGAGAATGTAGCTTCTTTTCCAGCTGCATCAGCCATCCAGGCGCCAAGTGGACATTCTTTAGCATGACCCATCTAGAAGAAATGGTTTTTAAAAAAATGGATTAAGAAGTTCCAGTATACTTATTTGTACAATGCCAGAGTAAATGCCAGACAGAGCAGAGCCTACCTGCCAGACTTCACTGCTGTATTGATTGCCTTATCAGCTTGGTTAAATCCTTCAGCGGAACCTGCAAACACGAAGTTTACAATTTAGAGGCGGAGTTTAAAGCTACATTCCGCAGCATTTGGAGTGACAAGGATGCCCAAAGGTCTCACCGATAGCAATAGAGGTGATCTGTGTGTTTTGCTCGGCAGCAAGGTCTTCAACACGCCCACTGGCATCATAGCCGGGCACTGAGCACATCAGCACAGGAGTATTAGGCTTCACCTAAAATCCAAAAAGGGTGGGGCGGGGGAAAGGAAAAAGGTAAAGGAATTAGGGCAGTTATAGGACAAAGCAGGTTTGCTTTTTTTAACACCCACAGGAGCTGATCATTACTCTTCTCATGTTCCGGCAGCACAGGGGGGACTTGAGGGGAACAGTCGCATAAGTGCACGGGATTGTAACTGCACTCAGTAATAAAAGGAGGGATGGAATGCCTTGCACATTTCCAAACAGATCTCTCTTTCTCCCGCTGACTAATGGGCATTTAAGGTAGGTTCCAGATCTAGGTCGAGGTTCAATTCAAACCCCCGTTTTCCAATATAGGCTGAGATCCAAAGGTCTACTTGAGGTGTGCTGGGCGTCTTAGAAAGTGGGGCTTTGTTTGAGCAGCATAACCTGAGCCGTATCACGCACTGCTTCTGAAAAGTCTGCAAAGTTTCAACAGTGTTTATGCTATGTGGCGCTGGGCATTGCTGTTTTAAGATTCAGAAGGCTGAACTCCCCACAGGCACGCAGAACTACAGTCAACCTTTTAGAAAAAGGCATGTTGTAATGCCACATAAAACCACCTTGCAAATTACAAGAGGAGGAAGCAGGGCTGCAAGAACTGCAGCCAACTGGGACACAGCGGCTGGCAGCCTGAGGAAACTCCATCTGCCTTGGTGCCTGCCCATAAAAACAAGTTTAGAGTAGGGTGATGTCAGCAGGTTCCACAAACCCTCTTTGTGAGTGAGAGGCCAGGAGGTATTTCAGAAGGAGAAGGAATTGACACTGGCCTATATTTATTAGTAATTTGTATTAATGTAATATTTGCATATGTAACGGTGCATTTTTCTAAAATCTGTGCTGTTTAAGCTGTCTGCTGTTGCTATTTTAGCTTCCTGTACATCACATAGATTTGTTTTTTATATTAAGCGGTACAGAAGTGGTCTAAACAAAACGGAGATAGAGAGTTTAAGCAGCATGCCTGCAGAAGTTCCACCTGAGCTTCTGTGGAACGGAATGGGTGTGACTTAAAATGCCTACTTGCCTCTGTATCCACAATGTGTGCCAGGTCCAAGGGCTGCTCCATAATAGACATAAAGCTTTCTCCAAGGTTTGTGGAAACAAAATGATGCGCCATTGCCAGTAAGCGATCAGGACGGAAAGCCTGGATCAGGAGCAAGCGATGGACGGCCTGCCCAATGGTTGCTGAGCAGAAGAGAAGGGGGAAAAAAAAGGTGGGGGTTTTAAAAGTCATCAGGTAAAAGGCCTTGCAAAGGAGGACTGAGGGAGTATGCTTCTTCCAGCACCGTTTCCCAGTAGGGGAATAGAGACAGTGACTGAACCCTAGAAGCACATAAGCTACCTTGGACATCCTCAGCACAAAGCACATGACAACGGTCCTCAGTTTCTGACATGGATACAGCATGCATACTTGCAGCCAATTCACATGGTATTTCAGTTGTAGGTGTTGCCAGGGGACAACTGCTACTTGCCACCACCAAAGGCAGACGAATGGCCAACTGCAATAGATGCCTTGCGCACGTAATACTGAAGCATCTTTCCCCAGAGCAGTGGAATAAATCTCCACACGCACCTGCTTTGCCTTTTCTCCAAATATACTTAAACTGATCCAGAAATGGAGTTCTCCACTTACTTGCAGGTTTGTCTTCTGTCCAAATATACGGCACAGTCTGCTCCGGTGAGCTGCTGTCCAGCCAAATGCAGAATTGCTGTGAATCAGGTGGAGATAAAGAACAGGAACTTTGTGTTAGACCAAAGACCACAATGAAGATACTAAGAGTGTGTCTGTGTGTGGGGGTGGGGTGGGAGACTGACATGGAGAAACAGCACCTATATCACTACTACATATTAAAGTTGATGTTGTACAATACATCGATCAGGCAGCTTTAGCTATCCAGTCCATGTACTGGAAGCGGTAAGTATGGAAGTGGAACACATTTGCCCTCCCCTCTACAAATTCTCAGCGCAAGGAACAAGTGCCACGTGTTAGTAAAGGTAAAGTGACCCCTGACCGTTAGGTCCAGTTGCGAATGACTCTGGGGTTGCAGCGCTCATCTCGCTTTACTGGCCGAGGGAGCCAGCGTACAGCTTCCGGTCATGTGGCCAGCATGACTAAGCCGCTTCTGGCGAACCAGAGCAGCGCACAGAAATGCTGTTTACCTTCCCGCCGGAGCGGTACCTATTTATCTACTTGCACTTTGACGTGCTTTAGAACTGCTAGGTGGGCAGGAGCAGGGACTGAGCAACGGGAGCTCACCCCGTCGCGGGGATTCGAACCGCCAACCTTCCGATCGGCAAGCCCTAGGCTCTGCGGTTTAGACCACAGCACCACCCGTGTCCCTGCCACGTGTTAAGGGTCCCCAATAAAGATAACGTCAAGGCTTTGGTATCAGTAAGGCCCTCTCCCATCGCACCAGCAATTTAATTTCAGTTTGGAAGCTTTGTTTGATGACAGTACTCACATCATCAGCTTTGACTTTGGAAACCAGATCCTTAAAGGCAGGAAGGCAACTCAACCTCATCATGGCTTCCAGTTGCTCCACAGTCAGGCCACTGATCTTGGGGAGAGGTGTGCTGCTGAGTACTATTTCTTTCCCTCTCAAGAAATGCTGGAATTCCGCATCATAGGTAGGCTCCCTGCAATTGGCAACAAAGGAAGGGCACGTTAGAGAACAATTCACTATTTGTGCTCATGGACAAAAGCAGTAGTATTTTCAGCCCTTAAGAACGTGGGAGCAGATAAATAGTCAAAGTTGGGGGAAAATATGGGAGAGACACACTTTGAAAATGTTGTCTATAAGGATAAAAAGAAATTATTATAAATTAATTTGGAGATGGTATTTAACATCAGTCAGATTAAATCAAATAAACAAGGAATATTTGGTGTTATGTTGGAGGAGATGCCAGGAAACAGGGAATTATGTTCACATGTGGTGGGGGTGTAAATATGTACAATTTTTTTGGCAAAGGTTGTTTAAGGAGCTAACAAAAATCACTGGGTTGAAGCTGACCGAATGTCCAGAGGTAGCATTATTATCAATTTACGATGAGGTGGAAGGTATGCAGGCTATGAAGGACTTGCTCACGAATTTATTGACAGCTGCACGAGTTATTATAGCTGGAAAGTGAAAGGGGCAAGCAGAATATAAAACGGAAGAATGGTACAAAGAGGTGTGGGATATAGCTGTGAATGATAAATTGAGATGTGCTATTAAGGTAAGATGGGGAATATGCAGAAGAAATGATTTGGAGGAGATATGGAAGGGTGTTTGTAGAATTTGTACTGTTGAAACGGAAAAGGGTCAAACCATCGCAGGAGGTGTTGAAATTTTGGGAAGTTGGATAGTTACAGTGGAATGGTCTCGGGGTGGGGTGCACATTATTATTATTATTATTATTATTATTATTATTACTACTACTACTTTGTCAAAATAAAAAAATAATATATACAGAACGACGTGGGAAAAGTTTACCCACAAGATCACCTTATCCCACATGGGCCCATGTGATCGCTATGATTGGCGGCCTCAGCACTACTAGAACTGCCACCTAATACTCATTCCACATTTGTAAGAACTCGATCATTTAATGCGGCGGCACCTGGACTTTGGAACTTCCTGACTACTGATATTTTCAGCACCTGCTAAAAACATTCCAGGCCTACCCAGAAAGTGGAGGCAATTTTAATCTGTTTTAGTATTTTAATTTTTGTATGTTTTAAAGTAGGGTTATGAATCTTTCTTGATTATATTGACTTACCTTTTTGTAAACTTCCTTTGCGGTTTATTAGGCTGTACTGCGTTGATTTTACAAATGCCACCTTTGCAAAAAGGCAGGGTATGCCTTACTTTTAAAGAACTGCCATGACACACTGCCTACATTTGTAAGAGACTGAAGATTGGGCCACCTATTGAAGAAGGGAGAATTGTATGCTTACCCAATAGTGCCTTTCAGTTTTATTCTGGCCAACAGCATAGCAAAGGTGATGTGATCCTGATGCAGCATGCCACGTGCGACTCTGTTGAAAGCAACCTATCAATGCAAAACAAGAAAGGTTAGTTTCATCTCCTACTGATAACCTGGAACTGTTTTAACTTGATATGGCTTTTCCGAACCTGGAAGAGATCCTTTGTGATGATGGAAAGACGCTGGGTATGGTCCGTTATCCCCTTCAGATTTGGGTTCTCGTACAAGACATTGTGATAGATATCCAGGAAAAACTGGAGGGAGTACTGGTACAAGAAGTGTATCTAAAGAGGGAAAAACAGAGTCACAGCAGTAAAAACAAGCTGCTTCTGTACCTGTGGCATCTTATCATGTTGTGCAACAAACATGGCTAACAGGTAGAAGAAGGCAAGGCAAGCCAGTCGTGCTTTTGTACCTGTTTTAGTGACTCCATTGTGAAATAGATGCTGCTACAGGCAGTAGAAAGTGGGAGATACTGTTGAGACACAGTCTCCACCTCCTGCATGACAATATCGGTTTCTTCAACTTTCCTGGTGACCTCAGCTGCCTCTTTCTTGAGGTTCTCCAGTGTGGTAATGATGGTGTCATCATCCAAGATCCGACCCTTCACTTCATTGAGGGCTTGGAGAAGCGACTTCTCTAACTGCCGCAGACGCAGCTGGAATTCACCTTTGGGTAGAGGAAAAAAGCCTTAAGGACAGTTCGAGCTATACACTGCGTGAATCCAAGATCTCTGCAACATTCCCCAGAAATTGCTTTCAGCCACAGAACATCATCAGTCCTTAATTTAATTAGGCTTCTTTAAGGGTGAACAGATTCCATCAGTTTCACTTCCACAGTTATGAAAATGACAGGTCAGCAGAACTCCACCTGCACAATGGGGGTTTTCCTGGCTCTTTCCACTCACTACAGCTCCCTGTGCCTCTGCAAGTTGTTTTGAAGGTTGAGGAACCCCCTGGAATAGCATGAGGTGGGCCAGAGTGGAATGGGGAAGCCTGAAGAATTCAGCGGCCACCACTGGATCCAAGCCGATATCCCTTGGGTTCCAATCAATCGGATTTCAGAAGGCTGGTAACAGATTGCCCTCACAAGACTATTTAAAAATGTAAAGTCCCTCACTCTTGGGCCCTTGAATGAAATTGAAGAGGTTGCAGAGTAACACCCACATTCCGCAATTCTAGGTTTTTAAGATTATAAAAGCCACGTTTTTATTCAAATATTTGTACAATTACAAATAAACATTTAATATATGTCAGTGATGAGGCACTTCATTTTCTAATTCAACTCATTGGATGGACTCTAGAAACAAAAAACACTGTGGAAATGCTTTTTTAATAAAACGTTTTATATTGAATTTGCCATAAGCTCACACCATCTAGTGTCACATTTGTATACAATCATACCTCGGGTTGCGAATGTGATCCGTGCGAGAGGCACGTTTGCAAGCCACAGTGTTCGCAACCAGCAGTGCTGCGTCTGTGCACATGAGTGACGTGATTTGGTGCTTCTGTGAATGCGCCAAAATCCGGAAGTAGCCCGTTCCGGTACTTCCGGGTTCAGCGCAGTCCGCAACCCGAAAATGCGCAACCCACAGTGTTTGCAACCCGAGGTATGACTGTAATGCACTTAAAACATTCTGTTTGCAACTGTATAGCAGAGTCCTTTGTGTCATTGGCCTGAAAACATTAAAAATAAAGTAACAGAAATCTCCCTCAGCTTGAAAGATGCCGGAAAATGCACCCGTGAAAGAATGAGATTCTGACATTCTAGTGAACATACCCAGTGCTTTTTTTCTAAAAAAAAAGTTTAGGGGTACTCTCATTTTCCTACTCATATTGAAATATTGCCCCTCAATGAGGCCAAACTTAAGATTCACAAAATGTTTAGGGGTATGCGTACCCCTAGAAAAAAAGCACTGAACATACCTGTGTGTGTTCAGAACTAGACAATCTGGGTCAGAATGCAGCAGAGGGAGATTCTGCAAGTATCTCTAGTTTGTTTTAAGGCCCACCTACAGTAGTAAGTCCCGTCTGGGATCCGATTCCTGCCAATACTGTACCTTGAAGTTTGAGGAGATCAGAGCGCTTCTCATCCACATCTGGCCTTTCAGCTTTCAGTACTTCGTTCAGACACTGGCTCTGTAAGCTGCTGCGAGTTACTGTGAAATTGACGAACGTCACGCGGGAGCAGAGATCTGGAGGAAACTCAACCTACCGAACAGAGCATAGTCACCTTTTACATAGAATCTCCTTTCCCTTCCACTCCCACCAACTGATGGTCAGATAAATCAAGTTTCTTGCTTACCGTTGGATCTCTGGTGGAGAGGAAAATGACAAATGATGGAGACAAATCAATATCCTGATCTCCCAGGGTAATAAGAACTCGGCCTCCAGTTCTACGGACTTCACGGTTCAGCACAGGGTTCAGCACAGGGTCATAGCTCTCCACATCCTGGGCAAGCATTCAGAAAGGGGAAATAATTTAAGTATTAAGAATTGTACTTCCCTTCAACTCTGGAGTTGGTTCTAAAAAGCAATCCAGATATAGGCTGAGACTCCAAAAGTTGCTTTTAGGCACACCGAAGAATTTAAACCCATTGAGATCTCTCGTTTTAATTAGAACTGCAAATTCCCATGCTGTATTACAAGCTGCCTTTTAAAGAGTCTCTCCCCAAGTTTCAAAAGCTGTTTCCCACACAGTGCTAAGTCCAAACCCCCTTGGGCTCATGGAACTAATGTTACAGTCCCTTGAATCTTGAATGTGCTTATCTTTCAGCTTTTCTGAAGCCCTTTTATTCAAGTTACACAATATTTGTTTCAACAACTCATTCAAAACTTGTGCTGGTTATAAAAAATATGTATGCACAGAACTAACCTGGACAAGCAGAGGATTACCAAATCGCAAGGCGCTCTCCAAATTCTTCCTGAAAGCATCATCCAGAAAGCTGGTACGAGTGATCTTACGGTCCTTATATTCATTCATGATGAACTCTGTAGCTTGCCCAGAGGGGTCAATAATCAGGGGATACCTAAAGAGGTAATTGGTGGAACGTTATTTAAAATTCAGAGAGCCCAGGAGGAAGAGATCTGTTCAACATATATTAATGGAAGAAGCATTTTCAATTTATGGATTCATGGAACAGATAAAAAGTTTACAATTAGCTATACTAGGGGTCCTTCAAAGCCCTTAGTTTGTATTCTGAAAGCCCTTAGTTTGTATTTTGATATGCTGCACATACCAAATAGGGGCCTGGAATAATTTTTACTTCAGAAATTATGAGTGTTGCACGTAATGTATATCATCCAGTCTTTACTATTGAAATAGTTGGGCTCAAAGTTGCATTACAGTGGTGCCCCGCAAGACGAATGCCTCGCAAGACGAAAAACTTGCTAGACGAAAGAGTTTTCCGTTTTTTGAGTCGTTCCGCAAGACGAATTTCCCTATGGGCTTGCTTCGCAAGACAAAACGTCTTGCGAGTTCTTGCGAGTTTGTTTCCTTTTTCTTAAAGCCGCTAAGCTGTTAATAGCCGCTAAGCCGCTAAGCCGCTAATAGCCGTGCTTCGCAAGACGAAAAAACCGCAAGACGAAGAGACTCGCGGAACGGATTAATTTCGTCTTGCGAGGCACCACTGTATCTTTTTGAGCTTCTAAATTTCCATTCTGACTATAGAGTGCTCTGTTAGAGGGATCTGATCTAGCATAGCAATTCTTAGAACAGTGGTTTTGCCAGACGCCACTTGAAAGTTTCATTTTAAGACTATGCTAGATTTCTCCACAAAATTTTCCTAGCACATGCTGTCTGTGCCAGTGGCCATTCACAATATCCTCTGGCAAACAACTCTGTGCTCACAATGAGTTGAATGAGCACATTTCACCTGTATTTTAACAAGGCTTCTTATCTAAATGCCGAGAGCCCAGGCAATTCCAAAACATTCACAATCACTAGAGAAAGCCTGGACAGAAATGATCAACTCAGAAGCGTGGAAATGGTACTTCCACTGGAAAGCTTTTCTGGTCTGAAGAAGCCATTGGTAAGCACAAAATTAATTAAAAGAAAAGCAACAATACCGGTTAAATCGCTTGAGCATGATGGCATTTTCTGTGCACAGGTCATCTGCAGGTAGGGAACTTGCTTGCCAGCGAAGGCGTTCATCTGCGTTGGACAGGTATTCGGTCCTAGCAATGTCTGTACGGAACTGCAGGGAAAGGACCATTGTGTTTCACAGCCAAGAACTGACAAACTTTTGTGACTAGGTGAAGCAATCAGTTGTCATCCTGCTACTTATGGCTTGGGGCTCCCACAAACATTGGCATTCTCTTGGCTGCAGACCATATTCACTCGAAGTGGGGGCAGAGCTTGAAGTCAAAGGAGGTGATGGCAATAGTGTTGACGAATTGTAGAGTTGGAAGGGACCCTGAGGATCATCTAGTCCAAATACCTGCAATGCAGGAACCTTTCGTCTAACCCGGGGCTTGAACCCACGACCCTGACAGTAAAAGTCTTATGCTCTACCAACTGAACTATCCCATCCTAAAATACCCATGTTGCATCACCCTTTATTATCGGCCACCTTATAAAATCATCAGACATCTGGGAACAAAATAAAATGGCCTGAAGGGACATAATGATTCTGCAGAGCGTATCTGGTTTTGTAAGCTGCTCAGGTGGGAGACCACGTGTGAAACATGCAGAAGCTGTTCTGAGCTTCACGGAAGAGGAAGGTGTACCATAAAGTGAAATGCTCCAATTATTTCAAGTAAACAGCAGCTGTCTTTATGACCTATGAACAGTTTTTTACCTGAATATTTGCTTGTTGCAAGTGATGAGACCATGTTGTGAACAGGTTCTGACGCATCTGTTGGTCAAAGTAACCAGCATAAGCGATGAAGGCTCCTGAGAGCAAGCAGTCTCCTGCAATGGTGGACATCTGGTTTTTGAAGGTTTCACTTGTTTTCTCCCATCTTTCACGCTCTGCAGACAAACTCTTCAAGAGAGCCGTACTGCGGTTTACCTGCAAGTAAAACCATTGCTTCAGTTAAACAAAAACTGGATTGAAGATTACTACCTGCCTTTGAAAACACGGAGAAATTTGTAATTGCACCAGATACAGGGCCAGGTTTTCAGCATCCTATTACGAAACACACATTTCAAATACCTAGGAGGCTGAAGAAAAGGGGAGCATAACCACAACTTTATTTTTTATTAGAAAATGCAGCTAGCACCAACAAAGAAGCATAGCAAAATTGTTTGCTTATCAAGTTTGGCTTAAAAGGCAGCCTTAAAACCTAGAATATATGCAGCACTAGGCAGCTGTAGGAATTATTACAGAAGACACAGAAGTAGTGATGCACACATTTTTAAATTAAGCTTCTAAAACTATATAAATTATACTGCATTTATTAACGTGGACAAATTTATAGATTACCTAACTATGCTATTGGTATTAAATATAGAAGCAAAATAAGTAAACTCTCTTCAATATACAAATGAACTTTGGATTTTAAAATTCATGCCTGAACAAAGAGCACTAACAAGGAAATTGTGTAGAATGCTTAGAAGCACACATTCTATTATCTTTTTGCTTCCCTCAACTAGACCACTCAAGGTTGCAACTATAATGTAAGCCCTTAAGGAGACGTGATAAAAGTGGGAAACCACAGACACATTTCTAAGGAAGCGCAACAAGGATAAATTCACGGCTATCTCACTTTTGCTTCCACAGCAGCCAGATCTGCCTTAATAGCCTGAGCCTCGGAAATCAGCACGGCATATTCTTCCTTGTAGCGGGCAATGCTGGCCTCCAGGTCTCTAATCATCTGTTCTACTTCGTTGGCCTTCTGCTGGTTGTCTTTGGCATCATCCTCCAGTTTCTGCAGTTCGTTTCTCAGGGGCTCTACCCGTTTCAACATGTCGGCATAGTTCAGCTGGGGGGGGGGGGACATAACACCAGGTCACTCAGTTCTGGGACACTTAAACAGTTCTGGTTTTAAAGCTTTGTTATTTTTAAAGCCACTGTGGGATTGTCAGTGACCTGCTGAGCTAAACAGCAAGAGGCAGGAAACCACCTTCAAAATATGACTGAGCTTCTATAGTATTTTATCCTAATCCAGTTAAATACCACAAGACAAGTTACCTGTGCAATAGCCCATTTCACCATAGGGCCACAGGCCAAAGACGCTCTGTTCACAATTTCATAATTGTAACTTGGATTTGACAAGTAGTTCTTCTTCATCTTCTCCCGTATTGCATCACTGGAATAACGGGGGGTGGGGAGACAGAGAGTTTGAGAAAGTATCCGGACAAGCGTGGTGTTACCATCCAGCATGCAATTGCCAAGCCTGCAAGTTATCCCATCACCTTGGTAAGCAAAGCTATAGAACACAAATACCTCATGTCTTCAATATTAAAGTTGACAATGCTGGTGATGAAATTATCTTTCAGAATAACTGGCCTGATCTTTTTCCAGTCATTCGTCTCCTCACCCAACAGGAGACAGATGGATTCTAAAGCCAGTTTTACCGCCGCAGGTGGGTTGCCCATAGCTCTTACTTCAATAAGGTGCTGCTTCTTTATAGAGCTCACAGCTATTAAGGGGATGGAAAAAAGGGTTCAGCATGCAAAAACAAACACTGAAGGCTGCTGCTGGGAATAGGAGAAAGAAATTTGGTTCCAAGACTGAGATTTGGCCACAATGGAATCCACTGAATGGAGAGTTTCTTTCTGAGAACGTTCTCCTTGAATCAAGACGAGATTTGCTAATTTGAAGCAGAAATCGAGCCCTAAAAATTTATGCTTTTTATCTGCAACATGCAAGAAGTGTTGCAGCAGTCTTCGCGAACCATTTCTTTCTGTTCCCTGCAGCAGCCACTGTAAACTTGCCAATTATTCACCTGATCTCCTCAGCAGAAAAGTTTACAATGGTTGGGATGAAGTTTTCCCGCATTATGATGGAACGGATCTGTTTCCAATCAGTTGTGCTTTCACCCAAGAGCAGGCAGATCGACTCTAACGCCAGCTTCACGGCAGCAGGAGGGTTGGCCATAGAACGGACCTCCACCAGATGTTGTTTCTTTATTGATTTAACAGCTAGGAAGAAGCAAGCCCAATCAGCCAGGAGAGAAAAGACAGTGATTTGGGAGAAAACAGGGAAGAGCAAGATGATTAGCAAATCTTGAGGATTGGTGTGAAAGATTCTTAAGCTTCAGCAAAAATCAACTTTGATTTAAAAAACGAAAGGCACAATTTACCAGGCACATCTCCCATGGTTTTTTTTTTAAAGCCAAGGGAAAAGGACCTAGATGTTTCCCAGATTCTCAGCCTTCAGAAACACCATTTCAAAACACACAAAACTATGATAAGCAACTGCAAAGCCTTTGTCAAAGGCATAGCCAGACTGGGTACTTCTTTTCATGGCAGATGAACTTCTTGGTTTTGTTTTTAAAAGACAATGCTTTTGTACTCAAAGCCTTTTATTTAAAGACAACAACATCCATATACAATGTGGATTATCTAGCAACATGATCTGGCATCCTGGAAAGCTGCACTACTGGTGCTTCTAATCAATCAGAGCCCAAACCTGATTATTGATCAAAGTATTACCCAGAAGAATTAAGCTGACAAGCCAAAAAGCACTGATTTTTTTGGGGAGCCGTAAAGGGCATATTCGAAAGCATGGAGCAAAATGTTCCTGTTGCATGCAGCAGACTGGAATGCACTGAAAAGCTGCCCAACAGATGACTTTCACATACCATTTTGAGCCTCGATGACTGCAGGCTCCACCTTATCCAGATCTTCCTTCACACTCATCTGCTTGTCTGCAATGCCCTCTTGCTGTTTATGCAACTGCTCCTGGATTTCCTGGCTCATAACCTGCAAGCAAGTTACACAGGATATTTCAAGAGCCCCGTTCTTACCCTATCTGCTCTGAGTTAAGAGGCACAACTCGGTGCGACAACATGCTCTAAAAAGGACTTTAAGGTCTTCACCTTTTTCTTCTCTGCCTCTTGCTGATCTTTCACCATCTTCTTCAGCTTATCATTCGCGGCTGCATTCTTGACTTCCAGCTCCTGGCTTTTTATCCGTAAGTCACGGCGAAGTTCTTCCACCTAGAACCAACAGCAAATTCTCAATTACAGTGAACTCTATTCAAGAGAACTTCCAAGGATTGTCATGAATGGTTTCTTCCTTCTTCCAATGCTCTTTCCTGAAGACTCATACCTGGTCAACCGTTTCCTTGATCTTCCTAAGACCAACATTCAAATGCATCTGCTGCTCTTCCAGCTCACTCCGTTTCTCATTGAACAAATTGGCATAGTGGTTGATGAAGTCCAAATAATGACGAGGAGTGATGGCCATTGTCCTGCCACCACGTTTGGCTAGACGAGCATTAGCCTGCCAGAAGGGGAAAAGAGTGTGTTAAAAACTGATGTACCGTATTTTTCGCACCATTGGACGCACATTTTCCCCTCCCAAAATGAAGGGGAAATGTGTGTGCATCCTATGGGGCGAATGCAGGCTTTCGCTGAAGCCTGGAGAGCGAGAGGGGTCAGTGCGCACCGACCCTCTCGCTCTCCAGGCTTCAGGAAGCTCTGCGCAACCCTCGGGAGACCGACTCCGAGGGTTGCGCAGAGCTGCCTGCCGTCCCCGGCTCAGCGCAGCTCTGCGCGGCCACCGGGAGCCGGGCGCGAAGTCCCGCCCCGCTCCGGATGGCGGCGCAGAGCTGCCTGCAGTCCCGGGATCAGCACAGCTCTGCGCGGCCATCAGGAGCGGGGCGCGAAGTCCCACCCCGCTCCGGATGGCCGCGCAGAGCTGCCTGCAGTCCCAGGATCAGCGCACTTCTCCCCATCGCCAGCCCCACAAGCTCGGGGGACAGCGGGGAGGCAGAGCGCACCTTCCCGCTGTTCCCCGACCTAGTTCTTCCAGCCCCGCACCTGGGGGGGAAATAAAAATATTTTTCTTTATTTCCCCCCCAAAAAACTAGGTGCGCCCTATGGGCCTGAGCGTCCTATGGAGTGCAAAATACAGTACGTATTTTAAAATATCCTTCGAAACAGGAAATGCTTTGAGGACTGCAAGAAGCTGCACAAAAAGTGGGAGGACAAACCCACCTGATGAAGGGTCTGGTGAACAAACACACAGCTGTTCACGATGGCTTCCCTATGGGATGGTGGCTGTGGCAGCTTGTCATAAACAACTGGCATGTAGTCTGGTACAATGTAGTTTGGCTTTTCTAGGTCCATTTTGCTGGTGAACTCTTTGCCAACTTGATAAAGCGCCTCTGTCGACCAGTCTCCAAACCAGTTCAAGACACACCTAAAGCAAAAGATGACATGCTATGAAGACTAACTGTAGTTCACAGTCCTGCTCATCTGAATTATCCATACACCACTGTAATGGATGTAATAGAAAATAAGCAGTTGTGTACCTGTTGAAGAGGGCTGGAGATGTAGCTGCTCTGTCCTTCAAGCCCTCAGAAGATGGGTTCATGGTGAAGACCACATGGAGATTACGAATGACTTGGCTGGTGAACCATTTGTATAGTTCTTCATGCGAATCCAACATCAAACCCTCTTTCTGGGCTCCTTCCTTACACTGAGTCATAAGTGTGGCATATTCGTCCCCTTCAAACAAGCCAGGAACCTAAATGGAAGAGAGACACGTTAATTTACAGATATCTGAAATTTGCATTGAGATAAATATTGACGAGGATCCAATGACAATCTGAAATCAGAGCCTCTAAAAAATTGTTAGTTTGGGCAGTAGATTGTTTTTTCCACAGAATGTGCAAGACCTTCCAAAAAGCTAATAATCTGTTTGGAGGCGAGGGGTTATTGGTTTGCTTTTGTTGTGTTATGTATTTTATATTCTCATTTTATACTGTTATGTTTTGTTATGTACTGTTTTGTTATGAACTGTACTGTGATCTTCAGATGAATGACAGTATACAAATTTAATAAATAAGTTTCTATGTTTGGAACAAGAATTTTATGGGCCTGCACAGCAGCTTGTCAGTAATCCAGAATCTCTTAAACAGGATTGGATGGCAGAGTTCGGATCCCACCCCACCCCCCAAGTCCAGCCTTTAGTAAAGTTACCTCTCCATTGGCCAGCAGAGTATTCATTCTCTCCAGGAATCCAGAATCAAGTACATTTGATTCATCCATAATGAATGCTATTTTCTCATTCTTGCAGCCGGATCGTCTCAATACTGTCCTCAGATCTTCATCAAAGTCTTCACCAGTGTACTTTCTATGCACCTGTGAACATCCATTATAGATTAAACGTCTATGATTTTATCTAGCCTGCCAAGCTTGATTTAATGCTGCAAGAAACAAAAGCTGGATCTTCAGTTTAGGGAAATGGGCACACCAACCTTAATTTGGTAGACACTTAAGCCATTCATCCAAGCCACAAATCGCGAGAGAGTAGTTTTTCCTGCTCCACTAACACCAATGAGAAGTAAGTGTCCCTGAGGCTGACGGAAGATTCTGAAAAGAGAGTCTTGACTTAGAAGATGCAGTACAGACTAGCAGTGAATCCCATGCATGCTTACTCAGGGGTTAAATTCTATTGTTTTCAATGGCACTTATTCCTAGTTAACTGTGCCTACAATTGCAGCTTAGGAGTAACTGGTAAACAACCATCCCCTACAAAAATACATATGTATTACTGGTACATAGCAGGCAGTATCCTTTGTGTTCTCCTCTAGCACTCAGTGTCCAAGGTGATAAAAAAACTGTATCCCCTTTCTAAATACATACTGGACTGGTTTAGAAACATATTTGCCAAGGTGCTACAACTGGAAAAAGTTTAGAACACAAGCATCGTGTACCTGTCAATTCTTAGCACATGGTCCAAGACTTCATTGAACAAGACAAGTGGTACGTCAAGTTCTTCTTCATAGAAAACCTTCAGTCTGGCTTTCACATAGTCTCTTAGCTCTTCTTGATTAACTGGAATATAATCCTAAAAGACAGTGCAAACAACTTATATACTTGCAAACCGTAAAGCATCAGCATTAGAGCTGTCCTTGCTTATGACAATATCTGAAGAGGCACAAAGTATTGCCTATTCATGAAGCTTATCCACCACCTCAATTAATTGACTTGTCTCATGTTGACTAACAATAATCCCTAAGCTTTTCCCAAGTAGGGAACAGTGGTGGGCAACAGACAAATGTGTACTGTATTCCCAAGATGGGGAATGAGAAGCAATCACTGAAAAAATCTAATGAAGCTTTGCGGAACTTCAGCTGAAGGGCAAGAATGAAGACAGCCACATGGGAAAATTTTGCACATAGGCTGGATGCAACATGCAGCCTCCAGGTGCCCAGTTTGCTGCAATGTGCTTAGTGCCTACCCTGATCATACTTTTCATCAGCTGCTGGCCAAGTAGCCAGCAGACGTAGACTCATTTTTACAAGGGAAGCGAAGCAGAAGAGGGGAAATGTATGTGAGCTGGACAAGTGGACAACTAAACTCCCGTACAGGCAAACATTCTGCCTGAAGGAAATATGGATAAAATGTGCACCTAATTACATTTATTTTAAGAGACACTCAAAATCCCAGGTAGCTCCATTCTTGCATGAATCTCACACTAAAACAGATAGTAGCTATGGTTTGTTACACCGGGGGGAAATTGAGAGGTGCTCATCCTCAAAAGGATAGCTGTGCCCTGATATCCAAGGAAGTTTTAAAAGCGAGGTCAAGACAGTAACTTCCGATGTAAACACACTAAATGTAATTATGCTCTAAATTATCAGAAGAAATATTATTCAAACCAAGTCAACATCTGCTACCAATGATTAAGTCATGATAATACAATTTGCAACTGATAAAAGGAAAAGTTTTAATGTCATAGGTTTTCTCCATCAACCGAAAAAGCAGAAAAAATTAAACACAGCACACTTCCATATACCCAGGAACTAAAGCAATGTATTGATGTATTAAAGTTCAAGTAAGCAGCAGAGCTTATACCTTGGATAGCCAATTGCTGTACAGAATGGGCCTGGCCATTGCTTTCTCTTTGTCTATGTTGGGGAAGTGCTTCAGAGCTACCATGTCAATGTTTTCATCAGTCCACCGTCTCTCCTCATCTTCCACAAGCCTAGATAAAAGGAGCAACCATTAGTATTAGAAAGCACATTAACAGCTTAAAGTTAAGACTTCATGACAGAGAAGCTTTGGCATTAATACTATTTCAAAAGTGTGAAATACACTTCTCCCAACTACTAGTGAAATGTAATGGTTGCATATCACTTGCAATGGTCTAAGATTCAGGGACACCACTGGCAAGTAATGCATGTTCTGAATATCCCGATAGCTAAGCAATTTCTCTCTGAGTTTGTCTCATCTGTTGAACCCGGACACTGACATTTACATCATATGCCCAGAGTTCAAATTATGAGGTGTGAAAAGTAGTGCTCAGTTAGCTTGAAATAGGCTCACAAATCCCAAGAGGTATCTAAACATGTTTTAAATACACTTTCCCCCAGTTAGCTGTCCATTTTTTTCCTGCACTATGATTTGGGTGGAAAGATGGCCCATAGCAGTGATACTGAAACATGACCTATAAATACTTCCACCGACTTTCCACCCCCAACAAAAAGCCAAAAACCCCAAACCCCTAGGGACCTAGGAAGCTACAGTACATTATACTAAGTTAGACAACTGGTACATTTCTCAGTCTTTCCTACCCTACCTAGAGATGCCAGCTACTGGTGAACAAATGGCAAACTGAATTTATGGTAATGTGCATCCTTCTATTTCATCAAAAACATGTGCATTTACTAGAAAGGGCTTATTTACAGTACCGTAAACTGTATTGTGTTAATTAAGAAAAACATATTGGAACGACTTGCTCCAGTCTGAACACACAAGAGGAATTCTATGCAGCCTGAATGCTTGTGGACCATTATACTAGCAAGTGTGTAGTCACACTTTATTCCAGTGAGGTGTAGTGCCTGGTGTTGGACTAGGAACTGGGAGGCCAGGACTGAAATCCCTAATCAGCCATGAAGCTCACTGGGTGACCACGGACCAGCCACTGTGTTTCAGCCTCGCTCATGGGTTGTTGAGAGCATAAAATTGGGGTTGGGAAAGAGATTGTGTACCCTGCCTCCTACCAAAAAGGAGTTTTAAAAAGTATACTGTGATCTGAGTTGGAGACAGCATGGTGTGGATGTCAAGGTTGCAGGTTCGATCCCTCTATGGGACAGCTGCGCAATCCTGCATTGCAGGGGGTTGAACCAAATGATCCTCAGTGTCCCTTCAACTCTGCAATTCTATGATTTCACACTTTACCTGTCTTGGAAGAGACGCAGGGCTTCATGTGCCCAAATTCTAATGAGCCCTTCGACAGGCAACGTTTCCAGCGGTCTCAGAGCTTCGAAGATCCCTCTCACCCATCGAGTCATTTCACGGGGTGAATAGATGTAGTGCGGCTGTGTGTCTTGAGTAAACCTTTCCTGGAAGTAACAGGATAAGGAGTTGTCCATAGTAACCAGGGAAGTATTTTTTAACCGCTCGCTCTAGACATTTGATAAAAAAGCTGCGAAGAGCTTTATCATTCCAGTTACCTGAGACATTGTGTAGAACTCAACCATGGCAGCAGTGAGAGGTTCTGCATACGTGCGGAGAGATGGAATGAGGCGCAACATAGCGCGATTGAAAGTGCCATAGATCTGAGTGAGGGAAGCTGGGCCAGGATAGTCCACGTACACAACAGGAACATGGCGCAGAAATCTAGAAAGGCATACAGGAGAGGTGAGTTCTGTAGCACCTCAGCTATTAGGCTAAATACATGGGTCTAGATAAGGCAAAAACAGATCCCGAAAGCTTTCACTGGTCCTGAAAGCACAGCACTGGCTGCTATTGAGATGCCAAGCCATGTTCAAGGTGTCAGAACTAGCGTGCAAAGCCTACTGCAACAACAAAAAGACTCTGAAGTTCTACATTCCAGCAGCCAAAACATTAATAGAGCATTTGAAAGGCTGAATCCTACTTCTTAGTAAAGCACATTAATATGTATGTAGACTGCAGGTTTGATCCTTAAACCTTCAGCAACTTATAGACAGCAATGTGGACACATTACCTATGTGAAAGAGGCTTCCTTCCAGGATCTGTAGGCGGGTTACACGCTCCAACAAACTGAATTCGCTCCAGTTTCACCCATGTCTGGTCAGATGTGCGGTAGAAACCTCCATGTTCCACCATCTGAGGATTTGAGAGAGGCGGTTACGACGGAGTTTAACTACGACAAAAAAGGTTGAGTTCTTTAATCTGACTTATACTCACCTGTCTGATGAAGGATATGACTCTCTGTGTGCCGTATTTATCCATATCCGGCAAGTTGATTTCGTCACAGAAGAGCACCAGCCACTTTCCTAGCTGGACAGGAGCCAACACCACACCGTTAGGCGTACGCCTGTATTCACAGTAGTGATCAAAGGTTTTCAGGAGCAACTCTGGAGTTGTAGCACTGGAGAAATTCAGACCAACCACCTAAAAATGCAAGGATGTGATCAGGAAAGGAATATGCGGCAAGATCCAAGAGGCATAAACACTGCCGACTGGTGACAGCTTTTAAAGTTTTGTTGCTCGCCTTCCTTTGTTCTTTATGAATGCAGCTCATGTTTCTATGGGAGGAAGTCAACATCGTGACTTCCCTCTCTTGCTCTTCTGCTAGCATGCCAGGTTAGCTGAATTTGTTTTAACTGCTTTTTGTAAACTTGAAAAGTGGTATCTAAAGTTCTTAAACTAACAAACCATTCTGGCTCAGAGGCAGCAATGAACTAGCTACACAATGGCTTGGCAAAAAACCAGAGGAATGAGCGCCTCCTCGCTCGTTCTGCTTATTGCATTGTTGTGCAGAGAGATTTAATTAAACGTGGAGGATGAATAAATTTTTCTGATCTTCTGCAGCTCAGTGGCATTTTAAATCCTGCAGATGTGGTTACTCATTCAGAATGTTTGGAATGGGAGAAGGTCACACACAAAGAACCGTTTACCTCCATGTCAGGCAAAGCCCTGAGTGCACTGAAGAGAGTCATGGTCTTTCCAGAACCTGGCGGCCCACACAGCACCAGTGGTTTGTGCTCCGCAAGCCAAGTATACAACAATGCTTCGTGGCGGACGGTGTCTAGGGTTGGCACCACAACATCAGGAGCTGCCACTTTGTGAGTCTCGACTTCAATCTGCGGGACCTTTGACTGCCAGGGAATCCACTCGCCAGTAATTGAGACCTATGGAGAGAGAGAAAGAAAATTAAGTATCTGGCATTATCTGCTTCTCTTGCTGCCTAAACAATAACTTGGTGTTGTTTAAAGCGGCTACTTCAAGGTTTAACATTAATTGCAACGTTAAGCTGATCAAAAGCATTTAAAATAAGTTTGTGTATATATTGCTGGTACTACTGACTCCTATATATTTATGTTGGCCCTGCTTTTGTTTGCTGGAATTTTAAAAAAGTGAAGTGCCTCCACTAAGCTGACAGCAAATTAAGAACACTTTATGAAAGTGTTTAACAAAGAAACTCATTACAGACAGCAGCTAATACACTTCTGAGTGAGAGGGGGAAATGACTCTAAAATACCTGAGTATATCATCTAAAAGCAAAGTATGCTTTTATTTTGAACTTATTTATTCTGATATACAACTGTATGAATTAAAAACCAACAAGATCAATAAGGCTCAAGGATCAGTTTTTAAATCTGACGACAGCCTTAGATTCAAATCACCAAGAAATTTGTTTAGTTAAGCGCATGGTCCAAAACCTAAGTGCACTGAATAAATATGTTGCTGCCAGGTCTCTGGAAGAAGGCTATGAAATCATCTATTTTGTTGTATTGATGAAGTTTTGTGCAAATAGCATCAATAAGTAATTACATTAAGCCTGGCATTTAGAAAATGGAAAGGTTTATTTTTCACCTCGTAATCAATGATAGGTATATTTGGTGCAGAAGGCAGTGGCACAGTTGTGATTCTCCTGATGTATTCACCCAGCTCGGCTCTCATCTTCAGACGGCTGTCTCCGCAAAGGGACCACAGAATCGCATACACGAGGAATCGCTGAGAAAGTTCAGAAACTGATCAGTAAAAGTGCAGGAGAAAAAAAAGGGAATCCCACACAAGAGAGCCACATGAAAATTAACAGCAAGATTAATTAACAAGGCTGGCAGCTTGACAGTTTCCTCTTTTTTATTTACTTAGCTATGGGAATTACCTGGATGTAGCGTTCCAGCTGATCTATCTGCATAGGGAAGTCTGGATGGTTGGCATTGTACTGTGCTACGTTGCGGCAAGCCTGGTGCAACATGGAGAAGAGGGAGCCAAGACAGCGCAAGCGAGTGAGGTCCATGATGTGCTCCAGCTTGAAAGCATGTTCAAGCGCCTTCGTCACCAGCCCATTCGATGTGAAGTATGGCTGCATAATTGTTGCTGCATCTCTCTGAATCTGTTGAAACAGCATTTCGTCAACCATTATCGGGCAAAATAGAGCTGAACTACTAGTATAATAATTTGCGTGCCCACAGCAAGGTGGTATTGCAATCTTTTATGTTATCTACTCTTGAACTATACCTGCAACATTGGGGAAGCTGCTTCCTCTCCTTCATCTTCCTTGCCCTTTCTCCTACGCTGAGCTTCCTCTTCACCTTCATCCAGAGGGATGCTCCTCAGTCTGGCCAGGAAGTTGTTGAAAATCATGTCAGTGCTTAGAACATCTTCACTGAACCAAACCATGCCACACCTTGACACTGTGGCCAGAGTAGCATACTTCAGATCTTGAACTTCAAACATGATGCGCACCTATGGGAAAAAGCAGAATGATGGCTTAGAAACCAGTGCCGGCCTCAAAATTATCTGAGGACACAGCTGTGTCTAACTTCTAAGAGTTTTCTCCTTTGACTAACCTTAGCCTGTTAAGAGGCCACTGGGAGCATTAAGACAGCATTGCAATCAGAATGGTACAAGTTAAACCTCAAGTAATATTTTATAGCCAGCCCTTTAAGTAAGGCAGTTCCTCATAATCTAATGGGAACTGGCAAAACCCAACATGACAAAACCAGGGAGTAACAACCTACTTCCAAACTGTGTCTGTTGGAAACACCTTAAAATTAATTTCCTGGCTGACACAAGCATCTCAAAATAACAGACATTTTCCCAATCTGGCAATATTGTCCAAGCAGATTTATTTTCTTATTTGGGAAAAAAAAGTAGCTAGCCTTACGTTTGGTGGAAGGCTCAGACGTTCTCCATTTGGCAGTGTCAGCAGCTTGTTGTCATCCAGAACAGAGTTCAAATTCTCAACCCACTCAGGATCAACATCTCCATCGAAGATGATCCACTGCCGTTTCTGTAGTTCACCTCTCACGTTATCTATTATCCTAGACAAGGGAATAATGTAGGGCCATGTGAGAGAACGTCCAGCCAGCCCAAGTTCTTCCTACACCAGGGAGAAATTTCTAGCTCACACCTTTACTTATAGCACACACTCACTTTCTCAAGACATGCGTGAACAGTCCATCTGTCCACTCTCTGGTGTTGGGATCGAGAGTGCCATAGAGATGGTCTTTGCTGATGGCTTTGGGATCGATGATGTGAGCAACACCTTCCACACCCTCCAGCCTCTCCAGTGCTTTCAGAAGAACTCTCCAAGCCATGGTCTTTCCACTTCCAGATGGGCCCACCATCATCAAACCATGATTGATCTGGGTAATTTGGTAGAGCTGAAGAACCTATGGAGAAGGAGAAAAATCAAAGTGTTGCATGAGGAACATCTTAAGGTAGAATGCTTTGGGTGGGTCCAACTGTCATGGTCCAAAAACAAGTAAAGCCATCACTTTGCTGAAGCTAAGCAAGTCTGGGTTTGCTCAGTGCTTGGGTGGGCGACACCTGGCAACCACAGGTATACTACCTTGGGTTCCATGATGGAGGGGAGATAGAATATAAATACAAGGAAGATATAATTATCTTGTTTAAATGTCTAGAAGGCTGTTTGTGGCCAGATCTCACATAACTCTGTGCTATTTGTTGGCAGTGAGCACTGACGTAACGTACCTTTTCAACCCACATGCTGCCAATGTCTTCCCCATCGCCGTACGTCAGGTACATTTCCTGACAGACCTTCTTAAGCTCTTCCCTCAGGGCAGTCATTTCTCCACGGTGATACTGAATGCCAGGGAACACATCGGACAAGAGACTGAAAAGCAATGGTATGTCTTCTGCAACCAATTTGGGTACCATTGTTTCACAGACACTCTGGATCAGGATCTACACAGAAGAACAAAAAAACCAACTTGCTTATTAACTGGCGTGAGAAGCATTATGAAAATACTCAAGTGATACTTCTGGGTACAATATCAAATTGAGATCCTACATCAGAAATACTTTTTAATTATTATTATCATTGTTATTTATTAAATTTATATACCACCCTTCACCCAAAAATCTCAGGGTGGTTCGCAAGATAAAAATGCAAAATTGAAGCACAAATACTTAAGATCTACATGCTAGATAAAATGTAAAGAAATAAAAGCTTTGTGAATGATGCAATGTCAATTACTGAATTTTCATTTAGATTTTTAGATATTATACTATGGAGAAGATGTCAAGTTTGTTCACCCTCATGATGAACAGCAGCACTTCTGACACCAATTCAGATGCCTTCTACCAAAGCCTACTGGTAGCCAGCTAAAGCAACATCTACGGCAGCAAGAGGCAGGATAGGCTTGAATACAGGGTGCAAGAAAACAATTTAACACTACACTCCTTTTGTGCATCCATAGTCTCAAAGCATCTGCGTATGTAACTGTACTTTACATTAGTTTCGTCACATGCAAACCCAGGCTATACCTCTTGTTCTGGCAAGTTCTCAGCAATTTCTCCTTCATCAACCACTTCACCACGCTCCTCCTTCTCCCGTTTTATTCTCTGAATCCTCTCTCTCTTCACGTTGCCAGCACTGATCAGGACGCTCTTCAGAGCTCTCAAGCCAAAGTCATAATGGCTTTGAGAGGAGAGCTGCTCATCACATAACCTAAGAAGCCAAAGACACCAACTGATTAATGCTGAAGTTGGCTTGGCAAGTTATACTACGGTTGCATGACAAATGATTAAGCACAGTCAGATGCATCAGAATAACTGACGATTAAGTTTCAGAAATGTAACAGTGCCAGCAGCAGGTTGGGCCAGTTAATGCTGAATTCACACAGCTCTAAGAACAAATCATGCTATGTGCTTCTACTACCAGCAGTGTTTCTTACTTGAAGAATGGGACAATCTTGTTGGCAAGCACTTCTGCTGTCCGAAATCCCTGGGAATACAGCATGACTTGGGCAATCAGCTGACGGTCAGGTTTTGTCATGGCCAAGCTCCGGAACAGTTTCTTCAAGTTGTCTGGGAGATTTGATCTACCGGCATAGCCAGGGTTCATTGTGATGAAAATTGCCATGTCTGCGCTCACTTTCACTTGTTTGTTCAGCAACTCACAGGTAATGGTGGTGGAAGCTGGAAGCAAGCATTGGTCGTTCAGTTTGCTGTTCTTAACCAAATCAACTTGCGTATGCACGCACACATGAAAGGAAGTCAGCAAGGGTTAGACTTCCAAAGCCCAAAGAGGTAAATAATTCTCAGAGAAGCGACACAGAAACAGAAACCACCCTAGGCTTTTGGGAAAGACAGGGAAGAATGAATTACTCAGACTTCTGTTCTTTGTGGATTCCATACTTGCTTAGATCTCCAAGCACCCTTCTCTTCCTCCCTTCTCTCCAAAATCCCCTCCTTTCCCCCTACTCTTTGTCCAAGCACCTGCTCCCCATAGCTCATCCCCTTACTCATCAAACCTTTGCAGCTCACCTGAACCACCCCTCTCACTCAACCCACCACCCCACCTCTCTCAGCTGACCTGCCCCACTTCCCTAAGCCCAGCTCACTGCCACCACCCCTATTGCTTTGCTCACCCCTCTGCCCCATCCCCACTCACTTGCCTGCCTGACTCTACTGCTTGTCTCACCCCGAGCATGTGAGGCTGTTGCCACTGTGACAATGGACTAGCAAAAATATAGCACAGCGATAGAACCCATGTTTATAATGTCCAGTTTTAAGAGAGATGTTAATTGGTCGGAGGCCCCCCTGAGTTTGTTTCAGTTGTTGTATCCTGTTAGATACCACACATGAATAATTAGCAGCAGGGCGTGTGCATCAAACATACTTTTCTCCAAGTTTGGATTTGAGTGCTCTCGCAAGGCTTCTTGGATGCACTGGACCTGCTGGGAAACGGCAGAAAGCATTCGCTCCTCAAGTCTGTTGAATTCGTCAAAGCAGCCCCACGCGCCCACTTGGCAAAGACCCACAAAGATGCGTCCCATTGCCTGAAAAAAGGATGGGGAAGGTTAATGAACACTGAGAAACTGTGGAGTATTATACGGCAGAATAGTAGACTGAGCAGTTGTAAAACGGGGCTGGATTTTCCCTTAAGTTTTAGAGAGGCAGAAATTGCTATTATTGGGCAGGGCATCCTGTAGGGTACCAATCTTTTGTACAGACACAGAATCACAGAAGTGCTCCTTCTCTCGCTTCAGAATATGGGGCTGCCCAGTGAAACCAGCTATAGCTTCCCTGTACGCTTGACACTTGAAACTTGCATGATTTATTATCAGTATTCCAAGGTAGCATAATTATAGTTGAAACCACCATACCTGGAAGTCAAATGTTTCGTCGCAGTTGAACACGAGAACAAAGCGTCCAAGCTGGTGACCAAGAGCCTTAACGGATTCTGTTTTACCGGTTCCAGCAGGCCCTGTCCATTAAATAAAAAAAGAGACATGCTTCATGTCATCTTAACCATCACTTCCAAATGATAGCCATGCCCAACACTTGTTACCGCTTTATAGCCATACAATTTTCTTATAACCCTCAGTCTTTGGAGGATTCAAGTCGAATTCCAGCTCGATACCAAACTAGAACCCTAAGGCATTGTACAAAGGACTCGCAGGGGATCTTCTATCCAGTAATTAAGTAGATGTGTTTAGTTTCAGCAAGACTGCTGTATTATATGTCTCAAAGCAAACACCCGAGATCCTTTTAGTTAAGACTAAATTATCTGTGCAGCTATTAAAATTGCTTTGCTACCTGAACACACAATTTTTTGTTTCCAGCGTTAAGAAAGCTTTTGAGAAATGGGCATACAGAAAAGAGTAACCTACCAAATGGAGAACCTCCCAGCCTGGCTTCCAAAGCTTGGGTCATTGTCAGGTAGCATCGATCAGTAAGAGGCGTCTGCACCAGTTTATCCTGAACGCCAAGATATTCAAAGCCATAGTTGAACTTGGCATTGGCCATCTGGATGGACAGTTGCTGCAACACGTCTGTCTGTTTAGGGTCAAAGTAGAACCTCATCTGGCTCAGCCAATCGAAGGATTTCGAGTTGTCAATTCTGCTTTTAATCAGTGATCGCGTGACATCCCTTTGGTGGACCAGCTCAGTGATCTTTTGAAAAAAGAAAAGGTGAAATTCAGAATGCAAAGTATCAAAACAACTATTTCATGAAACATCATCATGTTTAAAAGCAATTGGAGATGGGACGTCTAGAGAGCATAATGAAGGCTGCGGCTTACCAGGTGTTCCAACTTCCTTCTGCGGAGAGGTGGCTGCTCCATCAGCACAGAGTCTGCAAGCACATTCAGGGTGACCTCAACATTGGTCAGCACAGACTGCAGAGGGCTGCTGTCACCGCCCCCGCCCATGCCACTCAAAGCAGACTCCACGTTTTCTGACCAGGCAATCTGGGCTGACAGGACAACAAGCTGGGCCTAGAGCATTAAAACAAAAATAGGCATTGGCTTTTGCCAGATGTTTCCCTTTCCTTCCCCAAAAAGCACAATGCATTTTACTGAAGGCTGAAGAGAACCTATACCTGGTATTTGTCAATCCAGGAGATGTAGGTAGCTGGGTCAATAGAGGTTGCTTTGCCAAAGATTTCGACTTCCGTGACAGACTCAGCAAGCAGCTTGGCAAGTGTGACTCTCATTTCTTTCTCAACAAGTGTGAGCCACTCGTTGATCTTGGGATGCTCCGTGATTGAAACGGGAGTTTTGAACAACACCTGAAGGGGAAAAAAATCAAGTTTAAGTGTGTTTTTCTTTTCATAAAAGCTAGGATGAGGAATCTTTCTAGCTGGTGGGCCAGATGTAACAGTCTGCACATTTGTCAAATTCATCGCAGGGAGACAGAAGACCTGCAACGTGTGAGGACTTCACAGCGACGTGCAAAGCTTGCAAATTGCCCTGTGTGGTGCTTTGAAGCACCAGAGACTTGGAATTCAGCTGACAAGAAGTAACTTGTTTTAAACCTTCTTTCTGCAGGGATTGGTTGTGTGACCAAGCTTACTACGGGACACTTGAACACACAGCTGATTCAAAGGGTTTGGAGTTACCACCTATCAGCTGATATGCAGTAACTCCAAACCTGCTGACCTTTGGAAAAAATAAATACTTGTAAGAACAGAGCCTTTTGTTCTTTCCAAAGGAAGTTGCAGAGCTCCTTGAACAGCACTTCCCAAGTGCCTGACAACCAACTGATGCTTGGGCTCCTGGAAAGCCAATTGGTGGATCCTGCCAAGCCCTGCCTCTACATGCCCTTCACCTGTTGTCAGGTGTAAGGCAGGTGGGCGTAGCTTGCTCCTGATGGCCTGGTTGTTCGGAGGTTCCCCACCTGTTTTAAAGAGTGAGGTATCCCTTCACTGTACCTCCTCTCCCTCGCGTGAAGATATTCCCAGAACAATGGAGCTGTCCTCGTTAAGGATGATGCTCGACACTCCAGCAAACATCTTCTTGAAGTGCTTCTGCAGTTTAGCTACGTTCTTGCTGTTCCCTATGATTTCGAGCAAGTCTTCGTCGCCAACAAAGTAGAACCTAAAAAAAAAGAAAGCTTGCCATTTTAATGGACAAAAAGGGATACGGCGAAATGCAAAGTGACAAGCACCTAGTACCTTCAATAAACCCAGGATTTTTCTATGTGGACTGTCAAGTGAAGCAACAGAAGACTACATTTTGTCAGCTGACTGGAGCTGTTCCATTAGGCTGAAGTAGAGCGCGTGAAAGGAAACAGAGCAGCCATCAGCTATGCTGAGAAGCCAGTTCTATCAGGCTTCTCCCGCCCACAACGGTTACCTGGGAGCTCCCACTCCATCGGGATGCAGCAGAGGAAGGGAGAAGGGGCCACTTCATCAGCTCAGCTGAAACCAGCAACCTTTTGCTCCTCCAACCCCTTCAACTCTTTCCATTCCAGTTGATCAAACACCTTTGTTGACTAACAGAAGAGGTTCAGGCCAGTAGTCCATCTAGTCCAGCACCCTGCTCTCAGTGGCCACCCAGCTGTCTATGGGAAACCCTCAAGCAGAGCCTGAGCTCAAGAGCACTCTTCTCTCCTGTGGTTTCCAGTGACTGGCATTCTGAAGCACTACTGCCTCTGACTGTGGCGAACTAGTGCCCGAGTTTACTTTTTTCCTGCCTCCCTCCCAGTATTTTTTGGGTATCACACATTTAGGTTGTAAGCTTAAGACCAGGGCCCCATCTTACTACTGATGTTTGTAAGCCGCTCTTCTGGGTTGAAGAGCCAGGCTGAAGTCATTCGAACATAAAATAATAAAGCTGACAGCATTGTTTATTGTATTTACATATTCACATTTGCCGTTAATAGGTAATTAGTTTCAAGACAACATGGGAAGCCCAAACCGCAAATTACTGAATCCAGTTACTATACAGTATTGTGTCAGGTCACAAAACTTCTCAATCCAAGGCTCCCAAATTAAATTTAATAAATGATAATACTGGGGGGTATTGTTTTTGTTAGTTATAACGGTATATATTTTTGTGTTTTTAAATCGTAAACTGCCCTGTGATCTTCAGATGAAGGGTGGTACAGAAATTTAATAAAGTATAGCTCTTCACTGCATTATAATACACTGAAGGCATTTACGTAACTCTAGCTATATCTTAATGCCAATGTTCACTCTCTTTTAAAAGCTTGTCCCCAATCCAAATTATTTCCAAGCCAAAATCTGCACAGGTGGTTTAATTTTTTTGGTCAAACACAAGATTAGAACATGGAGGATGATAAGGTAACATAAAGCCTGGGGGACACTGTATTAATGCCAGAGTTTGCTTATAGAACAAAACTAATGCAGTGAAATATCAATTCTTTACCGAGGGAAAGAAGCTCTCTCTCTCTCCAGATACTCTCCCAAAGCTTTCTGGATCTTCCCAAGCAAGTCTGCTAATCTTTCCAGTGATCTCTGTACACCCTGAATATTCAGAACATCCATGACCAGGGGAGATTTGGACACCTTTTTCATGAGGGCCAGAAACTCTGTACTGATGCTGTGAAGTCAAGAAGAGAGAGCATTGAAACAAAACAGAACCACCACCAGTCAATGTCTCAAAGGAGGGATACATGAAAGCCTCCTGGGTGAAATAAGAAGTTACAGAGATTCCTGCATTCACATTTATCTTCAAGAACAAAACATTACCTTTGGAATCTCTGTGTTTCAACAGGCAACAGGTGCTTGATATCAGCGCTCCCAGTGAAGATACCTTCCAGGTAAACCCAGCGCCTCTGGACATCTATCCAGACATCAAAAAGTGCCATGATACGATTCAGTTTGTCTTCCCAGCTTAGGGCATCTTCTTCAAACACCTACAGATCAATAAATGGCTTTAATTTATGTAACTGAGTTACACATTGTAAACAAAGCACAATGCAACTATATTTAAGCTGTGTTATCTATATTAAAGAAAATTTATAACCACATTTTCCTCAATAAGGGATTAACGTGTCTAACAATAAATGTAAAAAATGCATAATCAAAAAAGTACACCAAGAATAAAAAACCAGAACAAACTGATCAGCAAAAGCTCAAAAAACACTTATGGCTCAAAAGCCTTCCTAAAATAGAAGGTTTTAAAACAACCCAGCATAAGGGCATTTAAGAAGGGCTGAGATGAGCCTCTCTTGGGAGAGGGTTCAAAAGCCTGGGCACGAGACACCGAAAACACCCTCTGCCCAGTGCCAACTAAATGCAATTCCAGGGAAATTAGGACCAAGATGATCTCAGAAAGCAGGCTGGATTGTGGGGAAGCTCATATAATTGTGTTCAGTGCTTGCTAGTTAGTCATAGCTATACAAAAGGGTGCAAACTGAAGCATATGCATTAACATTCCTGAATACATTAAGAGACAGAAATGAAAAGAGCAAAAGATACATTTTGGATTCTACCTTGTAGTATGGCGATAGCTTCATTGCAGAAACACTGTTGATGTGCTCTTTGACTTTGTTGAAAAGGTCATCCCAGCCACGAATCAAACGACATTTGTTCTGGTAGTTAACCAAATCCAGCTCATAGGTGTTCCACACTTCTCGTATCTTTACAGAAAACAATGTACAGTGATGTTTAGGATTAAAGGTAAAAAATCAGGCAGACCAAGGCAGCTTTTCTTTAAAAATAGCCCAACAAATGATGAAGAGCCAGAGAACATCTTTATGTAACAAGTGATCATCAGGAAGCAAGACCTTTGTCTCATAAATGTGGCCAGATGTTCAAATGATTCAACTTTTGATTCTATCATTATTTCATTCTAGAGTAATTAGCTGTTTCTTTAGCTAATAAAATGTATATTCTGCTTGATAGAAACAAGCAGTTTACAAAAATATAAAACGTTAACACTATCGATCAAAAATATTCAATACATAGATGATTAAAATCAACAGCAGCTTCTAAGAACAGAACTTTTTGAAGTACACTCTGCAGCCTGACATAGGTTTAACCAACTGTCCTCTAAAAAACTGGACTTCCTTGGGAAGGACAGAATATTGCCAGCAAGTTGCTGTTTCCTCTTAAGGAAGAAAACTCCCCAGCACTCCTGAGTGCAGAAGGCTGTGTTCCTTGAAGGAAGCCTCTTTAGCCTTTTCCAGCAAGCCTTCTTGCCACTTTCCCTTTACTCTCTCACTAATGCAGGGTCAGAAATAAGTAGCAACCATTGCATCAGGACTTGTCTTCCTTCAGTGACAATGGTTTTGTTTGAGTTAAGGGAACTTCGCTGGAAATATAGATTTAAAGTTTTTGAATGAGCAAAAGTATTTATTAAAAGCCAATAGCTACCTGCTTCAAGAATTCTTCCAGTGCCATCTCTCCCTGTGCTACAAGTAGCACATCTTTCACAATCAGTTCATTCTTCTGCAAATCAACATCCCAGATCTGCCCCAGGGTTAGTTCGGAAACCACCCAATTCACGTGCAGCCTCTTCATCAGTTGCTTCCAATGGCGATCTTTAAGAGCCTCTGACTTCAACTCTATCACCAACATGTTTATCTGTGGGGGGTAGAAATGAAGAAAAGGTGTAAACTTGTCTTGTTAGGCATCAGCACGATGTTCTATCCAGAGGTCTTTCACCAGCAAGCTTACCTTCATGTAACCTTTCAGCAGCCTCTGCACGTATTCATAGGATGCATATTGCCGTAAGCGAGCAGGGAAATTTTTCAGCTGGTTGAGTAAGCCATCTAGACTTTGACGGAGCTATAAGGAAGATAGGGAGCAAGTTTTATCCAGTTAACAGACTGCACAAATTGCTGAGTATTACCCATTTGTCATTTTTATTAACGGACGGCTCACCCAAGTAGTCCTATTTGCCAGGAACACCGACCAAGTTATTATCTTGTTCTCCTTTCTGATACAACAAGAGCCCATCTGCATGTCTACCCATAAGCTGTTCTTTATGCTCTTTATCAAGTCACCCAAAGACTCCCTAAAAAAGACTAGCCTCACAAACTCATTCTAAGTGTTCTTCTAAAATGGTCCCAATGTGCTACTTTTCTGCATCTTGCCTGCCCAAATTCCATACCAGTACCACCACGCCCCCCCATTTTTTTAATTATTTATTAAATTTGTATACCACCCTTTATCCATAGATGTCAGGGTGGTTCGCAACATAATTTCAGCTTCTCCTTTGCTGAGCATCCCTCTGCAACTCCCCAAAGTCCCCCAAAGTCTTCCAAATGTCATAGCAGATGCCCCCACCCATCTTACAAACCTAAATCTACCTGTCATCCAACATCCTCACCATCCTTCTCTGCATCCCAAATTCTTTCCCCTTGATTACAAATGCCGACGAGCTGCACTGCTAATTTAAATAGAAAGGTAAAGAAGCTGATGTTGAAGCCTGCAGTGGTAGCCATTGGTAGGCTGGTCTCTTTGCCTTACTGACAGGTTAGCTTCCTATGCCCAAGTTAGTTCAGAGATGTGCAGAGATGGTCAGGGTGCTCTGGGCAGGATTGAGGTCCCTGGGGCGTAGGTTTAATCAGAGCTATCAAATATGTGCCAAACCACGTCAATGCTGACTATACGGCAGAACATTTTCAGCTTCTGTTTTGCAGCGTTTTAAGAGGATAGATTTGCAATTTCTCTTGCTATGGTCCTCAAGTTCTTTACATATACACAGCTGAAGTACCTTGCGAGGCTGTACTGAAACCCACGGTTGCTCCTTCATTTGATCAATCTGTTCCCAGACCTTGGAAAGCTCAGACCAGACTCCTTTAAGGTCTTGGAGCTCTTCTAAAGCAACCTACGAGACAAGAGATGGTTCGAAACATTGGTAATTTTAGAGGGGGGAAAGCAGGATATGACAAATAATTCTAGTAGGTTTCGATCAGCGTAGCTGGAAAGATCTTTCTACGGAATACAGCAGCTGAAATTTATACACCCGGCTACTAGATTTTCATACCTGAACACGTTCTTCGCTACCACTGAGAAGTCCTGTATCTGTGAGTTCCAGAGCTTCCTTGGCCTTTGCACATTTCTCACGGTCATCCTTCAACCTTCCAAACTTTCCTTCGTAGATGGTAAGGGCTTGGAGAGCTTCCTCTGGGCGCAGGTTGCCCTGAAGAAAGAAGTGAAATACTATTATCAGACTAGGCATAGTGGAGTTCACTGTTATGTAAGGTGGAACTTTTGACTACGTGTACCAAATTTCACTTTTATAGATCGTGTACGACTACCTTAAGCTATTTTGAAATATAGCATATCCCAGTTTTGCAGAAGAGAGGTACAAGCACCCCGTTTTCAGACTTCCCATTAAGTTGGATGTCAAGGAATATAAAAGCACCAAATTCCAGTTCTCAAGGTCGTGTTGAGTCGGTTAGTCCCAAGTATCATTGGGGTTTGTTAGTGAATGAGACAGCTAGGCACAATTACAAACATTCATAACGGAAACATAATTTAGATCATTGGTCTTCAATTGGTGGGTCTCAGCCTGACTTAAGGCAGGATAATATTTGTATGGTGATCATGCTGTTAAGTGCTAAGTGCACTACTAGATGCATGTTTTGGCTAAAGGAGATCATAGGTGTCAAAGGAATGATGACTTAAGGCTCAAAATGCCAGAGCACTGAAGACAACTTACAGTTACAGGCTTTGTTTTCTCCCAGTCTGTCAGTAAGTCAACTGTACGAGTCTCCACAGCTCGATCTTCCTGAACGATTTTCATTTGCAGGTTTGCTACTTGCTGCTGAATGGCAGAATCCTTTCGACGCATGATGTCATTGAAAGCACCCCATTCTCCTTCAATGTTATCAATGTACAACCAGGATGAAGGAAATTGGAACCTCTGCTTCTCAAGCAAACGCTGGCCATTACGGTAGAGCTACAGGCACCAAAAAAATAAGTTACGATTCTAACAAAAAGTGTCAAGTTCAGATGCTACCGTTACACTGAAACTCGTCACCATGTAGGTTTTTTTAAAGGTTATTTTATTTTGATGTATCCCCCGAACAGGAGATATGTACAGCAATGTTTTATTTGGTACAGGCTTTGATCACATATCTTCTTGTAATAAAGATTGTGGTGATGTGTGTGTGGATGGTCATGTATGCCTTGGAACACAAGTAAATGGGGAGTTGCCTGTACAGCTGTCATTGGCTCTTATAGCTTTTAGGCACCAGCTGTCGACATACTTTCATGCAAGGCTGTGAACTGCCTGGAGATATTTGGATGAAGAGTGGTAAAGCTTTCCCCATTGAAACTGATTGCAGAAACGTGTTGTAGAAAGCTTACCTCAACTTGTTTCTCAAATTGTTTGATTTTGCGTTTCAGTGACTGCACGTATGTGATGAACGTCACGGCATCGGATGTGCTGGCTGTGTCCACTGAGTGCTGCTCCAGCTCTTGCCGTGACTAAGAAATGGGAAAAAATGAAATTTTAAAAAATGTTCTCATAAAGGAAAGGGAGTAAGTTTTAGATGCCCTGTTCGAAAGACAAGTAAAGCCTCTATGGAGGTGCCAATCACACTCAATTAGTTTAATACAGGCATAGTACAGGCACTCACAGTTCTTCAGACACCCCACTATTACGCATACGGTTTCCCCCCTCTAAGATTAACAAAGAAAGAAAGCAAGCTTTGACATGGAACAATCTCCTTCATCCCATATTGAGAGAAGAGAAGCAAGTGTTGCTATCTATGGTTAGGGGCACCTTTGGCAAAAAATTCTGCTTTGGTATTTTCAGTGGGACGAATTTTGGCAAACTTACCTTGGAAATTTGAGAATGGAACTCTGTCATGTTTTGGCCCAGCATTTGACCAAATTTGCTGAGCACTTCCTTATGCCAGGAATCATACTTCAAGTTCACCTTCGATTGCACCTATACAATTAAAAGAGTGGTAATTTTACTCTATGCCATCTATCTTATAATTTGCAAACTTGTGTTTCTTATATACTGTAGAAATAAATTAAAAAATTGTCCAGTAGCACCTTAGAGATCAACTAAGTTTATTTACTGATGTTACTCATCCCCCCACCCCTCCTACTTGTGGTCTGTTCTTTGATACCACTTAATGAAAATTAATGCAGGAGATATCTACTACATTATTCCCGCATCGCAGGGGGTTGGACTAGATGATCCTTGGGCTTCCTTCCAACTCCACAATTCTATGATTCTATAATTCTACTATCAGATCTATTTTCCTTCAGGGTGTTTACCTTTCCATAGTCGATGATAACAGGCCCAAATTCCTTCCTGGTTTCAGCATTGTCAAAGGTTCCCCTGGCTTTTCTTATCTGAACCAAGAGTGCTTGCCACTTATTTAAGTCTTCTCCAAGGCGGTTGTAGATATTCTCAGCTTGCATATCCCATAAACATTGATACTGGAGCCAAACCTGCAGATCGAGTGTGCACACACAAAAGAAATACCTCAATTTTTCATTTTAAGGATTTGTAAGCTATTAGATATATCCAATTCTCGGGTTTATGAACTGGTAACTAAAACTGTAAACTCCGTACTTTAAACAAATGTTAAATAACTCATCATTCCATATTCTTGATCAAGACACTGTCACGTGGAATAATGTTACGTAATAACTCTGGAATAGGAAACATAACATGTTCTCTTACCTTCACGTACTGTTCAACTTCTGTTACAATCCCCATGACTGCAGAGTAAGACTCTTCAAGTGCCGAAGGGCCATCTGGCATCCGTGTCAGGGCATTACGGTAGAATTTTTCCTCTTCTGATAATTCATAGTGCACACCCACCTAACAAAACACAGAAGATGTACCACATTTTGATTTAAAAGCAATGAGAGCTTTGAAAACATTAAAAAAAAAAAAGATTTAGGATAACTCAAGATTCTTGAGATTCAAAAGTAGTATTTCTTTATTCTTACCTGATATCTCTGACTTTGGATTCTAGGTAGCGACAGTATTACCATCTTCCAAGCAAACAGTTCTTGGAACAGTTTGTATCTACAGTCTTCAATGGGTGGATTCAGGTAGATTACCTGGTTGGTTATCCGCAGTTCATGAACAACATTCTGCAGGAATATAAAGCCATGTTCAGTTTTGGTTTACTGGAGGAAGTAATAACAAAATGCATTAAATTATCATTAGTCTGGTAGCATTACCCAAAATTTGACGGTGGTATTAAGTTGGAAAGTTATCTTTGTATCCGTGCAGTATAGCACAAATATAAACTGCACTAGACGAAGTTATGTATTCTGTTCAGAGTTTCCAAAAAACCACCTCTCCTGTAAAGCCTTTAGCTTAACCCTTAATCTTCACCATCAAGGCTAAGCACATATATGTAATCCTATATCCACTCCTCCATGATCTCTTAAACTGTCAAATTTTAGAATGAAAGCTCCCTGACACAGAGCTGTACCCTTTGTCTCCGAAATTCTTTTTTTAAAATGTTTTTATTTATTTCCAAGCATGGTGTCTTCAGTACATATATTTGTCATTTGATTCAGTAACAGTTATTGTAAAGGTTGATGAACGCAATACATCCTGTAACAATAGAACAAATAACTACTCCCCACAAGACGCAGGGAATTGAACAGGACTAAAAAGAGGCGGCCATGGAAAAGGATGGCGGAGGCTGGCCAATGATTAGATGAAAGAGCTCAAGACATCCCAGTTCCCTGCAACGCCAAGCCTTTAAATAAATGCTCATAGTATAAGCATTCTTTCTGTGATCATAAGAGCTGGGAACTTCATTCAGCAAAATTATGGATTCTTATGGATTCTCTGGATGCCAAATTTTGTGGAAGATCATCAGATTTACCAGAATTGTGCAAACACAGGACAAGACTTAAGTTATACTGCATCATTTCAATACACATTTTTTTCTAGTTAGAGATTTTACATGCATTACTTCCAGCTTGCAAGACTCCATGGATTCAATTCAAGGTGAAGACACCACGTACTTTGATCTTTGGCTCTCCACCTGGCTTATGGCTGACTTGTGGAGCATCTGTGTCCATATCAACTTCTGCTTTGTCATCCGCTTGACCAAGTAGTACTTGAGTCCATGCTCTCAGCCCAGCCTGCAGACGAACTCCCAGTATTCTCTCAATCTAGGAAGCAATTGCATTAACAAAACTGAAGTACTGCAAGAAACGCAGCAGACCTGAAGTTAGCACATGCTACTAAACATCCACAGAAAGATTTATCTTATCAGCATCCTTTCTTATTAGCCCCTTTGAGACCTGAGGATATGGACTGAAAACATGTCCTCTAGACACTTGTCCTTCTTGGCTGAATTAGGTTAGCTGGAAGTGTGTGTGATTGACTATACAACTTGGGACCTTTGTACCTGCGAGTGACTCCTCCCACACAGCCCCACCTATGTACTGAGATCTGTGGTGGGTGGGAGAGGAGGTACTCCCTGTGGTACCTCAGCTGTCAGCAGTTCATTATGTGGTACTGCAAAGCAGGGCTTTCTCAGTGGCAGCACCCCAGTTATGGAACTCCCTCTCGTCTGAAATATAGGCAACTCCTAATTTATGTGGTGGGTTACGTCCCAAGGTACCATGCATTTAATTGAAATCGTGTATATTGGGAACAAGCCTGCAAACATCCTCTAAACATCTGGAAACCTTTTAAAAACCAAAAATGCGCCAAACTCCACAACTGCTGCCTCCAAAACTCCCTGCTTAAACTCCCAACTCTCCACAGGCCTCAAAGGTCGGTGCAAAGGCTCGTGGGATTGCTAGATACAATTTTCATGATTTTAGGGCCGTTTCCCCCCTCCTTTTTGCCACTTCTGGGATTGCGGTGATGTGTGTGTGGATGGTCATGTATGCCTTGGAACACACGTAAATGGGGAGTTGCCTGTACAGCTGTCATTGGCTCTTATACCTTTTAGGCACCAGCTGACAACATACTTTCATACAAGGCTGTCAACTGCCTGGAGATATTTAGATGAAGAGTGGTATACAAATTTAATTAACAGCAACAATAATGCAGAAGTATGCTAGGCATTACTGCTGAGCCTATTGTTTTAGTATCACACACATTTGTAGCCTTGCAGCTGGACTCTGCATCCCGTGAAAGATGATGGGCTATATTCGGAAACTGTTAACTTCCAGCAGGCTTTTAACTCAAAATCTCTCAAGTGTTCAAACTAGATAACTTTAAAATTAAACTTATTAAGAAATACAGCTATCTTGTCCCAGTAACCACTTGCAAAGCTTACCTCCATATCCAATTTATTAACCCAGATGGGTAAATTGGAATATGAATGAAGATTCAAATCATCCACAGCTTTTTGAACTCTGTTTAAAATTTCGGAGAAGGTTTTGTGATCATACATGCAAGTTTCCAAGGATCTGACTTCCAGGTCTATTTTCTCTTCAATGATGAGCAAGTCATCCACCTAAAAGGCAGAAATGAAAACAGTCTTAAAAGCTCAGTTTCAGTATGCAAAATGATTGTTCTCTATAAAGCCACCCATTAACAAATGTCTAAGTTGCCTTTCCAACATGTAAGTCTAATATATCATTACCCCCAGTGGATTCAGAATTTAGACAAACAAGTGAATGCATATTAGCAGTGGTAAGTTGTTATTTACTCTCAGGATCACTGCATTTGAATACAATGCAAATAAAAACTGCATTTTCAAGTATTGATTTCACTAACTAGACTGACATCCTGTCTGGTATGTAATACTGTACTAATAAGGTTTTGACAAAAAATACTATAACCTGTTATATAGAGTCAATGCTGCCTTACTTCTAGTTGACTGAAATATTTTATAAAAAGGCTGTATCAAAATCCATTGTAGCATGAGGCTTTCCTGCCAGGCCAGCTTTAGAGTGTTGGCACTATGGCTACTGAACAGCTGAATGGCAAGTTCTCCAAGGTTTCTTTATTGAAGCAATACATTATTGATAAATCATGCACTGCAAAAAACCCAAATCCCAATAATAAACTTCAAAGAAAATTAACCTTTTCCTGGAAGTTGAAGACTGTCTCTGCCAGCCGTTGGACATATGGGTCCAGTTTGTACGATTCCCACACTAGAGCAATTCCTTCCCCAATCAAAGCCTGCACTTCCTTCTTTAGCCCAGCAACCAAGAGGGAAATGGTGTTCCGTTCTTCCACCTTTTCACAGGTCCGTTCGTATGTACGGACGCTTTCAATCAGAGAAATAGCAAAAGGATAGAGCTGATTTGCTTGGTGAGCTTTGTTGACTATTGCGAGAGGAACCCGGAACCCTAGCCACTTAAGGTTGCGGACTTCTTTCGACAGGGTGATTATTTCTGGGAGGAAGTTGACCTTCAGCTTGAGGACATTCCCTGTTCGGCCTCGAACACGAGTGCTTTCGATGGTGAAAATGCGGCCGGAGACACCAAGGTTACGCTGCTGAACCTTCCTGGCCCAATCATCAAATATTTCTTGGGTGTTGAGCTTCATACGGAAGCTGTCTCCATCCTGCTTCAGTTTTTGGCCCTCTACGTGGTTCTCCCAACCCTTCCCAAGGACATCTTCAACACGCTTCATGTAGGCTGTCAGCTGCCTGTCAATCTGTTTCGCCCAGATTATAGACCCCGATACTGGAGGCAAGTCTCTAACATGACTCATTTTGCAAGCCTGGCTCTGTGGATACTGCACTTTGAATTTGTCATGAAGCGACTCTATGTCATCTTTCACACGCTGAATCAGCTGGGTTTGGTATTCACGGATGGCACCTCTGATGTGGGGCCTGACAAACAGAGCATTGAACCTGGAGAAGATCCTGAACATTTCATTGGCATTCTTTGCTGTGCCCAGCTGGTCTCTTAGGCGAGCAGTAATGCGGGTCTCAACTCTATCGATTCTTTCATCGTAACGCTTCATTGCAGCTTCCCAGGCCTCTGTGCCTTCTTTGGAAACATCCAAGCCATCGACTTCTTTAACGTTCTCATAAGCAAGATTTACTTCTTCAATCGCGTTGGCATCAGCAGCGTCAAACAGCACTTCTGCTACTTTCATATCCTGTGGCTCAGGTACCTCTCCCTGATTTTGCTGGGGTACTGCAGTCACCTAAAAAGATAAAAAGATACCATTAAGCAACAGCAGTAGTAATCACACTACCAAGAACACACAGCAACATGGCCTCTTCCCCTAACAAATGTTCAACAACCAGCAGCCGTGGTTATTTCACTCACTAGCTCACTTGTTAGCCAGATTTTCAGGGCCTCTTTTAATGTGTTTCTTGATACAGTGGTGCCTCGCAAGACGAAATTAATCCATTCCGTGAGTCTCTTCGTCTTGCGGTTTTTTCGTCTTGCGAAGCACGGCTATTAGCGGCTTAGTGGCTATTAGCGGCTTTAAGAAAAAGGAAACAAACTCGCAAGAACTCGCAAGACGTTTCATCTTGCGAAGCAAGCCCATAGGGAAATTCGTCTTGCGGAACGACTCAAAAAACGGAAAACTCTTTCGTCTAGCGAGTTTTTCGTCTTGCGAGGCATTCGTCTTGCGGGGCACCACTGTAATCATAATTCAATGACTATCAAGCTTTTCGTTTTAGCATTTATCCTAAGAACCAGTAGGGGGAGCTCTCTTGCACTGAAGCAATTCCTTTGGAAATGGATTTAAACCGTTCCTTGCAAATGAGGGGCAGCTTGCTTCGTGGAAAGTGTTCTAGGTGAAAATAGTCTGGGTCAAGACAAGAGTAAGTTCTTACTTCGAATGGACTAGTTCCATTCTAACAAATCACAACCCAAGTCTCTAAAAAAAGGCACCAGCCGTTGTACTTACCTGTGGTCTTAACACTCTTACGATAACTGCTCTCAGTTGTTCGTGTTGGCGTCGAAACTTCCGCATCTGATCAAGACGAGCCTGGAGCTTTCTGTGAGCAGGATTGATGCGCCACACCATTTTCAGATTCTCTTCCCTCTTTCTTTTCACAATGTCTCTCAGTAGGACTTGCAGTTTCTCATATTCATCGTCCCAGGTCTGGAAGACCTCAAAGCATGCAACCATGACCTGAAAGAGAGTTGAACACCGTCACTGAACATCATGCTCCATCACACAAATTCTGTATATTGTATGTGTTCACTAAGGATGTGATGATAGATCTGCCTCCAAACTTTATTTGCCGGGGGCGGGGGGGTGGGGTGGGGAGAATGGACTGGTAGATTATGAAAGAGTAAAGGTAAAGGGACCCATTAGGTCCAGTCGTGGCCGACTCTGGGGTTGCGGCGCTCATTTCGCTTTATTGGCCAAGGGAGCCGGCGTACAGCTTCCGGGTCATGTGGCTAGCATGACTAAGCCGCTTCTGGCGAACCAGAGCAGTGCACGGAAACGCCGTTTACCTTCTTGCCAGAGCGGTACCTATTTATCTACTTGCACTTTGACATGCTTTCGAACTGCTAGGTTGGCAGAAGCTGGGACCGATCAACGGGAGCTCACCCCGTCATGGGGATTCGAACTGCCAACCTTCTGATCGGCAAGTCCTAGGCTCTGTGGTTTAACCCACAGTGCCACCTACGTCCCTATGAAAGAGTAGAAAAAACTATATTGCACCAAACAATGACTTTGGTATTATGACCAACAACATCCGCCCATCTGACTGGGTTGCCGCAACCACTGTGGGTGGCTCCCAACAGAATATTAAAAACATGATAAAACACCAAACATTAAAAACTTCCCTAAACAGGGCTGTCTTCAAATGTCTTTTGAAAGTCAAATGTTTATTTCCTTGACATCTGATGGGAGGGCATTCCACAGGGCATGCACCACTACCAAGTAACATCACTTCTCGCAGTGAAGGAACTGCCAGAAGGCCCATAGCGCTTAATCTCAGTGTCCGGGCTGAATGATGATGGTGGAGATGCTCCTTCAGGTATACAGGGCCAAAGGTTGTTTAAAAAAGAATTGTAAGGTAGTGTCATCACACATCTCTACCTTTTACTACCTATTCCAATGCTAAGGCTTCAGTTAGCAAGGAGGAGTGCAATGTGGCTGTAATTCTTTCCAAAAGTTTAGCTCAAGTTCCCACCCCACACTGATCCCATAAGGATCTAAATGCAAGACTTGCCTTCTCAAATTCTTCATAGGCAACATGCATCAATTTCCGTGTCCCCAACACTTTGAGTAGCTGAGAACTCAGGTCTCTTGAAATGGCCTCCACCAGGCGCAGCGCTCGTTGAATAGGATACTTTGTATTTCTGATTTTTCTCAGGTGGGTGAATATTGCAACCAATGCCTGCCTTATTTTATCCAGTTCAGTAGCAGACAGCAAATCATTTAGAGGGAAGTCTTTCATCAATGGATTGTAGTCATTTACTGTCTCCAATGCCTGTTTTAGACCTAGATGGTAGAAGAGAAAGCCGATTTCACTTTTTCAAACATTTAAAAGCATTTAATCACTTGGCTCGTGTTAATGTAAATGTGCTACAACAGCTAGAGCCCTGCAAAAATTCTGTTTCTGGACAGCTTCCATAAGCTCTTACCTGTGTCTGTATCAAAGCTGACAGTAGCATGAAAGCGTTTGCCGTGCTTCAAGATATCTAAAGTTAAGAGGACTTCAGGGCTTTCACGCTTCTCCTGAATACGGTATAGAGCACGTTCCAGGTTTAGCCAAAAGCTGATTTCTTGCAAAGCAGTGCCTGATGCAGGGTCCCGATCTAGTTTGGTCACCTTGAAAATTGGTAAAGAGGGTAATGAGGCTTCTACTGTTCAACAAATGGTGGAGTCAATACAAGTGAAGGCATAACCATATGATCATACTGCCTGCTGAACCACATTTCCATCCTGCTTTGTTCTAACTACTTGGCAATGTAAACAGAGGGCAGAGCAAAAAAAGATGTTGCCTGACTGGAACTGAGCATAGTCCTACCTATGTACAGAAAAGGACTTAGCTGCAAATGAAAACCTGATTCCAACTCTACAGCGGCAATCCTAAATATTAAGGAGTCTCAATGTAAACTATAAGACCATTTGGTTATATAGACATTATCTCCCATCTCCAAAATATTAATCTATGGATTACTTACATTCATCAGCTTCAGAGAGATTATCTCAAAGTAGACGGAAGGGTTTATTTAAAAAAATAAAACTGCTAAATAATGTACCCGAGTGTGTTCACACTGCTACACATAAAATAGTTAATGGAAAGATATAGGAAAGTAAAATGTGTAACTGGTTCTTATTTTTAAATTAAGAACATGCAATTCCAAGGATGAAGATTTCATCCTCACTTTAACAATATGCAATTGGGAAGGTATCCAACAACGAACTAGAGAGGGAAACTGAACATCCCTTGAACACTAAACGTCTTTTTCGAATTTACCTTTTGGATTTCTCTAATCCACCGGTTAACTCCAGACTGCAGCTGGTTGAGAAAAGTTGGGTCTTCAACTTTATCACCAAAATCAGTAACCTTCGGCTTTTCTCCACGCTCATAGCACTGCTTAGCAACATTGGTAATGATCGGATGAATTGGCAAACTAATCTCTGGGATTTCAATGTTTTGCTGCAGATGAAGAAGTCCCATTTCGAGCTCTGCAATTTTTTTCTCAACTGAGGGAGCCATTTTATCGCCATCCCTGAGGGAACACGGAAGTGAGCCAAAGGAAAATCCACCACACAGAGTCACGTACAATTAATGTGCATGCGGCTGCCCTCCCCACCTTATAAAGACAACATATATTTCCATTTTTCAAATTTCTTAAGCTAGCATGTGAGGCTAAGATTTCAAAGGGCTAGCCAATGAGGTTCAATTTAACATAGTTCAATATTACCCATGTTGTTTGGCAAGCTGCTCCCTAATCTCTGGGGATCTTTGGGAGCAGGCCTCTAATGCAGAGAAGCTGCAGTCAGAAGAAAAGCTTGGGGAAGCCCTAATCCACACAGACATGTGCTTCAACATACACACAAAGCTCTTAGGATCTTGACCACCATCTACTTTCCAGTTATATCTTCCTTCCTCTGCACATCTTTTATTCCTGCATGTACACAACGGCTAGAAATTACATGAACGAAAGTAGTTACCTGTCTGCTTTGCCAGACTCTCTGATGTAGGACTTAAAGAAGGGAGCAACAGCATTGCTGATGAAGGAATGCAGAGTTTCATATGGGGAGTCTTCACTGAGGGTAAGCACCCTGAGCTGTGAGGACACAGGCTTGTCCGCATCAATTACTGGTGCTCGTTTAATGAATGCCAAACTGTAAACCAAAGAAATAATATTAAGTACCTATTCAATTTAACCTGAGAACATATGTATTTTGGGGTTCACAAGGTAACTGTGGTTTAATGAACATTAACTTTTTTAGGAGGAGTCTTATTTCTAGACTTGAAGTTCTAGATATTTAAAGTTTTCCTAACATTTTAAAAGAAAGAAAAGTTTCAATGATTAGGATTGAAGGAATATGGTATTTTACATGGGTAAAATCTTGCCTACCCAGACTCTATGCCCTTGTATGCAGAATGAGGATGCAATGTGAATGGGGTGTCACAGGGCTAAGGGAGTGAAGAGTCAGGGACATGGTTTAATTCTGCCTTGTAGTATCAACTATATTTTCAGGTGGAAGCTCTTTTCCAAGAAAAGGAGGAAAGAAGCTTTTCCTTTCTGTTCCCCCTTCGCCATGTACTTGCTTTCTTCTGTTTGCAGATATACAGTTCACAGATCAATCTGCAAGATCATCTGCTTGGGCTCTACAGTAAACAGTTAGCTAAGGTTCTTCCTGTTTGTAGTTCTACTCATGAGTAAGCCTTGCTCATGACTGCATCTGCTGTCAGAAGGCACTCCCCAGGCAGAAAATCAGATGTCCCCAGGTTGTCTTTCCAGAGTCAAGACCATGGGTTTATGCTCAGAAGAGAAATGCCAACCAGTGGCTTGGTCCAGAATTTGGTGTGAACCAAATTTGCGGGGTGGGGTGGGGAATTCAGGAAAAAAATATTGTATGCACACTCATGGAAATTACTAACCTCGTCTCTTTAGAAGCTTATAGGGAAATTTATAATGTTTGATGTTTTATTGTGTTTTTAATATTTTGCTGGGAACCGACCAGAGTGGCTGGGGCAACCCAGTCAGATGGGTGGCTTATAAGTAATAAAATTGTTTTTGTTCTTTTTCGTTGTTGTTGTTGTTGTTATGGTCCCCACCCCCTTTTAAATATCTGCCTTGGTTTTTTTGGTGGGTTTTTTTTGTCACAATCGGGATCACGAGGGAGAAAGAGGCACTCAGGCAGAAAGCATAGCTCTCGCTCTCTCCTTCACTTTGAACTTCCCAGTTAGAAAGAAGGAACAACATTTCTACATTATGTGAGCACTGAAAATTGGTGGAGCAGGCAGGAACAGTAGGAGAAGATGGCAGAGAGATTCTGCAGTCATACGAAAGGCCTCTATCAGTCAGTGGGCATGGCTCTCATTCAACTCTTCCTGCCCAACTAACATTGGCCCAGGTGAGAATTTCCTACCAAGAGAGCTTTTTCCTAAATCTCAGAATTCCTCTTCAGTCCCACAATTGCATCAAGTGAACGGCTGTGTCAGAAGAGACACAGATTCGACTCACCTGTTTGACTTCATCCCATAATGAATGTCAGTACTTATGCCATAGGAAATAAATTCCTTCTCTTCCTCTCCTTCATCACCAACATCCTCTGTAAAGAATTAGGAAATTTTTATTATTTTTATGTCCTCTCCCCTCATTTCCTTTATGAGCCACATGTTCAGAACTTTACATTCAAGTTAGAATGCCTAAATATTTAGACACACAACACAACTTAATCTTAAACATATCTACTCAAATTAAGTCTTGCTTTGAGGCTTGCTTCAAGGGCTGCAGCCTTGTATCCCTCAAAATGCATGACTCTGAAGCTAGATGAATTCATTAGCATTAACTTTATTGCCCAAAAACCTCTCTCTTTCCCTTTATTCTATGTTAGCCTACTCCGGCTTCTCAACAAAATCCAGTTCTTCTCATATTGAGAGGAAATCAGATTTATTTAAAAGCAGTCAGCTTCCTCAAACAGTCTGAATTTAAGATATATATTATATATAAAAATAGCAGAAGAACTAAGATAAAAAGGGAAGAGCCCTGTTAATAACCGATGATTCAGAGGATGATGTCACTGCTTTAGCTGCCAACACTACAGCAATGAAACCACTGCAATGCAGCACAGCAATTCTTCCATCTAAGAGGCACACCCAAACAGGAGAACAGAAAGAGAAAGTGCACTGGACAAAGAATAGATCTTTTCAGGAAAGAACCCTGTAATAAAGAGAACTGTATGCATTCCTTATAATATCAGCCAAAAAAAAGCACTATTTTTCCATTATAAAGTTGCTGTCAAGAACTGTGAAACCTTTGCGCTGTGTACTTTCAATAAGCATCAATTTCCACAAAGCTTGATTATAAACAGCAGCAACCTTGGTACTTCTCAAGTCATAGCCCTTTTCCAGGAGAAACTATACTGTAGCAAATGCTGCCAAAATGTAAGCTTCTGCAAGCATGTGTCCTTTTCTCCAAATCTTATGCAAAGGCATCAGGGTTTGCTTTGCAATTAATATAAAAAGTAAAAAGTAAAATAGAGATACATTTCACCATAGTTGACATTCAATTTGAGGAATAGATTTGAATCAATCAAGACATCAATATGTGGCTTAAACTGTACAACACTGCTTCCAGAAGAGTGTCTTTAGGACACACAATATAGATTTCTCCGACAGACACGTTATTTGTTTTCAGCCTCAAAACTATACTATTTCAAAAACTTCTTTAGATGAGGGAGAAAGAATATGCAGGAATATGTGGGAGTATCTACCTCCTTCACGTTGTACAAATACTACTGTTCTTTCAAAAAGTCACCCACACACAACATTTAAAAGTTTTGCAACAACAGTGTAGTGCCTCCCACAACAGAAGTGAAAAGCTCATTAAAAAATTGTGTCAAGGAAGAGTTACATTTTATGTGTACAGATCTATGTGCACTCATACACATGAGCGCAACATACAAATGACCTTACAGTTCGGATCTCGAGAAGCTGGAAGCATTTATCTCAACAATAAGCCACTGTTTAAGCCTGCAAGTTTTTCAGGAGCAAATGGCAATGATGTAACGAATCAATATTAACAACTAGGATGCACTATATTGATCAGGGCTCCAGTAAGACTCATAGAGCTCTCTTTGGTTTATATTTAACATTGCATTAGCAACTGCTACACTATCTGTACTACAACCCAAACTCTTCAGGCACATTGCCTATCAAAAAGATACAGGGAGACAGCCAATTAATTCATGCTTAGAGTAGACCCATTGAAATCAATAAACTTAATGGTCCATTTATTTATTATTAAATTTGTATATGACTTAGTAGGCAATCACCCACAAAAAACTAATAGTTCACAAGGGGGGGGGGAATCATTAGAACTATTCCAGGACTATGATTTAGTCATGGAATTACAATTGGTCTGTTTACACTCATTAAAGCTGCTCATGAACCACAGAGAAAGTTATGCTAGGGCCTAGAATATGGCTGCTATAAGTCTGGATTTTCTCAGACATTACAGGGATTTCAAAGATGGAATTGACATCTGGGGGGAATTTCCAAAAGGTGGCGCTTTGTCCTGGATCTTAGGCAAGTCAATCGGAAATTTGCAGGGTGACCAGGTTTTTACTTCTTGAAATATGGTAACCCTAGCCTGGAATAACTATTATTGCTCAGGGACTTCAATAAGATATCTATGCCAGGGGTAGCCAACATGGTGCACTTTCAGACTCCAATTCCCATCATCTATCACGGGCCATGCTGACTAGGGCTGATAGGTGCTTCAGTCTCAAACATCTGGAAGGCACGATGTTAGCTATCCCAATAAGCTCTCTAGTTCTAGTCTATCTAAAACAAATATTATACTTTTTATGTTTAAATTTACATAGCTCAGTCCTCTACAAAGGTTCTCTTGTTTATCTAAGCAGCCAGCAGAACTCAGCAAGCAGGCCAGGCTGTCTTTCTGAGTGACACCTGGGCACTGAGAAATCCTACCAACAGAGTTAATGTTTGGAAAATGGGAAGCACCTCCTGGGGAGGGATTAATAATGTTCAGAAGTGGGGGCAGGGTGCTTACCAACAGCAAATTCTTGCAGAAGATTATAGATACAAATAATACTTAGAAAACCTCCGTCTACAGTAGCTGATAGTAAAAGCTTTCCAAAAAGGCCAGACTGAAGCTGATGCAAAATCTCAATAATTCACTAAAAGCTTTCCAAAGGCCAAACTTACACTAGTAGCCAATCAACATCTTACCACTGTATATGTAGAGACGTTTTCCTTTCGGACTGCGATATACTGCTGACTACAGTACAGGTAACTTGCAACTTATGCACATTTAACTTTATGCACTTGGTAAAATTAGAAAATAAAAAGGGGGTGGACGTCAGAGGAAAAAATACTTTAGCAATCCCACCTGCCATTGAACCCAACTATATGCAATTTTGGTGTTAGGCACTATCCCTGGAATGTAATCCCAATATAAACTGAGAGCCGTCTGTAATCTTATCAGCATGCCTTAAAAACAACAACAACCCACGCACATTCATATACCCCAGCCAGCTTGGAGAATGGCAGAGGAGATGCAATTACAGTAGCTGGAGTGCTGGGATTATTGACATTACATCTTGAGAACCGTACATAACAAACCTGTGGCCTTTCAGATGTTGTTGGACCACAACTGCAGATCCCGACCATTGGCAGGCTATGACTGATAGCATGATCGAAATAAAAAGTCCACCAACCGTCTAGAATGATGGCTTACCCAGAAAGTACCATGCTTCCCTTGCTATATAAACGGCTCAGGACCGCAGTACCTCAAGGACCACCTCTCTCCATATGAACCTACCTAGACCCCGAGATCATCCTCTGAGGCCCTTCTTCCATGTCCTAAAAATGCCTTCAACAAATGAATTTAGAAATACATGGCCCCTGCATGCAAGAACAGACATACTGGTACTTCCTTATGGCATTATACCTCAAGTTCCTACAAAGACATACATAGCAGAAGATCTGACACGCAACACATATTTTTCTCTACAAGGAGACTTATGGTGTTTGCTGACCAAGAGAGGAAGGGGTTGAAGACTAGAATGATCCTGTGCTTACTACTTGCCCAATCTGTAGGGAACTAGGGAAGATGTGAGTGGAAGCAAATAGGCTAATCCTCCCATACATGGAAGCATGGGATCTACAATTAACGGCCACCCAACAAGCCCCAGGTACTGGTCTACCCTTCTAGTTGACAACCTATAAGCCAAAAGAGTATGGTATCCATGTTGTCCAGTTCTGCCAAAGGACAATTGGAGATAAGACGAAGTGAACCAGAATGTCACCATTTGTCATTCTCAGTGCAGTTCTACATAGAAATGTAGAGTTGGAAGCAGTGTTAGAAATTCCCCAGGTGCCAGGTGCGTTTTGCTAGTGGGTCCAATTTTGACCACATGGATATCTCTGGATGCCAGGTTGGCAACTGACATCTTCATCTGGCTGGATGCTCCAGCTTTCTTAAGCATACAAGAAAAATTTATTACATTTACAGCCCACCTTTTTATCCAAGGAGTACATGATTTATCCCCTCAGTTAATCCCTACAATGACCCTGAGACGTAGGTTAAGAAGCTGTGACAGGCCCAAGGTCAACAAATGAGCTTCATGAGCCCTCATTCCCAGGTCCTAGTCAGATGCTCTAAACCAGGCATGGCCCAACTTGACTACAACTCCCATCATTCCTAGCTAACAGGACCAGTGATCAGGGATGATGGGAACTGTAGTCCCAAAACATCTGGAGGGCCAAGTCTGGCCATGCCTGCAACATACACCACACTGGCTTCCCAGAGTTCTTCTGCTATGGGGCAGCTATATAAAATAAGTAGGTAAATAAATGTGGGGGAAACAAAATGTCACAGGCCTGGAATTTGTTTTATTCGATGTTTTAATGTGCTGTAAACCACTTCAAGATTTTTTTTCTTTAAAATATAAAGTGGTATAGAAATGAAATGAATATTAATAATAAATCTCATTGCAAAAAGGGGGAAAAGGCACATAGACATTCCGTTCTGGAGACAACGTAGGTCTAAGGTGCAATTTGGCATATACATCGGAGTTTCTAACACTGGTTGGAAGGAAACCCAATGGTCACCTAGTCCAACCCCAAGCAATGCATGGAATCTAGTTCCTGATGAGAGGGTGAAAGTGGATTAGAAAATAGTGTAATGTGCCAATATAGATAACCTAGCAACCCTGTGAAAGTGAAGCACTGTCACTTTGCCTTTGAACCCAGGGTTGTCAGTTTTTTTAACTGGCTTTTACCTTTGCCTTTAACATCAGCTTGACAGTCAGGCAAGAAACAGCAACCCTGTTTATCTCCATGCCAGGAAAAGCTTCACCTACTGATTCTGGCACACCAAGCTGTTGTCAAAGGCATAGAAGCCAACCAGATGGTGGTTTGTCTTCCTGGCAACTTGGCAAGCCTACTATCCACCTTCTGCGTACTCTGCATCACAGTGCTCAGAAGAAGTCAATCCCACACTGGGAATTCCTCTCACGCAAGCAGAGCACTACTGTGTGCTGTACCTTGGACTATTAACCCAGCGATCATGCTCATTTTACATGTGGAAAGGCCTCACTCCGCCTGAATCCCCAAAGATCCTCTGCCTGTCTGGTCAACAAAGAAGCATGTGACAATTTCCAGAGCGGTGTTGCAGCAAAAACAAGCCTCGCTGCATCCTAAATATTTCATTCTTTTATGGCGTGAGGTGATAGCATGGATGAGAGCCCAGATGCATGAAACCTCCGCCTCAGTTGGCAGGTGTGTGCGTGTTTTGAGAAGAACGAGGATAGATAACGCCAGTGCACCCACATTAAACAGAAATAATTTGAAATGGTGTGAGGCAGCTTCCTATCTGTGCAAGCTCCACACAGGCAGGTATGGCCTGACTTTAACTGTTTTATTTGTGGCACTGAGGGTCACTGCATCGACTTGCAAAACAAGGCTTTACTCACGCAGATCTAGGTAAGATATACCATTATTCTTTATTAGATCCGCCTATTGCCTGTCACCCGAAGATCCTGAAGAGGTTCGCAGCATAAAAAAATAATAGTACAGAACAAAACCATAAAGAATAAAAAACCACAACGAAAACAGTAAGAAACCCAACCAACAACCAACCCCGCTCCCCTCCCACATTGAAAGTGATGGTTCATCAGCCCAAGGCCTGGTTGAAGAGGAAGATGCGTTGATGAGGAGACTGCCGGATCAGGCCACGGAGAGGGCAGATGTGCGGGGAAATAGATTTATTCCTGGTGCTGGCGAAGGGGCGGGGGGGAGAGAGATTAAAGGCGGTGAAGGACGGGCTCCCTCAGCCCGCCAGCCTGAAGACAAAGCGGCGCCGCCATTTTGACAGCCGAGGGAGCGGCGGCATCGGCAGCCTCCGTCTTCCCCAGCGGCCCCACCCCTCTCTCCATCCTCCTCCTTCTCCTCCGCTGCTCCTCCCTTGTTTATCCCCAGCTGGAAGGGAAAACCTCTAGGCCCCGGCCTCCCGCAGAAAGCGAGCGGGGAAGCCGCCGCCCTGAAACACGCAGCGGTCGGGCGGGGCTGGTGGGACTGGGGTGTCTCTGGGCTGCCGACTCACCCTTGAGGGTGGAGCGCTCGACCAGCACGGCGTGGACCTGCGGGTCGGAGAGGAACTTGCGCATCTGCTCCACGGCGCCTTTCTCCTCCAGCGCCGCCTCCAGCGCGGCCGGCGCCTCGCCGCCATCCTCCAGCAGCAGCGGCACCAGCTTGCGCAGGTGCTTCTGCAGCACCGACACGTCCGCCACGTTCTGCACCGCCGAGCCGGTCACCTCCAGCCCGCCGTCCTCTCCCCCTCCTCCTCCGCCGCCTCCTCCTACCGAATCGGACATGGCTGCTGAGGGTTCGTGGGATTCTCCCCCACCCCTCGAAGCCGATGGATAAAACCCCGCTAGAGACGAGACGCAGCAAACTCCCCCGGCGACCGCTGAGTTCTACGGCTCAGCGGTACTGAGCCGGCCGCGCCCGCCCCGCCGCTCTTTTAACCACCGCCTCTTGCCGTCAGAGCCGCCCCGGAGGATGATGGGAAGCGTAGTCGGGGAAACCCGCCCGGGCTTGTAGCTGAAGAGGGGGTCTGGGGTAGGATGGACTACAAGTCCCGACATGCATCTGAAAGGGGACACCCGCTCCCCCCCTCCAGAGGATCACGCGGGCAATGTAGTTCACGTTTCCGGCGGTGGGGCTCTGATTTGCTTAGAATGCAAGTTGGATTTACAGTATTGTGATGATCAGCATATATATTAAATATGTTTGAACTTATCCATGTTAATTTTTTTTAATTATTGGGTTTTCCCTGTGTTTTTAAGCTGCTCTTATTCTCCCCCCCCCCGTAAGCCATTTGGAGTCCCTGTCAGGGGGAAAAGTGGGGTATAAATAAATAAATATACAATTATGATAATAGTAATAATATGAGAAAACCCTCAGGTTTCAATCCTGAGCATTACTTGCATTCCTGGGCTCCTTTGGGAGGAAGGGCATTAACAATATTTAAAAATTACTTGTCTCTTTTGGATTTTCATATGTAGTTTTTGGCGCAACCGAAGGAAGCACGCTAGTATGCGATTAGTGTTTTCCTGATTAGAAAGCTACTTATGAGAGTGGAATCCTCAGGTCCCGGTTTTCTGCAAAAGGAGCTCAGTGGGGTTTGCTTTTGAGTAGGTATCTGCAGGATTGCGCTGTTAAATTCTGCTACTCTTGTAAGCTAGCAAATACGATGATGTTTTAAATGTAAGCCTGCTTTAGACATGGGACTATTTTTAAAAAAATTGTCTAGCCAAAGCCATTACAAGAGGTGAAAATACACAGGACAGAATAAAATTAATTACACAGTTAAAATTAAAGGTTGGGAGTGTGTGTTTGAGAGAGTGAGTGTGTGTGTTTTCTAGAGATTATGTAAAGCAAATGCAACGCCCAGGCTGTTTCTTTCTCTAGGAAGCAGAACTCAATAGGGCGCAAATGTCAGATTTGTGACCCCGCCTTCCCGCTTATTCTCAGGAAATCTTTTTTTCGAAGCCAAAGGCTGCAGGAGAAAAACTACTTGTTCCAGATTGCACTGCGACTGTTTCCGCCGGAGCAATGAAGAAGCAGTTTTGAGGCTGTCACTACGCAGCCTCTTGCTTCCTTGCTGCCAGAGAGTTGCGCTGCAGAGCTTTGCCCCGGATTGCAGCGCGCCGAGTGTGATGCATTTCTGATATTTTCGGCTACGGATAAGGAGTTAACGCTGCGGCCTTCTGCACCAAGCTCCACTTGAGCTGAGTAGGCAAAACGACTGCAATCTTAGCCACGCTTCTCACATGGGGCTTAGACACAATGAGTGGTCTTCTCAGCAGACTCGGGCTGGTAAAGACGCCTAGGAAACAATATGGGAATTCTTTCTGGGTAAACACGTGTAGGATGAGGCAGCCCACTTGCTGTAGTCTTTAAGCACGGGTAACGAGGGGCTTACTTATGAGTAAGAGGCCAGAGGGACAGAGATTAAAGCACGGTTTCCCAAACACGGGTCTCCAACTGTTTTTGGACTAAAACTCCTACCATCCCTAGCTTAGCAGGACCAGTGGTCATGAATGATGGGAACTGTAGTCAAACAAACAAACAAACAAAACAGCTGGAGAACCAAGTTTGGGAAACTGATCTAAAGGATTTACCATTCTAGAGGATGAGCAGATAGTCAATGGATTGGATTTCATAGAGCAGCAATGTTTCTGAACCCTATTCAGCCCCTGCCAGTGTGGTCAGTGATGATGGGAGTTATAGTCCAGCAACATCTGGAGGGCCACTGGTTCCCATCCTGGCCCATACAGGGATAGCGGACTCTCCCCTGCTGGAGGTCTTAAAGCAGAAGCAGCTGGGCAGCCACATAACAAGAGCCTGTTGGATGAGTCTCAGTATCCTCTTCCTGTAGCAGACAACCTATGGGAAGCCCGCAAGCAGGACCGGAGAGCAACAGCACTCTCTCCAAACTGGGAGTCTAAGCAACAGGTATTCAGGGGCATACTGCCTCCAACAGCAGAGACAGAACATAGCCATTTTGGCTAGCAGCCATTGATAGCCTTCATCACCTGCCCAATCCTCTTTGAGAGCTGTCCCAAGTCAATGGCCATTGCTACATCTTGTGTGAGCCCATGTTTTAACTTTGTGCTGCATAACAAAGCAATTTGTTAGGGAATGTTCAAACTGGATCTCTTGCATCAAAGGGGGTGGGTCAGAGCACAAGGACCCTACAACACTAACTCCAACAAGGTCTTCCTTCTAGTTGGAACACACTCAGCTGTGGATGGGAAGATGGTCTTGGGTTGCAATTAAGATGGTATCTATGGCTAAGGAATGCTCAAGGCTCGTCTCTCATCCAGGATAGCGGTACTCCAAAAGAGGGAAAGGGTCATTTCATTCCTCAACACACGGTGCTAGTGGATTTTCTGGAAACCAACACCGGAGTGCTGGAGAGACTATAGAGAGAATAGCCTATGTGTCCAAGCCTTGCCCAGCCCTCCCCATGCAAATTATTGCAGTAGATTCAGCTTGGGACCTGGACATGTTGGGAGTCTCTGTGGTGGCACCTACCTCAGCATAACTGCACACCACTTCCCAAAGAGCAGCTTGAGCAGAAATAATAAAAGCTTGTGAATGAACAATGCTTTCCAGCATGCCAAGATTGTGCTGAAGACAACCTCAACGTGCTGGGGGCCCTTGAACCCAAGCTACTAACTTGTTGCAACAAATGGTGGTTCTAGTTCTGTGATAATGGCAGCCATTTCTGTGGGATGGTTGGCTTCTTTTAGAGGCTACATAGTTAAGTGTACCAGGGTGGAAGAGGTGAGCATGGATTCCGTGAGACCATGGTTAAAACTCTACTGGGTCTTCCCCAACGGTCAGTCCTACCTAGTATGTGATTTCAATGGCAGGGTTCAAGATTGATACATCCAGGGAAGCAGCTGAACCTGTCCTCCATCCCTACTGAGTAACAACAGAAGCAGCTCATGCATTGCTGAAAAGAGGGAAGGGGCTTCTGGACCAAAGGGTGTTATTTCAAGGTCATGAGTGCTGTCATCTCTTTTTCTAGAACTTAACTACTGCCTGAACTCAAAAGGTCCACAGTGATGGCCCTTTTTGTTTTGACTACAAGATCTTCAATGAGAACAGGCAGGGAGGAAGCACTCTTGACCTTACTGAAGTGGAAAGAAATACAATATAAGGAACTTTTGCCCTTAATTTGCTCTGCTTTCTGATTCTTGTCTCAGTGCCATGGCCAGAGGACTACTCCCTAATTAGTTTAGCATGAGAGATCAGTGCACCAATCTTCCACTTATTAAAAGAACCTTGCCTTCTTTGAACATCTCTGCATGGCTTTGTTACAGGGGAAAAATGGACTGAAGGGGATAAACTTTCTTTTCTTTTTTTAAGGTGGTATAAAGGGTAAGGTAGAAAGATAAAGAACCCCGGACAGTTAAGTGCAGTCAAAGGTGACTATGGAGTGTGGCGCTCATCTCACTTTTCAGGCCAAGGGAGCCGGCGTTTGTCCACAGACAGCTTTCCAGGTCATGTCGTCAGCATAAACCACTTCTGGTGCAACGGGACACTGTGACGAGTGCCAGAGCGCACGGAAATGCCATTTACCTTCCTGCCACAGCAGTACCTATTTATCTACTTGCACTACTGTGCTTTCGAACAGCTAGGTTGGCAGGAGCTGGGGCAGAGCAACGGGAGCTCACCCCGTTGCGTGGATTCGAACCGCCAACCTTCCGATCGGCAAGCCCAAGAGACTCAGTGGTTTAGACCACAGCATCACCTGCGTCCTGTTGGTATAAAGGGTAGATATCCCCAAGAAGGGTGAAGGCACAACAATGTAGACATGCCATTCCATTAAAAAGAGACAGTGAGGGTAGGGGTGGCTTTCCCTTGTTTTATTTCAAAAATTGAATAAGACTGTTTTCTGCATGCAACAGAGTGCAGCTTGGACTGCAGAATTTAATTTGTGTTGAGTTTGCTCCATAGTGGAATATGTCTAGGGAAAGGGGTTGGCTAGGATAGCCTTGTGGTCCCTTGCAATGTCGTAGCATTCTAATATATGCTGTGGAATTCTAAGCATGCTTAAGACTTGGAAGTAAACTGAGTTCAATCTTCCCTAGTAAATGTGCCATGGACTGCAGCCTCGATTTCTTTTCCGTTTGCAGTTAACCATTATGCCTAGAGAGAACTATCTGATATATGTTACTGCCTCGAGGGTTATCAAACACAGAAAATAAACTTAGCTACACAGCAACATTTTTCTCTTTAATTTTTTATGAGTGACAGTTGCATGAGGTAAGGCATAATGTAACAAGAGAAATGTATTATTTAAGGAGACCACATCCCAAAGCACCATTATTTTTTCATGATTAATGCCAGGTTTCTCTCTGGATAATAGACCTTTACCCCTTGGCAACATGCTCTCTGCTTCCCTCACCCAGTAAATCGGTTTGCATCTTTGCTGTTACACCTAATTTGGTCTTCATCTATATTTGAGGACTGCTGCACTAAAGTTTGAATGCAAGTATGCAACAGCCAACTAGAAGGATGCATAGCTGTGATCATGCCCTGCAACATGAAAACTGGCTTTTTGTTACAAAAGCTGATCGGTTTAATCAAATTCCAAACCAAGTGTATAGAGAAAATGTAGTTTCTACTAGATACAGAAAACCCTACTGTAAAGTTCATGTATTGCTTTCAAGTCTTCATGTCCTGGTCTTCTACCTGACTAGGACAACGATCCAAGAGATGCATGAACAAATGTTACGGGCTTGGTATTACAATGGCATTTTTTACTGTTGCTTGAAGAGCTGCCCCTCATAAGGTGTCATTAACTACAGTGGTACCTCGGGTTAAGTACTTAATTCGTTCCGGAGGTCTGTTCTTAACCTGAAACTGTTCTTAACCTGAAGCACCACTTTAGCTAATGGGGCCTCCCGCTGCTGCACGATTTCTGTTCTCATCCTGAAGCAAAGTTCTTAACCTGAAGCACTATTTCTGGGTTAGCGGAGTCTGTAACCTGAAGCATATGTAACCTGAGTTACCACTGTACTTCTGAAACTCCCTGCTGTACACCGTGCAGCATAGGTGGCTGCTGTTCAAAGTACAAATCCCTTTAGGTCTACAGGACCAATTACTAGGTGCTGACTTTGATTCAGAGTACCATGAAAGAATTGACTCTCCATTAATTCAGGAGGAAAGCAAGCTAGGATTTTGACTCTTCCCGCCACGAAGATCGGCTCACATACTTCACCTTGGTTCATTTGTCAGTTTGTGGGACGCTGGCCCACCCTGCTGCTACCCTTGGCTTCAGTTGTAACTATTTCGAATGATTTAATCCTTCTGTCTCAGCATTTAACTACAGAATTGTAGCACCAAGTAGTGATGCAACCACACACAATGGACTGTAGTCCTGAAGAGCACAGCGTACTGACATACTATCAAGACGAATCATGATCATTCGGAGCGCCGAGCTGCATACAGTGGTGGTTTTATGCCGGAAGAAATTGCTTTCCATTCGTGTAAGGCAAGGCACCCAATTTTCATAGACTCCAGTACTGCATGACCCTCAATGCAAAATCCAGTTGCTGAGGGTGCTCCAACCTTCAGGATCTGCTGTGGGTCGGTGGAGGATCACAGAAAATTGGGAAGAGGTTCTGCATTAAACCGAGAAAAGCACAAGAGATGTGGACCAGCTGAGGAGCGGGGGCTGTCAGCCTTTTTGTGTTGATGCAAGACTCTGGTGTGGCAGCACCTACTACTGACACACTATCTTCAAAGGGTTGGTCAGGAGTGAATGCAGCCCACCAGCCAAAACGGATTAGCCCCCTCTGCTCAAAGCCAAGGAAGCTCTTTTGGCTACCTGGGAGATGCTGGGGCTTGGACTTTGTCCAGCTTCTAAAGGAAGGAAATTCCACCCCATGGCATGGTTACATGATGCGTGTTGTGTCAAGAGTCACATATTAGTGGACAAACTTTGGGTTATTTAAGATATTAAATGGGTCAATTTGACACTATACAGTACTGTCAAATTGGCCACTCTGTTCATGGCTCAGTGAAATTCCTATAAAGAAAGTTTTCTACTTTGAGAGTAAACTTGCAAAGTTTGGGGGGGCGGCACACGACCAAGTAGAATGTCTGCCACCATCAAAAGGTGAGGGATCTCATCTGGCTTGTATGCAACATTTAGTAGTGTTTAACAACTGCAGGAAAATGGATTTGTCTTTCAGTAAGCATAGATTGAGACAAAATCCTAAAATCCTTCTCAATTTTAGGTAATGAGATTATTATCTATGGTTTTAACTTTAAGAGTAGCAGTCATTTTTTGCATGGAGACACTAGAGTGCTAAAACCTTTGTGTTTTGCACTAGGAAAACCCAATTATCAAAAACCTTATTTTTTCACACAACAGTTTATGCAACTTTCGTAATTACGGGCAGAGTGAACACACAGGTCTGACTTGTCAGGGGGACAGAAATGGAATCATCAGTTTCTCCTGGCCACCACATATATATAGGCTGCTTCATCAATTGCAATTCATCAATTGGAGGCTTTGAGTCTTCTGTAGATGATGTAGCCTTATTGAAAAGGCCTTATTGAAACTTTGTTTTGTATGGGTTTTTTTATTGGATACCTACATAATCTGCCCTCTTGCTGGAGGATCCTTTCCTTAAGTTAAACGTAGTTTTATGATGAGCAGGTAAAATTCCATTTCTTCTTTATTTAATCCATATAATACACCAGTTTTAGAATTTAAAAACTAGATAAAAGAGCATATTAAATGGCAGGTGTATGAAGTTTTTCTTCATAAAACAATGTCTGAACAAAAAAACCTGAATTATAAAATATTAAAAAATAGGTTGGTACATTTGAACATAGCATTCAACTAAAGCATAAAGATACAGATATAGTATAAAGAAAAATTGTGCCACTTACCTATAATTTTTTTTTGCTGTTTCTAGGAACTTTTTATTCTGTACATAGGACCATTCTGTACAAAATATGAAGTCTACATTTTTATTACTCATTACAATAAAACAAAGTACAATGTATGTACAATATTAAAATGAAGCCATACTAAAGCCACACACAAAAAAAGACACTTGGTAATATTCTTTTTGACATTCCTGATGTACAGGCATAAAATTTTGGAGAACATGGGAAGATGGCTAACACTGAACTTTATGAAGAACAACAGTCACCAAAACTATATTTTATTTGCACGTTTTTATTTTGGATGTATTAGTTTTTAGAATAATTTAATACAGAACTTATACAGAGCATAAAAATGGTGATAACAAACAAGCCAAACAATTAGTGCTGCTAAATTTTAGAATATTGCTTAGGCAAGTTTGTCAACTGGCCTAAAATCTCAAGAGCAAGTTTTCATGGCATAATTTTCCTACCTATCCCAGAACGTTAGCTTTTTGGTGAATGTTTATCTTCAGTAAAGAGAAAAAATAAAATCTAGACAGTGAAAGATCTTATACGTTGAGCGTTACACAGTCAACCAAACATTGATATACAATATTTTCCCACTCCCCCCAGAGGATAACATTAGTTTGAATGCTTCTTTCCAGAAACCTCTTTCATGAACCTACTGAACAGCCTAATTATAAAAAGGTATTTGACAGGTTACCAGCTAAAGATGGAAGTTCAAACAATGGTATATCAAAATACATATAGACGTTGCCGTTTGCAATTAAAAAAGCACCCTTTCCCCCTACCTCAAAAAGGGAAGACATCTTTAATCTGCTTTAAATTACTTGTTTTTCATGGTAAACCATATTTATTTTCAAGTTTAACAGGAATTGTTTTTACACAGAATGGGTATTTTATTTGAAGCTTGGAGTGGTCTTTATATTAATTTAGTTCTGCCTTACCACTAATTCCCATCACACCACATATGATTTCTCCCCATAGCTTTTGCAATAAATATTGGACATTTTGTTTTAAGTGAGACCAGACAGCAGGCACTACATCTGCACAAGGTTACTATAACTGCCTGTTTCGCACAATAATTTTAATGGATTCACGATACCTCATTTCCTTAAAAACTTATTTTAAAGAAGCCACATATGTTTTAACTTTTTCTGCATCAAGACATTAAAACACTGTTTGCTACTGCCAGAGACAAAAGAAAGAAGTTGCTGGTTCTAAATAAAACACAACTGAAACCCAGCTCTTAAGCAGGATACAAAAGTCTAAAAATACTGGCCACCCTGAGAGAAATCAAATATCGAAGACAAAGCACTATATATATAGAAAATTTCTTCGTGCTTTCCCATCCACAACAATAAAAAAGAGCTCACAACATGCACGTAATCTTGTGGACTATATAGCAGCATTTGAAGATCAACAGTAACTTGGATGAGTTTTTTTTCCTTGTGAGGTGTGTATGTTTTACATGTGCTTTTCACCACAGAAAACAATATGACAGCAGAACTTTTGTAACTCATTTCTCAGCTTTTAAGACAGGCATCTGAAAAATGCATAATGCAATGAGGATCTGTTGCCTTATTAAATATAATCTGAAAAGGTACTAATGCTGCACTCTCATCAAACTATATCATCCAGAGAAATGTATCCAGCTAGCTGGTCTCATGATGTCTACAAAAAGAACTCTTAGAGCTCAAAATATGCCATGCAGTAAAAACTCAGGTAAGGGAGAAAAACATTTAAGTCATTCTGGTAAATGAAATAATATTTTTTGGGGGGAAACCAAAATAAGAGTTATGCAATGACTTATTTTTTCTTTTTTTTAATGCAATTTATTTCTAATCAAGGCAGACAGGATTTCAGTTTTAGGAACACAAATTCTTTTTCTAGCAGGTCAGTTCCAAAATACTCAGCTTCTATTACATGCTAAAAGATTGGAAAATATGGCTTCAATCCATATAAAGTACTTTGAGGGTGCCTCTCTCTGAAATAATTTTCAGAGCTCCCAGAAATTAGCCGTGATTGAAGATTGTCATGAAAATTGCCATTCTGTAAGCTGAACTGAGAGAACAATTTAACTGTGTGTGTTTCCAAGCTGCCAGGAATTTGTCAAGGCAGTAATGCAGGTTTGTTTCCCCCCCCCCCCGGAAGTTTTTTCAGTGTTATAAAAATGCCTAATAGGTTTTCGGTGAATTTACAAACTCGACTATTGCCACAGTACCAACTTTGGGGACAGGAAGAATAGAAAGAAAATGGCCTCAGCCTACCAGGCACTCCTGTACTGCAGCTTCCAATTAGGAAAACCCATGCAAGGCCACTTTGCCCACACAGAAAGCAGTTCCATATAAATAAGAAGAAGAAAAAAGGAATGTGCAGTCACACACACATTTTCTTGTGTGCCCGCACATATATGATGTACATGAACCACAAGCTGCAGCAGACTGTAGTCTAACAGGTGTACATACTGCAAACAATATGATCAACGTTATGGTTTCATGCTTTTCCATACACAGAACTGCTTTCCATGCCCCGCACAAAAGAGGGAAGGTGGAGCAGCCAAAAAGGTTTAGGGAGGTTGTGTGGCAACAGTGTTTGATTATTTGCGCCAAGGCTGTTCTTCTCTCAGTAATAATATGGAGGGGGGAAAGTGCATGCTTCCGACTGGTTAGTACTATGCCAGCATCCTCAAGGAAGTGTCTTCGTTTAATACTTGTCAACCCAAGATTCTGCATATAGAATCAGATAATTTACCATTGTTTGAACAACTAATCTTGAGCTGCGCATACTGTATCAAAGTTATTGCCTAAAGAAATGGGATTGGGGAAAAAGCTTTGACTTGTGTGTAACTGATCAGTATGGCACAAAAAAAGTAAGTTCTCTACTGTGGAACAGAGTCCAGAAAAAAGGGTTTTCCTCCAAATAAGATTTCACTTGAATAGTCTAATGCCCATCATGCGTTATTAGATCATCAGCTCGGCAATGGGACTCCAAGGCTTTCATGGTATAGATATCCTGAGGCAGTTCGGACTTGCGGCGCACAATAACACGTTCCTTTTTCTGTTCCTTCTGTGCCTAAAATCAAAATGCATTTTTTTTAATGCAATGGTTTAATCCACAACAGGTTGGTTTTTTGGGTGAAGAAAAGTATTATTAGCAAGCTTACGAGAGCAAGTTGGCAATACAACCTGGCTACTGCTGGAATGACTTGGTTGATGCAATGCTTATCCATACACGGCACCCCTCTGAATACATTTTTGGATTCTCCTGGTTCTTTGGGAAGCCACCAAGTCCATAAATTTAACAGTCACTACATACTATCATTATAGGCATACCATTTTTAAGTTGTTTAGGCTAATAGCCATGCCCCCTGGTGAGCAGTCGTGTAGCAAACTGTCCTACCAACTCCCTCTTTCGGCTACAGGTGCCCATTCCAATTGTGCGGCTACCATCCTAGACAGCACCATCCTAGGAGTCAGCCATAGGTCCATGGAAGCACAGTGTATCACTACAATGGATGGAATGGCATGTTTTGATTACTCACCCAAGTAGGTCAGTAAGTCCAGAAGTAGTGTACATGGATGCATATGCAGCTGCCATACATAGCACTATGGTTTTCTTTATTGGGGAGACACATCTATACTATGCTTGCCTGTCTCCTACTGTTATTTGGCCCACAGCGAGAAAGACCATGGCCTTGCACTCTGCTGTTTTGCCAGCTGGAGAGATGCATAGCAGTGCTATGGCAGCTGTGAGCCAGGCTTTCAAATGCAGGCATAGGCTCCTACAACAACACTGAGGATGGAAAAAATAGCAGGTTGCAGGGACAGAAATGGGGGAAGGAGAAACACAGGTGACATAGGTTTGGGGGTGAGCACCTGTCCACCCCCTTATAATGATTTACATTCAGTCACTAACCAAGTTTCTTGGAGTAAGATACTGTCAAAACTTTTGAGATAATGAGGTTGGGGTCAGTAGCTTTGTTCTTCCATCCAGCTATATTCCAGGAAATAAACGTTTTACGTGTTTAATATGTTTGGATCGCCAATGTTTTATGGATGGTTTTTTCCTTCTTTCTCTTTTATGATTTTATTGTCTAAATTATGCCAATAAAGGCTGAATGAACGAATTTATATCCTTATTTGGTCCTTATGCGGTTTTAGCCTCAAAAACCTGTGTAGTAAGTAGTCATGGGCAGGATCTGAATTAGGTCAGGACTAGAAAATCCAAGATGCTGAGGGGTGGGGTAGAGGGAGCGGGAATAACAACCAATGATCATTTTCTACCTCCCTGAAGTATACGTATGTTGCTAGAAATATTGAAGTCCTCACTAGACCAGTTTCTACTTGACAAGGAAGCCTTCTAATAAACCAATTGTTATTAACTTTTGCGCCATATTTAAATATGCGGTATCTCTCTGTTTAAACCAGGAGTCACCAACTTTTTTGAGCCTGAGCACATCTGGAATTTTGAGAGTGCACTGGATACTACCACCTCTGATTGCTTCCCTTCCTTCTTTGGTCTTCATGCACCCACCCTTTTGTTTTTCCAAGGGTAAAAATCGCATCCAGTAGAATTAAAACCAATCCTCTTAAATTTGCCTCCCCACCAGCAAATGAAAGACCACACTGGTAGACTGCACAGTAAAGATCACAAATCTGGTCCTTGTGGCCAGCACCACAAACACATTTACCCAAGGCATAGATTCCATGATTCAACACGGGATGAGAACCAAACCACCAACAAATCACATAACACATCTATGAACAAAGATGTGGCCTATAATTAGATGGTAATTTTGAGATGTTCCCTTGCAAAAAAAATTATGAGGATCTGTGCTGCAGAACCATGTTTTTTTGGTTCTGGCAGAACTGGAAACCACCAGATGTGTGATGGTTACAATTCAGTCTACGGAGGCACATGTGATCTTTGATTCGATGGTGGTAGTGGTAGGGGAAACCTATTAAAATTCTGCAATGTCAATTGGATCCATTTTATTGAATTCATTATGTGTGTGAGCATGTACGTGTAGACACAGCTTTTTCTCCGTTCTTTGGCTCCTGATGCCTGTGGCATGCCACCCCCACCCCTTTCACTCTTCCTCTACCCTCTTGGTCACTTCACTTTGTCTTGAAAAGCACACAGAGCTGAAAGAGGAAGCAGAAAGGAGTCTTCCAATTTTCCCCTTTAGCTCTCTGCATTTTTCAAGGAAAACCCTCACCACCTTCTGAAAAAAGGGGCAGTTAGGGGATGAGCTTAGAAGCTTTGTGGATGCCAGGAGATACCCAAGGGTGCCATTGCAACCACAGGCATCTCATTCATGGAACCTGATAACTAGATGTGTGTTGATTTCTCAGTGTGGCTTTGGCAGAGAGGGCATCAAGACTCACTGGCAATCCTCTGACGTCAGGGAAGCCAGGGCTGAGCAGTCTTGTGCTCAGGCAGCAGACACGGGACAAGGGAATAAAAAAACATGGAATTTCAATAAGCGAGTTTCTGTTAAGCAATCTCTTCACTGTATATTTGTTGAAATACCCACTTCACTTTAATGGTTCTGAAGCCACTTAATAAACATAGGACAAAAAATTCTCACTGCTCACATATGCAACGGGACACGGTCAACAGCTACAATAACTATTTTACTGACAACAGGAAACTACTTAGAAATTACTAAAATTATTCTGCTCGTTTCAAATTTGTCATTTAGAGAGGAAAAGCATAACTACTAACCAAAATGAGTAATTTCTAAATCAAGTTTGGAACGAGTAGGCTAATTTTTCTTCCTATGTGCTTACCGGACAAGCTTCTTCTTTCACTGCCTTTTTCAGCACCTGCAAGTCTTCAATTAAAGGCCCATCTGTTTCCATTGCAACAGGACTGCTCACCAGACAGGTGTCACTAAATACTGAGTACTAACCAAATGCAAAATGTTTTATGTCAGAATTTTCGATGGCAAAGCTTAAGATTAGCAACAGCAATTTTACTGACAGAAATGTTACCCTCACACTTGATTAAGAGTAATTTACACATTTTGTTGCACAAATCGAGTTTTGGATTAAACCATGAACTGTTATAGCTTCTATCTTAAAAAAACAGGAGATTTGATAGTCCAAACTGCTTGTTGAAATCTAATAAAGCCGTATGTCCAATGGAAATAATGAAATGAGCATAAAAATAATAATCTAAGGTTCATTTTGTCAGTGTTGAAACCCGTTAGTTAAGGGTGAGACACGACTGAGGTTTTTTGAAACTGTGTATGGTGGAGAAAATGTGTTGTTCTATCCAATAAAACCCATTTGCAGGAGATAAAAAACAAAGAACAAAACAGAAAATAACTTCACACAGTGCTTAATTTATGGAATCTGCTGCCACAGAAGGAGGTTATGACCACTAGCTTAAATGGCTTTAAAGGGGAATGCCTTACTTGTGAGGCTTCCCAGAACATCTGACTGGTTGTTGTGGGAAACAAGATGCTGAATAATGCACTATTGCTCTGATCCAGAAGGGCTATTACGTTTCTGCAATGGAAATATGAAACAATATGGTTCTCCCAGTTTGGCTTTATGCACCCAGCCCCCTTATCCTGCACCACCTTTGAGACTTTGAAGGATTTCCAAACTAGACACGCTAAATTGGTGTGATGGGAAATTCAAATGAGAAACAGTCAGCTACGTTCCGTCAAACCCTAAACTAGCTCCTAGGACCCAAGATACAATCAAAAGTAACCTTTAGAGCAAACATCTTTTTACTGGTTGATGACCTACCATTTTAAAATTTAGTAGAAGAATTTAAGACCAATCGCTGCACAAAATGATGGCTAAAGGTATGCCAGGAAAAGAAGACCAGCATGCTAAAATATTTGCATTAGCCCAATTATTGGTATCAGCACTTACCAATAATAAGAGGCTATATGAAATAAATAAAAAAATTGCCCAGTAGCACCTTAGAGACCAACTAAGTTTGTTCTGAGTATCAGCTTTCGTGTGCATGCACACTTCTTCAGATACCATGTGTGCATGCACACGAAAGCTTATACCCAGAACAAACCTAGCTGGTCTCTAAGGTGCTACTGGGCTTTTTTTTTTAATTGCATCAGACCAACATGGCTACCTACCTGAATCAAGAGACTATATGGTCTTGTTTGCACCTCAGTAAAACATAGTTGATAGCATTATATCCAAACCAGAGAGTGTGGTTTGTTTCACCCAGACAAACTATGATATCCAGTTTGGATGCAACTGTAAGCCAAGGATCATGGTTTGTTTCTCTTAAGTGCTATCCAGAAGCAACAAAGCAGGCAAGATCATGGTAAACCATGAACTATGGCCTACTGGGATGTGCAAACGGGGCCAATGAAGTTTTATGAGTCAGCAAATCTGCTCTCAGATAAGTCACTAATTTGAACAATTATCCAACAGACCAATTAATCCTTTAATATATTTTCTGCATGAAATTCATTTTATAATAACTTACCGCTGATACTAAATTAACCTGAACAACAAAATGTTTATATGAAATTGGGTCCACTATTTATACAAACTGATCCACACAAGCAGCATGCATGATTACTTTATAAAAAGTGTAAGAATTACAAATTCTGAAATCAGTCATTGGCATTGGTGTACTTTCACACCAAATCTTCTTTTACGTAATTTAATAAAGCAACGTATTGCAAAGCAAAACAAAACCAATGGTAATTTACTTAATATTCTTTGAAAAAGAAGTCTATTTAAAAAAAAAGTATCATGGTAGCAAATTTCTATGTTCCCACAGCGTTCAACAGGGTTTATTTCTATGTAGGAAGACCACCTCTGTGCCTCAAAAACCATGGCAGTTGTAGCGACTGACCATATTTGCATAGCTAACTTCAATGCCGATTCTAGACTCCTTTCGTAGTTTACTCCCTTCACAATTTTACACATCTTTACTCAGAAATAAATCCCACCAAGTTTCACAGGATTTACTTCTCTGTAAGTATGTCTAGGGTCAAGTACAACCCCAGTAAGGTCTTAATCAATAAACTTTTCTAATGGGAGTGTTGTCATTATTCTTTGGGCGCATCAGACACGCCATCTGATAGAATAAATGCTGCAGCATACTCAAATTCATCCAAATAAAATTATTTGAATATGTACTTCTAATAACAATCTTCTCTATAGCTACTGCAATGTTAGCTGGAGATTTAAACCAGATTGCCATTCAACAACAACAAAAAATTGCTCAGCAAATGATATGTCTGCACTAAAACTTAAAATAGTTTTCAGACCTGTTTAAATTGTCATGATTCCTAACTGAGGAATTCTGGAACTTTCAGTTCTTTTTATAGAACAAAGATTTCCAATACGCCTTCTTGTTGACCTCCAATTAAACCAATTTGAAAACTAGTTTAAATTTCTACTGTAGATGTGCTAAAAGAGAGTCATATTGCTGCAGTTCAATCCCATGAGTGAAGTTCAGCTCACAGAAGAGAGGTAATTCCTGCCAATTCCAAATTCAGCTCTGTGCCTCCTGAAAACCTGAAACGGAGGAGGGATGGAGGACCCTACAGAACAGCGTGGGAAGTGGTGTAAGAGGCTGCAGGGGGAATTGGAGAAATCAGCCTCCTTCCTTCTACTGGATCTCCCACCCTTTGGTGAACAGAAGGGCTACTCTGGATACGAACCAGAGGGATTTTAATCTATTTGTTTTATTTCATGAAATTTATATACCACTTGATTGGGGGTGGGGTGGGGGAGACACCTCAAAAGCGGTTGTGACCAAGTCTGCCAACAGGCCACTGGCACAATGACATTTTAAAACACCCTTACAGATTTAATGTATCGCTTGAATTATTTCTTTATTTCATAAAATGTGTACACCACTTGATTTTTAAAAAAATACTCAAAGCAGTTTACAAAATGATAAAACAATAAAAAGGAGTAAAAAAAAATATCACAACTCTACTTTAAAACATACAAAAGGTAAAATTCTAAAACAGATTAAAAATGACCTCAACTTCCTAAGCATCTGAGTCAGCTTGTCCAAACAGGTGCCAAAAAAGAGTACAGTGAAGGCACATGCTTGATCTCAACAGGCAAGGGATATTAGGGCTAGTTCTAATTAAATATTTTGCTAGTCACGTTTTTTTCAGGCGACGCTTAAGAAGTATGTGGAAAACACCTAAACCCGCATTTGTGGTGTCTCATGAGTCACAAGTATGAGAGCAGCATCTTGCAAGGTTCCTGGGACTTATCCCAGAAATTACGTATGTTGTTTTCTGCGTGGACTTTTCCAACATTACACACAAACAGTGGATTCTGTTGGCTTGTCAATAATTTGCTCATACATGAATACTGTTCTCTGGCTCACCTGTGGCAGCTACAGCTCTTAGAAGAAGTATTTATTAAAGACTGACCATGTAATGAAGAGCTTTTAACAACCAGGCTATTGTGTGGTATTTGTTATTGCCACATGGACAATTGGAAACCACCAAAAGATGCACACTTCAGCCACACCGAGTCATCTTCTTTAATTACTTTAAAAAATGTGAGTAAGGAAATGTTACATTCATGGTGGCCCTTACTGTTCCAGCAGTATCTAATGTACAGTTGAAATGTTCAGCCTCTGAACGTTTTTGAAATACCTGGGGATTTGATTTGGCTAGATTTTCTATTTTAACCCAAGCTTCTTCCCGTTCCTTCATTTTTAGCTTCTCCCTAGGGGAAAAAACCCACACACGTCACAGAAAAAGCTCAATGAACTTTTCAAATAAATCAGATTACTAAATTGCTTTTGATACTACAGAAAAGGACAGGGGTTTTTTTTGTATTTACTTGTTTAACGTTGGACATATATTTAAATATAACAGAAGGTTAAACAGCAGCCGTAAGATAGCATGAATAGTACATATTGGGGTTAGAAAATAATTTCAGAAATGATCCTCTCCCCACTCCTCCACATACCAGAAAACCCTTAGTCATTACAAGACAAGCTCAACCCCACTCCAAACCTTGCCATGGCTGGAAATATCTTTTCCCACCCCACTTAACCAAATTTTGAAGGGGTGTGTATTTGTGTAGGGCTGGTGAAACACTGTGCCCTGCCTGAGGTAGTTTTTCCTCAGAATGAGGCATTAGGTTTGAAGTGACCACAAAGATTGCCTATGCCACCACTTAGCTGAAACGATGGTAAATATTGTTTAAACAGACTGGTTCTGTGTAGTGTTGGCTGCTGTTATGGCAAAATGATGGCACTCTGGTGGCCAAATTTCTGTGGCTACTTCACACACAAAGCCTCAGGATGAGGAGTGTTGAGACCCATGCTCTGGACAGACCTGCTGTTAAGAGCACTGCCACTCAATGCCTTGTGGTGGTGGTGGTCCATGGTGACCAGCAGTAGTGGAAGGCTGGTTGCGATGGTGGGCAGGAACAATACTAATTTTATTATTTGTACCCAGCCACTCTGGGCAGCTTCCAACAAATATAAAAGCACAATAGGCAGTGACAAGCAGCTTCGTGGGCAGTGGGGTTCACCTTGCCTCATCATAGGGCTAGCCTTGGGAGGGAGAGAATATAGCAGCTATGGGTAAAACCGAGGGTTGCTTAATCTGTTCTGCGAAGTGCAATTTTCCCATTCTTCTTTATGCACCGGGCACAAGTAATATGGCCCCCTCTCCCATTTCAAAGCTGCCCCTTGAAATATATGAGGAAATGCAGGGTATAAATATTTTTGCTTACTCCAGGAAATAAAATTCTCTGTTCTTCCTGGAGGAACATGAATGAAGTTCCCAGAGCTTCTGTGGACAATGGGATTGCTGAGAATGCTCAGCAACATTTAGGGCAGAGAGCCATTGGCTTTTGTGGGGCTTCCACTCTTTCTCCTCCAGAATTTTTAATCTGGTGAAGTGTAGAAAAGGAAGGAGAGGGACTGACACTCTGCAATCTCATGATAGAGGTGTTTCCTATGGCCGGGCCTTTTTGAGCTCTGGATGAATCCCAGAAATTGCTCAAGCCTCCCCCAAGTATTCTCCAAAACAAGACGGTGAATTGTGAATCAGCCCATTTTTGATTGAGATTAAGGTGTTTCACACAGCTCAAGTAAGCACTGTGAAACAATATACAGGTGGGCAATATAAACCAATCATGATGATAATAGCAGGAAGAGAACATTTTCAAGGAGCTAAACAGTTGTTATTGTTTTTATATATAAATAGAAGTGATAGTGCTTATTCTAATAAATCAGTGGAAAACAAAATGAAAGGGGGAAAAAGGAAGATGTTCAAGAGGAAACTTACTTAACTTTTTCTGCTTTAAATTGCTGTGTGCAGTCATCAAACAGTTTTTGGTTCATCTCCATGAATAATTTCAGAGCATTGTAAATCAAGCCATGTATTGTCCTATAAAGTAAATTTTTTGCTTCAGAATAATAATAATAATAATAATAATAATAATAATAATAATTTATTATTTATACCCTGCCCATCTGGCTGGGTTTCCGCAGCCACTCTAGTTTATTAAACTTTAAAAGCTTCCCTAAACAGGGCTGCCTTCAGATGTCTTCTAAAAGTAATAATTACAAAATATCTCTTCTGGAAGTTTGATTATTTCAAAATACACACACACACCATAAAAACCAGAAATTAGTCACTGGATGCTTCCATTAGCTAAAGTATGCATTATAACTTCTCAGCATCAAAAAACAAGCACTCTTTAGATGTTGTATTGCTCTCCTCTTGAATATCAATGCTATAATTCCAGCAATTTTAACATTAACCGTCCATATTACAAAATTCCACGCAGTAACAGAAGCCTCAGTAAAAGAGGTAAGAACACTGCCAATACTTCATACTACATCTAACATGTTTCTAGCAACTGATATGAAAATTATGCAACATTATGCAGACATACTGGGCTAAAATGTTTCCTGAGCACAGCTGTAGTGTCTCTACAAGGTAATTTTCCTGATAGATTACAGCCACTGGCAGTGGTAGGAGAATTTTGGTTACTCTATCAGCTCATATCTTAAGCTAAAATTAGCAGATCAGAAAATGGTATTGGGGGTGGGGTTAGAAAGTAAAAGCTCGTCACCTGAATTAGGCAGCACTCCCTGCCAGAGAAGTTAAGTTATTCTGCAAAAATAATCTCTCACATGTTAGGCCATCAGATACAAAAGTCAAACCAGTTTTATGGCTCCTTGCATCATGCAAGTTAAACACGTACAAAGGTGTGCCATATACTCTGTGTATGTGACTGAGCACAGTGATATTACTCATGCTTAGGACAGAATGACTAGAGACAGCCACAAGTGGTGAAGCGAAAAAAATACAGACTGCCAAATCTTCAATGAAGTAATCTATGTTACTTTAAAACCAATGTATCAATGGATTACTGACATCGAGTTAGTGTAAATCAACTTTTAATACTGTCTACTCAGCATTTTCTTTCACTGTGCAGATTTAACATGCATTGTTGGCTACTCTACCAGTAGTCATTAGTCTGCCACCAGCATCAGGCTATGGGACATCCAGCATTCGCACAGTAGCTCAGTTAAAAGGTCCTTTAGGCAAATAGCAGTTGCAGAATCAAGGTGGCTAGTAACAGGTTCATGCTAGAATTCTAAACTACTGTGTGGATGAAAACTGACAAAGGAGAGACATGCTATATGAAAATACAACCAACTAGGACAGAAATGCAGAAAGAAGGAAAAGAGGAAAAAGAGGGGAAATAATATAAACTTATAATGATAATAATTTATTATTTATACCCTGCCCATCTGGCTGGGTTTCCCCAGCCACTCTGGGCAGCTCCCAACAAAATATTAAAAACACGATAAATCATGAAACATTAAAAACTTCCCTAAACAGGGCTGCCTTCAGATGTCTTCCAAAAGTCAGATAGTTGTTTATTTCCTTGACATCTGATGGGAGGGTATTCCACAGGGCAAGCGTCACTACCGAGAAGGCCCTCTGCCTGGTTCCCTGTAACCTCATTTCTCACAGTGAGAAAACCACCAGAAGGCCCTCAGAGCTGGACCTCAGTGTCTGGGCTGAACAATGGGGGTGGAGACACTCCTTCAGGTATACTGGGCCAAGGCTGCTTAGGGCATTAAAGGTCAGCACCAACACTTTCAATTGTGCTTGGAAACGTACTGGGAGTCAATTGGTGATCATGGGTTACAATTCATAGTGAGGGATTAACAGGTGATAGCTCCCCCAGGGGATGCGGGTGGCGCTCTGGTCTAAACCACAGAGCCTAGGGCTTGCCGATCAGAAGGTTGGCGGTTCGAATCCCTGCCAACCTAGCGGTTCGAAAGCACGTCAAAGTGCAAGTAGATAAATAGGTACCACAGCTAAACGGCGCTTCCATGCGTTGCTCTGGTTTGCCAGAAGCAGCTTAGTCACGCTGGCCACATGACCTGGAAGCTGTCTGCGGACAAATGCCGGCTCCCTAGGCCAGTAAAGTGAGATGAGCAACCCCAGAGTTGTCTGCGACTGGACCGAACAGTCAGGGGTCCCTTTACTTTAGCTCCCCCAGGGCAAACATTTCAAGCTTGCTGGATGGAACAATCCCCCCTTCTCCTCCCACTGTGTGGTGTTCTATGGGTTTCTACTGAACCCCCACAGAGCCAATTTTGTGGGGGTGTGGGGAGAGGAGGGAAGCCCCACTACATGTGGAAGCTGCTAAAATCATGGGGAGGGCGGGACTTCCTTTTGGAAGCATCTTGTTGCATGTGAGGGGCACTGACATTCCGACTTTTGGACTTCCAGGCCCACATATGTGACTCCAGGTGATTGACAGGTGGACAGCCCCACCCATCTGTCAAATCTGGCCTACAAGGCATATCCCGGGAAGGATGTAGCCCATGGAGGCAAAAGCGTTCCCCACCTCTGATGTATGCAGCAGGGTGGGAGGGCTGTGAACCAGACTTGCCCCACTATGCCATTGTGTGTGGCATCAACATGGCAGGCTGGTTTGTGAACAGCGATTTTAAGGACGGGTGCCTGAGAACTCTGCATAGATATGGAAGAACCTACCCAATCAATCTTTCTTAACTCCTTATTGTGATGTGACATTTACCGTCACCTAACCTGCTTGAGAGAAATACGTCTGACCGATTACAATCTTGTATATCTATGAGGAAACTGCAGCACACAAACTTTATTGAGATTTATATTTCTATAAAAATGCTGTGACATGAACAGAGCCAGACTTTAGGGCATCAAGCAATATATCTCAATGGCTACTTACTTGTTCCAGTGTGTCTTTGAATTTCGGTACAAGGATGGAAACATGATGGGCAAAATCTTTGCTGCGTTGTCACTGATTAAGCTCATAATATACTCATTATTCCAGTAGTATAGTGCTCGTTCTGCCACCTAATAATAATAATAATAATAATAATTTTTATTTATACCCCGCCCTCCCCAGCCAAGGCTGGGCTCAGGGCGGCTAACAAACAGTAATAAAAACAAGTTGAATGAATACAACATAAAAAGAAGATTAAAATATAACATTAAAATATTGAAACATTACAATATTAAAATGCAGCCTCATCACAGGAGGAGAAAGGAAAAAGAAAAAAGAAAGAGGGGGACGGAATCAAATTGGCTCCAAGCCAAAGGCCAGGCGGAACAACTCTGTCTTACAGGCCCTGCGGAAAGAAATCAGATCCTGCAGGGCCCTGGTCTCATGAAGCAGAGCGTTCCACCAGGCCGGAGCCAGTGTTGAAAAGGCCCTGGCTCTGGTTGAAGCTAATCTAACTTCCTTAGGGCCCGGGACCACTAGGGTGTTGCTATTTATGGACCTTGAGGCTCTCCGTGGGGCATAACGGGAGAGGCGGTCCCGTAGGTACGAGGGTCCTAGGCCGTGAGAGACATGGGAGCATTTTACCATTCAACAACTCTAACATACTGTACACTTTATACAGTTCTCTCATTTTAGGAAGCAGAGAATCCTTTTTCCATCTCAACTTGAGCTCTTCTGTTCCCCAGCCTGCTGCTTCCTTAGCTTCGAAGGTGGCACTTTTATGCTTTCTGTGTGAGCATCCACAAGAAACCCAAACTGGTACTGTCAAAAGCAACAGAAAGACTAGCTGTACTTTTGTTTACTGATAATAGAGAGGAGACTTCACAGCTGCAGTAGCTGAGTTTATTCCTCTCCTGCTCTCAGCCGGTCTTAAAATATTGTGCCTAACAACATATTGAAAGGTGGTCCATTTAGAAGGGATATAACATATCCACTAAGCAGTGATTAATGCAGTGTAATGTCAAAATGTCAAACTTAATTACAGTACTGCATTTATTGGAATTACCAACCTGGAAATGTGGACTGGAGACACACTTGGCTAGCTGCCTGAAAAGAGGTTCCATAACCTTTACAAATTCAGATGGTTCAATAACATCTAAAATTTCTTCTAATTCATTTAAAAACATAACTTCTTTTGGACTGTGAGTCTTTGGCCAGTACTTGAGTAGTGCCATCACCACCTGTAAAGAAAAGAGGGAGGAGGGAATGTTCAGGGCATTATAAATCTGTCCAGTGATTTATCATGGATTGCTTGCATTGACTGCCACCATTATGAAATAATTGTAACAACAATATACACTCAAGTTTCTTGACTAATGGCAGGCACTATAGTTTTACTTTGGAATTAAAAACTGTTAATGAAGGTTGAATGTGATTTTGTTTTTAAAACACTTTGACCCTCTGCAAACAGGATAGAAGAAAGTTTAAGTAATTCTTAAGAGGAATGATCTCAAAATAACAACATCTTTTCCAGTATTGTTTGAAATTTCTCATGCACATGTTTTTCTGTATGTGTTTTTCTGTATAGTCATGCTGATTATGAAGAATGTGCTCATAGTGACTGGAGATCCTGGAGAGGTCAAAGTTTGTTACCTCCAAGTAACAAACACAGATTTTAATGTTTTCTGGTTAAGCAGGTGATTTTACTATTTATGACACTCACTGATGTTCTTAATAAGAGATGAGGAAGCACACACTAAACTCGTAGCTAATATCTGCATGACAAAATACATCTGTTGATGTTTTTCAGTGTCTCCTACAAGCACATTGAAAAACTATTCACACTATTTTCATTTCCAACTGAAAACGCAAATAGATAGACATGGGTGGGGAACATCTGGCCAGTGTGCCAAATTAGACTCAGAATGAGTCTCAATTTGACCCATGAGGTCATTTCTCCAAACCACACCCACCTGTTCCACACCTGACATCATATGCGATGGCAGGTAGAGATGGGTCTGTCAGTGCATGACTGTAAATCTTAAAATGCATTCTGATTGTATTGGCAAGGGAAGCTTGATGTCACTGCAATCAGCTGATTAGCAAGCAGAACATTGTACCAATTCATAACTTATTTCAGGGGACAAGGTAGTTGCCCTGCAATCAATCAAATGTATTTCCATTATAATACTTTGGTAAAAACTTTTAAAAATGTTTTTTAAAAGTAAGAAAAGAAATTAAACTTACTGGCTCAGTAAGCGTGCTGTCCTTTTCTAAAAACTGAACTACACAGTATGCCAGCTAAATTGAGGGGAAAGAGTAACATTGTTAGGCTACCAAATATATATATATATACAGAAGTCAAATACATTTTGTTGTTATTGGATGTTCATTTTTGGTGAATGAAACCCAAAATATATTGCAAAATGCAAAACCTCAACAACACTTAAGATTACAAATAAGGCTCACAAAGTAGGTTATAGAAGAACAGTTTAACTGTGAACTTGAGAACTTGGGTTGTGATATTCAGGTAGGATACAACAATGTCCATTGTACAAGTAGTTTTCTATACCTGCTTATTTACACTGAACTGTAACACTCCACACTGCAACGTTTTGTTGAGGTGGCACTTCTTTATTTCTAATGACAAAATCTTTGGAAATATGGAGGGAAGGAGGAAAACCAACCACCACCACCCTAGCTATCTTGAGGTTAACCGGGATCTATGGGAATATTTGACAGATTCCATATTTCTTTATTCAGCAAGTAAACCATACTGTTGACTTGCCCTCTTCAACACTACTAAATTCAAACTCACAAAAAGATACTATTTTTGACAACTTCTATCCCTTTGTAAAATAATTTTAACCTGGGGCAGCTGTCAGATCCAGAATGATTATGGAAATCAGACAAGCAGTTTTTGTATGCAACACTGGGACATGAAGCTTCGGTTTTGCTGTAACTGCACATAGGCCTCCAGAAACACAATCAATGACTAAAAACTTAAGCAACATTTTGTACAATTAATAAAATTAATTGAAGGGAAAGGCATCAAAGGTTTGCAGCTACAGCGGCCCTCATTGGCAGTGATGTGTGAGAGCTGATAATTCACTATAAGAAAAAAATAAGCAAATTCACAATTTCTTAGAATAAGTTCCACTCTTGCTCTTGGAGTGAGGACTGAATACTATTGTCTCTTCTACTATTCTAGGAGCATTTATCAGAAAGGATAAATGAAACTGAGGGGCAAAAAGCAAGTGATAAACTTTATAGGCTAAAATCAGTGGGTCTGTAGCCTATTGTGCGCTTTATTTGAATTTGGATTCATCCAGCAAAAGGCAGCTGTGTATTCTTCACTGTAGCTATAATAGTCTACAATGTTGCTCAAACAAGAGTTGAGCTTTTCCAGATGGCTCTTTGTGTCTGCGCAAGAGAGAACACACACCACCTTGCTTCCTGGTAGATGGAAAAATACTATGTCTGTTGTTTACTGTAGAAGGAGGGAGGGGAAGACACCCAAAGAAGCACAGCACACACCTACAAAGCAGCATTTCAACCCGCAGCTGAAAAGTGCATGCTGGAACTATTCATTTTAAACGTTTTAAACTTGCCTCGCTGATGGAGGTATTTTGAAAGTTAGAAACATAGGGTTTGCAATTGTGTCCCTCAACCAACAGGAAGGCTCTTTGATCCAGAGGAGGCCTCCACCAGCTGGGGTGAGGGGCACAGGAGGAGAAGCAATTTTTGTACATTCCTCCATCCTCCCATGCCACCTACGGCATTGTTCCAAAGGGGCCCCTGAGCCCTTGGAAGCAAATTGGGGGGTGAGGTGGAGGGAGCTGCTGCAGAGAGAAGGGAAATCAATGAAAATACTTCTCTCTTTCTGCTAATGCAAAGGTGGTGCCTTTCATTTGGCTTGTCAACCCTGACCCAATTTCCTTGCAGCACCAGTGAAGAAGATTTCCTTCCCCCTCCCCACCACTGCTAGCCGTTTGGAGTGCTCTAGAAACAGGAAGAAGTGCTCTCATGTTTTCCAGCTGTGGGGACATTATTTACATTTATAAACTACTCCTCATTCCGCAGGATCTAAAAGCAGTGGACACACACAATGGAAGCATATAACAATTGATTGAAGCATGATTCAAAATTGCATTACACCAACAAAGACAGTTCAGCAGAAGCATAATCAACAGCCCTACCCACTCACAGAACTGAAGCAGGTAAGTATACCATGGCGCTGGTAATGCCAAGGTTGAAGGTTTGATCCCCATATAGAACAGCTGCATATTCCTGAATTTTTCAGACTAGATTATTCTCAGGGTCCCTTCCAACGCTACAATTCTATTATTCCTTCCTGTTTCTGGAGCACTCTGTTTCGCTAGCAATGGCAGTGGGAAGAGGAAAGATATTTTGTTCACCTTCCTCCCCAATCACTTATTTCCCCTTTACCCCATCTGTCAGATTATCCTACCCACTGGGTGATGTGGAGGAAAACTGAGTGCCCTCTGCTCTAGTTGAGAGGGGGAGCAGAGCAGAGGCATATTAACACCCAAGTAAAATGAAAAAGAATATCTCAGAATGAAAGCAAGCCACACTCAGGATGTCCTTATAATCAAAAACCTTTAACATACTAGCTTTATCTTTTCCTTAAAAGGCAGGAGAGACAAAGCCTGGTGAATGTTACCTGGAAGTTCATTCCATAACCTAATTTTTTTATTATTAAATACTACCCAGCCTTGACCGTAAGGTTCCAGAGCAGGTTACTACAATACAGTCATATGATATTAAAATTCAATAAAACCACTCCAAAACAAAATCGAAACAATATACAGGCAGTGACCATTTTGTACGCATTCAGCTGATATGCGACCACTGATGCTTGTGCCCCGTTTGGACCTGGAAGATGATAAAACAGGGGCGTAACGGGGCAGGATTACGCACGCTCTGCTGGCGCTTGCAGGTTCCAGGAACAGAATCCCTGTACAAAATGGTCAACGCCTGTATATCAAAGAACAGACAAAGAAGCTGCAAGTAGGTTAACGGTCAAAGGCCAAGTTAAAGTGGGACATCTGATACCATCATTCTAAATGTGAAATCCAATTCTGGCTGAAGTTGAGCAATTTTATCCCTAAAGCATCTTGCAAAATTCACACAAAACATTGCAAAAGATGCCAAAGCCACACTCTCCTGGCCAGATGGCAAAAGCCAATTCACCATTCATAAAAAAAGCTCTTCTGGACAGCTACTTGTGGACACTAGGATGGGGGAGTTCTGCAGCACACCTGGGAGTTTAGTAGCATGATAGATCTTTCATTTATTTTATCAGAGCCTGCTACAGCACTGTGAAATTAAAGTGAGCCCAAAATGCAACAAAGCCATTCCAACCACCTTAACAGTTTTCAGAAGCAACCAAAATACACAGACATTAATTTAAGTCAGTATCAGGCTTCTAATATACAACAAAATCATACCTATTGCTAAACAACGGACTTTGTAAATGAGGGTGGCATTTCTGTAACATTTGGTTAATTTTATCATTTTCCTATATATACTCAGAATTAGTTTGTAAATTATTAAATCAACACTCTTAAACAAAATTCAAACGCGGAATCATTTACCTGTGGATGGTAGACACTCAGTGATTTCACTTTGTGCAAAGGTAATAATACCTTTAGAAGGAAAATTTTGTGCTCTTCTTTTAATGGTAAGGCAAATCCATTAATTATACTAAAAAAGAGGAGAGGAGATTTAGTGTATCATAGTTTTTAAAAATATGTTACATTTTCATCGTGAAATCTTTTCTTGAAATCACTTTTATTCTATTGTTTCATGACATGTTTTCCACTCAAATTTCATTCTGAATTTACGGAATACCCAAGTACAATGCTCACTTACACTGCAAGCAAGAGCAAAACTGTAGATTCTTATGTATTAAAATACACAGGAATTCTTTGACAGGTTTGTCTGATCCTGAAGTACTGCCACATTTTTTGTTTTCACCCCGTAAGCGCTAACGATTATCTTCTTCATTTCAAACCAAGATAAGCTGTACAAATTGTACCAATTTCTTCCAATCCAAGGTCCACCCTCACTTTCTTTGAAAGTCGTTCTGCTTTAGAGCACAAATAGTAACATTATGATGCGTAACTATTAAGCAGCTTACCTTCCCAATATTTCCAGTAATTCTGCAATGCCATTGTGATGTTCTGTTTCATAAATAAACCTGACAAAGCAAATACGTTATCAGCAATGAGGACAATCAGCATCTGTTTGGTAATGCATCTAGCTTAAGTTGGATAAGAACTTGAGGAACAGCTGCCATTTATTTTAAAACTATACCAGAAAATTTTGTGTTCAATACTCTTGCCTAACTAAAGGTTCTATCTAGTTTTTAGGCCAACTCTTTTCTGTACCTATCCTTAACTTTGTTCTACTGTTTATATACTTTCTGTATAAACTCATTTAAAAATGTTTTGGTTTGCCAGAGGTAGTGCAACACAAAAAATAGTGGCTTCCAAGCTGATAGAAAAGCTTAAGCCCCATCTAAATGAATTTTGCTTACTTCTGTTATAGTATTACAACCAATTATTGCCCAGGGTGTATTAAAGGCAATTAAGATATTGCAAAGGTGTATCACATCCTTCCATGTCATTATGCAACATTTGGGAAACAGGGCAGGAAAATACAAGTAGTGCTAGTTGTAATAATCTTAGATTTACAAAAAAAACCTATTAGCTACCTTGTAGATCAGCTAGAATTCGAAAATACTCTGAGAGGGATGGAATTAAAGTTAGAATGAAATCTAGAGAATTAAAGCAGCAAACTTTACCAATTTATGGGGGAGTAATTCCTACTGAATTCAGTGGGAATGACTTCTGAGTAGACATGCACAACAACCCACTATGTAGCCCAGTCTCCATTTGGTTACTATCATATGACAAGCTACACTATATCTATAGACTTGTTAACATAACAACTTTACATCAAGGAAATAAAGCTCTTGAAACTTTAAATATATATATATGCATTTATCAGCTTCTTCTTTTTGCCGGTACCACTAATAAAATGTGGGGGACGGACAAACCCAAACAAACTAAAATAATAATACGGAACCAAACAATGAGCTCATGAAATCCACAAAAAACCAACAATCTGGTATATTCAGTGGCTGGGGAAGTTCTTTAAAAACTATGTTGTTAAGGGAATGTTTTAACCTGCTGATAAAGAAGAAGTAGAAGAACAGCCTGGGAGGTTCCGTGGAAGTGAGTTCCAAAAAGTGGGCACCACTATGAAGAAGACCCTACAGCTTGTATCAGTGAATGACAGAGCAGAGACCTGGCTCACACATTACATGAAACCATGGTTTAGTGCAGTGGAGAAGAGTGTTGGAGCAGGACCTGGTTCACATGCAACCATGAAGCTCATTGGGTGACCTTGGGTCACTCACAGTTTCTCATTTGAACCTACCTACCAGGATAAAATGTGAGGATAAATGGGGGAGGAGGATCATGTATGACACTTTGAGCTCCTTGAAGGAAAGGTAGGATAATGAAGGAATAAATTCCAGTTAATTGTGCTTTAGTGTTATGTGGCAACCCAACCTCACACCTTAACTATGGCGACATGCCCATGATGGAATATCAGAATTAAATATATATTGATTTAAGAGTGGAATGCACAGTATCATGGATTTCACAACGGCGTGTGCCATACATTGTGCATTCCAGCCCTAAATCAAAGCTTTCCTATCAGAAGTGTATTATACCCTGCCCCTCTTCTTTCTACAGAAACTCTTATCCCGGGGGGCGGGGCGGGAGGAAACACTCATCTAAAATATTGGTGTTGGCTCTGTATGGCCAAAACCTGCTGAATGCAGACAGATGAAGCTTACTTGCTATTTTTAGTCAATGCCTCTGTCCGCCCCCACCCCAAAGTGCGTATTTGTTACCATTTGTACAGAAGATAAGCTCCCTCTACAGCTGGTGCTATTGTCTCTTATGGATGAACTGGCAAAAAGCTGTGGTGCAGTTGGCACCAGGCTTTTAAAGGAGCAGTACCATATATTCCCTTTTGGGAAAACTGCACAGAGGGAAAAGCTGTAGAAAAATTAGCTAAAAGCTGGCAGAGTTATTATAGCTCAATATACCTTGGGGAGAAAGGGGGGTGGGAATAAAGAAATCATATAGTTTAAAATATATATATATTTTTGGTCATGTTGGAAGAATAGTGCCCTGCTTGCAGATATGCTGGAAAGATAACAAGTTCAAAGGCCATATGTCAATACAGTGCTACCTCGAGTTAAAAACTTACTTTGTTCTGGAGGTCCATTCTTAACCTGAAACTGTTCTTAACCTGAGGTACCACTTTAGCTAATGGGGCCTCCGACTGCCGCGCGATTTCTGTTCTCATCCTGAAGCAAAGTTCTTAACCCGAGGTACTATTTCTGGGTTAGCGGAGTCTGTAACCTGAAGCGCCTGTAACCTGAAGTGTCTGTAACCCGAGGTACCACTGTACACACCTCTTTCCAAATCACTTTTAACAAATGCTATGTGCATATACTCACTGTACACAGCACGGGGAGGGCGGGGGATAATAAATTTAACAACTGTATTAATTCACAAGCCAGAATGTGGTCATAGGGGATTGGAATAAGTTGTCATAGGTATATGCAACAGAACTCCAATCTTAAGGAAACAAGGAAGCTTGACCTGAGCTTTTGAAAGGTAAAGCATAGAAATTGCCAAAACTCACCAAAAACAAATTAATAATGAAAGCTAATTCTGTACTCAGAACTTTTAACATGTTATTCCCACCCATAATTTGGTTTAACAGGAGCAGCAAATTAAAATAATGCTAAAGTCATCATTAAAAAAAGGCTTACCTGCAGATTTAATGAAACACTGCCAACATTTGAGGGGAGCAGGGCAGTACCATCAAAGTTACAACATTTCTAAAATACCTTACACAGTTAATTTGCATCGGCACAGAATGAAAACATACCTATAAAATATATTGTTAATTTGCTTCCTGATGTAAGCTCTTAGGCCTAAGAATTTCCCATATATTCTGTGCAGAGTAGTCTTAAGAAAATCTCTTTCACGAGGATCTTCGCTGTCAAAGAGCTCTAAAAGCTGCAAGAGACGCACATTTACTTGTTTAATCTATTTCAGATTAATATGGATTTAAAGTTTGAAGATATATTCATTTTTTAACCTCACCTGCAATACAAACTTCTGATCAATATATTTCTTAGCTATATTAGGTTGGAAATCTGGAGATTCTAAAAATCTTAAGAAAAATTCATAAACAAGCTGAAAAAGATCCACAAAAAAATTAGTTTTACAACAGAAATGCAACTTGAATTTTGAAAAGCAGTTAAAAATAGTACTCAATTTTAAACACCATTTAAAGAAAAACTAAACAGCATTAATCGCTTCGACTTCCTAACTGTATACATTCCCTTCATTTTTTTTAATGAGCATGAACCACCCAGAACTTTCCCTGCCCAAGGACCTCATAGGAGCTCAGTTAGTAGCTAGAGAAAGACACAAATTGAGGCTAATAGTTGCCAAAGCTGGGCTGAAACAAAACACAACTGCTGGTCAATCTCTGTTGGAAAGAAAAGAGGTGGGAAATTGAATAGAGCATACCTTGGCTGACCATATGCAACCCCCGGCCTTTATGCTACCCACCCCAATTCAACACTCGAATACTTTAGTTAAACCAGCTCGGTGTTGTGTGTACACTATATTTGTGGGTTTTCGTTCATATAACAGTGGGCACCATGCTCCTTACACTTTTAAAAAGAACTTAGGTCTCAAAGCTATAACCCTACAAGCCCCCAAAGGCCCAAATCAATTACTGTAATATACATTCATTTATATTTTTACGATTAAAGTAAACCTACATTGACATAACCAAGTTACAGTTCATTAACATTTATGTCAAACTGCAGTCTTAAAAGGTGTAAGCTATCCATTAGAAACTTAGAACAGCAAACCAGTGCGTTGAGCGTTCAGATTTAAAACCTTTTGTTTTGCAGCAATTTAGTCCCTCTTTGTTTAGTCAGAGAAACGAAAAAAATATGTTTGTATAGTACCTGTAAGTGAGGCCAGGCGGCTTCTAAGGTTGGTTCATCCTCCTCTGGGTCAAATTCTGCTCCCGTTGGATTGGATGAAGGTGGTAGTGTGCGAAACATGTTAACTGCAAACTAAAAATCACATTTGTCTAAGTGGCATTACAATAAAATCCCATTTAAAAACAAAACAAAAAAAATTAAACAGGGACATCCTAACAAGTGTAAATACACAGCAAGAAAAAATCTTATTCCAAATACCACTAAACAAGTTTTGCTATTCTGCATTTCTTTCTCCAAGTTTCTATCTCTCGCTACCCCAGAAATAATGTTGACTTCATTTGCTTTACATAAAGAAGGATCTTGCCTCTAGGACAAGTCCAGTAAACCAGAGGGAAAGAATACTGTATCTTGGAAGCTCTTCTGTAAATTACTGTCAAAAGGTTTTGTAATTATTTTTTAAGAATTCCCATGTATACTAGTATTCTGTTCACTATCAAGACTATTAAATGTTAAGAAGTGTTTTTAACTTGATTTAAAAGTTTGCTAAAGAAAAAAATTAAAAGGGGGCAAGAAAAAAACCAGCACATTAGCCATACCATAATATCAATACATTGATCTTAGTTTACACATTCAGAGAGATACAGTTGTACCTTGGTTTTCGAACTGCTTAGTTCTCGCAAGTTTTGGCTCCTGAATGCCACAAAGCCGGAAGTGTCTGTTCCGGTTTGCGAACTATTTTTGGAAGACGAACGTCCAATGGGACTTCCACGGCTTCCGATTGGAAGCTCTTGCAGCCAATCAGAAGTCGCACTTTGGTTTCCGAACGTTTTGGAAGTTGAACGGACTTTCAGAATGGATTCCGTTCGACTTCCAAGGTACAACTATCTATGCTTTTGAAACCAAAGTATTAAGATGTATTTTTGTTCTAACTACCACGTGCAGTCCTAAATAACTGCTACAGTGCAGTGGTAAGTCTGCAAGTATGACCTGGTAAGACCTTGGTTTAAATCTTAGCTCAGGAATAAACTCACTGAGTAGGCATAAGGTAGACAAATATCCCTTAGCCCCAACATTTATCTGTAATAGGGGAATAAGACTGGCATACTTTACAGGATGTTTGTAATAGTTACTGTGATTTGGTTTACAGTGCCATCAACAGACAGACACCACCTGCTCTTTTTCCAATGAATTCTGGAGGAGACAGCAAGAGTCACAAAGTGGTGTCTGAGATGAGTAACGGAATCAGGAGCAAGAACCATTAAACTTAAACCAGATGAATCAGAGATGCTTTCAATCAAAAATATGACTGGACTGGGTATAGGTATATTTCCTTTGCTGAATGGAGTTCCACTCCAAACTTAAGGATCAGACTAGCACTGTTTCTAGATGTTCAGGTGATGGAAGTAGCAAGTGATGCTTTCTGCCAATTAGTTGGAACTCCAGCTGTGCCCTTTCCTAGAGATCTTTTCTAGTTACTCAAGGTCTGCTGATATTCAGATAAAATTTACTGTAATGTGCCTTACAGGAAGTGGCCTCTGAAGAGTGTTCAGAAACTTTAAACTGGACCACAATGTAGCTGCTAGACTGCTGACAGGGGCATGCTTCTCAGGTAAATCAATCTGATTTTATGCCATTGGTGAAGGTTTCTATTTGCTTTTCAGGCCTGATTCAAAGTACTGCTTCTAATTTTTAGGGCTCTAAGTGGTTTGGGACAGTAAAGTCTCAAGGGCCATCTTCTCCCATATGAACTTAATCCATACAATTATGTCATCTTCAGAAACTGTTCTGTGTGCTCTTTCACCTTCTAAAGTGGGCTGGGCATGTAGGATAGGAGACCCAAGCATGACACGTTCTTAAACCAAAGCAGTTCTTAAACCGAAGAGCGCTTTCCCTAATGAGGCCTCCCGCCGCTGGTGCCCTTCCACCTTTCGGCTTCTGTTCGTAGACCAAGGTAAAGTTCGTTAACCGGAACACTACTTCCGGTTTTGTGGAGTTTGTATACCGAACAGTTTGTAAACAGGGCTGTTCTTAAACCGAGGTACCGCTTTAGTAACATCAAGGTTATAGGCTTTTCCCCTCAATGATGGTTTTAGGATGGTATTTTCATGGAGGGCCTCTAGACTGTGAAATAGTGATGTTGTTTGCTTTGTTAATTTTGCAAACAACCCCCCCCCCACGAGTTATCTGCACATATCAGAGGATTTGGGGAGAAGACAACCTTTGTGATGCCCACAAGTAATGGGTTTGGCTAGCAAGCAATGCCAAAATTAGTGGATTATTAACTCTCCCTTTTGTAAATTTAGAACATACAAATGGATCGAGATTCTAGCAAAAGTAAAAGCAGACTTTGCAAGACTGGAGTCAGATTTATACAACACACTTGATGCTGCTGCAAGTATGGTGCTGTTACATTTTAGTTATAAAAGACAAGCCTGAAAGTACAATATGAACTAAAAATCCTAGCCAGTGTGTTATGTAGGAAATGAAGCGTAAAGAAAACCCTTTTAAATCAGGGGTTCTCAATATTCCAACTGCAGCATCCTTTTGAGGGTGAAAGAATACTGACCCCTGTCCTAAAATGGCAGTGCAAGGGCAATGGCACTTACAAAATGACAGCAGATTGCAGTACAAAGCGACATAATTAGCCTCTTTTGAAATTGATATTACTTTTTGCCACATCCATTTCCTAGTGGCAGGGAGTCCCATAGCAAAGTACAGCACTGATTTTGGAGCATTGTGACTCACACACCCCATTCTTAATCTTATAATACATCATATGCAAATTTAATTATAGGTCACCTTTCGGGGCACAAAGTGGCTTACGTTTCAGTTTAGGTAAAATCTGAGAGGCATGTGGAAACAGGCAAAATATTTCTTCTCCTCTCTTGTCGTTCCCCTACTTCTCCCTTCACGCTTTACTTCTACCTTATTCCCTCCCTCCCTTAACTTCCCCCTTCTTTAATCTCTGGTCCTATCTTCTTGCTGTTAATGGCTTCCCTGTCTTATGCACTTCTTCTCTATTTCCAGTTTATTACTTTACTTGTAGAATATTTTAATATTAATACGTTTAAATATATTCATTTTACTTCTCATTTCCTCAAACAGTCCCTCTGGCCTCTTCCCTTCAGAGGATGGAGTCTTCCTGGCTCTGCTGCAGACTCAGCAGGAAGAGAGAACCGGGGTGTTGAGTGTGCAATGTGAGAGTCTGAGAAAAGCGGAGGAGAGCTTGAAGACTCAGCAGTGGCCCTGGGTGCTTCTCCTCCCTCCTCTTCTCCTTCATGCAGTATGTTTCCTTTGCCTCCCTCCTTCCCATTTTCTTTCTTCTGTCGCACTTGGCCATTACCTCTTTCCTTCCTATCTAGTCCTCCGACATGGTGTGCTACAGCTTCACTCTTGCTTTGCTCTCCAACCAACTCCCACTGCCCCACATGCCTACGTAGTGCACATGTAGGGAGTTGCCCCTGCAAGCATTCAGCCCACCAAAAGGGCTACTGCATGAATTAAGGGGCAGGCTGTAGCCCACCTGACAAGTAGGCTGAGGCCCACGGTTTGAGGAGCACAGTTCTAGAACCTAGTGAGCTTCAATTATGGGGAGTTTACTCTGAACAAAAAGGTTGTTTTTTAATAAATAAATAAATAAATAAATTCCATTTAAATCACTTACCATATGTACTACTTCTGGGTAAATGGGCTCAGTGATTACATTGCGGTTATGCGTGATGTACTCTACCATTTCACTTAAAGCTGCTCTTTTTACTTCCTTCCACTTCAGGTCACTTAGTGGATCAGAAACGAAGTCGAAGAGGACGCAACATTGTCGCAACTTCTGAATAAAAAGCTTTTCTTGCTCTCCAGGGGGGACATCTGAAAGGAGTGAAAATATTGCTTTATTGCTATATTGTGTTTATGCAGTACAGTCTTTATTGTCTGTAAAATATTGTATTGTGGAAGACTGCAATGAACTTTTCGAAGAGATAACGATTTAGCTGTAAAAGTTTTGTGCCGTACATAGTGTATAATCTATTTTTCCTGCCTCTCTATTTACTTATATAGACGTGTATCGTGTACTTTTCTCATTATTAATCGTTAATGTGATACACACATTTGTGACTAGAAAAACGGGGTGTTTGCTTATGCAGTGGTAAAACACAGGACATGAAGTTCACCTATGACAAGTTAGCTCTATAGTTTAGAGCAAACAAAACTATGTATAAATGGGAATGCTGGGAAATGAAGCGTGGCTTCATTTCCACACATTTGAACCCCATGTTGGGCCAAAGATTCTTGCATTGCAGGGGGTTGGACTAGATGACTCTAGTGATCCCTTCCAACTCTACATTTCTATGATTCTATGAATCTGGCTACATACTGCAGAATAGAGCGGTGGAGTCCTTAGGTTGTAAAACAGACAGTACCATTTCAGGTGGCAGGTGGGGAAATCACATTTTTAATGCTTTCCTATATAGTAATCTCCCTATCTATCCATTCTTAAGGAAATCAGCCCTGAGTGCTCACTGGAAGGACAGATCCTGAATCTGAGACTCCAATACATTTGGCCACCTCATGAGAAGACATGTTGGGAAAGATTGAGGGCACAAGGAGAAGGGACGACAGAGGACGAGATGGTTGGACAATGTTCTCAAAGCTACTAACAAGAGTTTGACCACACTGCGGGAGGCAGTGGAAGACAGGAGTGCCTGGCGTGCTCTGGTCCATGGGGTCACGAAGAGTCGGACATGACTAAACAACAACAAATCTCCCTATAAATATAGAAATGTGATAAAATGTTATCCTTAATATGTTGAGTTTCCTGCTTCTTGCAGCTTTTGTTTTAAATGCAGAGGAATATTCAAAAATGACATTGCCCACCAGAAAATTGAGGTTGTACAGTCCACTCTTATCATCTCAGGGTTCAAGACCAGGCCTCAGTCTCAGGAATGAGGTAGGATTTCTAGCGACAAGACAGTAATGTCTTGCTTGTAAAACTCAAGTCTCCTTTACTAGCACATATATAGCAATTTCAAGCAATGTCTTCTTGCGTAAATTAGAAAACATCTAGCTTTCATCTGTGCTAAAGAAACATTTTGCACATTTTAACAGGGAAGCTTTGAGAAGTCAGCACTTTTCTGAAAATACAGGAAATGAGACTCCCCGTGCTGATACCTTCAATTTACACATGTGTACAAAGGCAAAGTTCCTTGAAAATTTAAGTTACTCATACCTTCTAGTTCAGCATGTAATGTCTTGTGCAAGCAATTTGCAAAATATATTAATTGAGCAACCAAAAATGCCAAGTCAATTAAAAAGTTTTATTCTGGGCAAAGAAAGATAGCTTTTATTAAAATTTCACATATCTAGCAATTCTGAGCTGCATCTTCAAAATAAATAAAAGCATCAACTTAACCGAACAGTCTAGAAAGCACACACTGCAAAGTGAAATTCAATTACAGCTTTCGTCAGTGTTACTAGGAGACCATTGATAGCAAAGAGCTTGGTAACCACAAAGAAGGTGCTAGATGACAGCTATTTAAGAACAGAACACCATTCTTATGACGGCTGGCAGGATAAGAGCCTCGCTTTAGCCAATTCTAAGACCCCAAACAACTAAATATAAAGCAATACGGGTACCATACTCACAACATGGAAATTATTTTAAAGACATTTGACAATCCTGCAAAAATTTAACTTTAAATTATCTGCTTTTGGCACCTTTTGGCACTTCACATTTATTTAAAATATTTATAAGTTGCAGCTTCTGATAAAGAGGTGTGCAACCTGCAGAATTGACAGGATTTAACTCCCCCATTCATGACCTGAATGGGTGGTTCAACCTTCCCACGCTAACTGGGTGCCCCAGTTCCCCGCTGAGAACAGGTGCATGCAGTCAAAGCAGAACTTAACTCCACCCTTCTGCCCACCAACTGACATCACAAGGGGTGTCAGCTGATGGGCAGGTGGGCACATTGTTTTTTGGGGAGGAGGGGGAATGGTCTTGTGAGCCATCTTGGGACTCAAGATTGGCCTTAGGCCAGAGGTTCCTCACTCCTGGGCTAGAGATTGCAATGGCAATTCGAGATAGCCAATGGGCTCACCAGTTGGTCACGGACTGTGGTTGATTGTTGTTAGAGAATATAATTCCTGTTGATGCTAAACCAATCAGAACATCCCACACTGTGTATAGCATCTGCTTATGCAACAACCATTCTATGGTCTAACATGAATTACAATCACCATTCCACATGTCATACTTCTCTTGAAACACATCGACTGTATGAACACAACGGGTAAAATGTGTGACAGGATGGGGCTAATCCTGGCCAGGTGATCATAAGCATACACTAGCTGAGATGCAATATTTTACAAATGACCTAAATGGCTCCCAGGGCTCCAATGCAATAGGAAGGCTGAATAACCTCTGCAGAAGCACAGGATTTGGATGTTGTTTAAACTGGAGCTATTTAAACTTACTCTGTCTGTCTATGAATGAATGAACATATGAAGAGGTTGTTTGGAGATAAAAAAAATAAACTGAATAAATGGGCAGACACTTTTCTGTGCACAAGAAAGCTATTTTTACCCAGGAAAGGAAACAAAAAATGTAAAATAATGTATGTTCTGCTAATTTCTGCAGACCTAAATGAGAACTATTTTAAAACTCTCTATCAATGGTATTTAATGCCTAATAAACTGAACTTAATATATAAGGATCAGATAAATGCTGGAGAAGTGGATTAAATAAAGCAGATTACATACACATCTTTGGGAATTGTTCTCAAATAGAAATATCCTGGAAATCTGTTCAGGCTAATATCTCTGATATGTTAGGATATCATATACATTTGGGACCTAAACTATAGCTGCTTGGTTATCTAAAAGATGTTATTCTGGAAAATGAGCAAGAAAGAATATTTGACCTTCTAAGTACTAAGATTATAATAGCTAAAAAATGGAAAAAGCCTATCTCCTACTATATCTGAATGGATTGAGAAAATATGGTCCATAGTCACTATGATTAAGCTAACTTATTACAAAAGTATACATATTAAGCAACACAGCTGGTTTATGGAAAAATCCGTATTTTAAGAAATGTTTTAGAACAATGTTCAATGACAGTGTCCAATCTTGTGCTGCTTTCCACCTGCTTAACAGTATTTCATTATGCTCTTCATCTTTTGTTCATTTTGTTTATTAGTAAAAATAAAAAAGGTATCTACTAGTGTTAGAAAAAAGTGGGGAAGAGAACTGCAAGAAAGTCAAATTTCAGTTTAAGTTTCAATCAAGATATGTCCTGGGTTAAAACTGGAACAAAAGAACGACGGAATAGTAGAAGAAAATGGAGCTCCTTCCATTCATTGCACATTTAACTACTGCCTTAAAAACCTTCTAAATAATATAAGGAAAAATGGTGGCAGTTCTTATTTATCAATAAAGATGTGACAGCGGCCAGTTTTGCTTTGTAAAGTATGTCAAAAATCAAGATGAAGTTTGACATAATGTGGAAATACGATTCTGAGAAACGGTGTTCAGAGAAACCACACAAATATTTGAAAGCTACTCTGCAGAGAAACGCTCTAAACTGCAAGTGAAACCACTAAAAATGAATGTGACTTTAAGTACAAATATCATTGGAAATTTTAAAAAGATGCCAGTTCAGATAATCAGACAGGCAGAGTGTAGAAAAGCTAGCTGAGTGAGGGAAAGTAAACAAAATGTACAAAGCCAGATTTTAGCCCTAAAGCAAACCTGACATTTTATCTAGCACCTGAAAGAGTTTCACAGAAAAACAACTCTGCCACTTCTCCTGAGTTCTACTACACTTTTAGTGTGTGCTCATTTCTTCCTCAAGAAGGCTTCTTCACTGCCCTTTACTTTAAAAAGGGACTGCTCAAGCTCATTACCTTTTGTAAAGCACTGTAAATTACTTTAATATGATGTTCCTAATATCCTGTGATCTGAGCGACTCAAGGCAGCCTACTCATTCAGCATGACACAGGTAGAAAACCAGTTAAATAATTATTCAAGTGTCCTTTTGCCCAACTACAGCTTAAATGCAACAAAAAACACAGTTAAGCCGTTTGTCCTCTAGACACCAGCAAAATGACTAACTCGAAGCAAAAATAGAAAGTTACTTTTCTTCCCACACAGCCCTGATGGCATGCTGAAAAGAGTTTTCAAGTGCAAGACCAGACAGGCATTGCACTAATATTCTAGTGCATGAGCGCTGGTAAAGGACATTCGCAGGGTCTCCTGCTCTTGCTGAAATTAGGCAAGAAAGAAGCATTCTGTTGTAGCCAATAGACTAAGGTGCAGTGCCTACATTTGTAGTGCCCACAGCAATTTACAGATCTGTCCAATGACTCCAGAAAGGTGGGCAACCTCCATTTTAGTGGGCTGTGCCTTCAAGAAAGCTTCATTTGGTTGTAAATTAACATTTTTGCATGGCGAGCATTCAGAAAGCGGGACCTGCACGTATACAATTTGAGTGATTTGGCGGCAGCTGTATGTGCCTCTTCAGATGGATCTATGCGAGTAGAAGTGAGTGATATTGAATGAGTAGTAGGCACAATAGTCTGACGAACAGTCCTCCAAAAAAGCCCAGATCTAGATTATTTTAAGATGTTGAAATGGACAACTTTCACTTCATGATTAGTGCCAGTTCTCCATAAATACATAAGGCTGCATCCAATGAAGTAATCTCATTCGCACAAGGACTTCTGTAGGGTCTGAAAGTATTAGCCATGACAGTAAGAAACGGCATTTGACAACTTGAGTTGGTGAAAGGATAATGAGGTTACACCCAAAATGCCTCACCTACATAAATACTAATAATGTTTAAAAAAACTACCTAATCATGCTGTGTAGCCTTAAGTGGAAGTGATGCGTAATTTATTCCAAATAAAAAATTAATCATGAAAAACTGTATTCTTCTGAAAAAAAGCATAATGGCAAGTGTGGTAGACAAAGCTTTCCTGCTTAATCATATGTTACTACTACCAGTGGATTGTGTAAAAAGAATTGAAGACAATGGAAAAAAGATTCTGATTAGTACAACATGGGATTCCTTATTGGAAAGAGGACATTTTTATATTTGTGCTAACTTGTGAGAATATTGTTTCAAGATGTCTCTGCGGCATTGTGTCACCATGGAAACCATAAAATGTATAGCATCCAAAAGGCTCTTCTTTCTACGTATGGTAGGGCCGTGGTAAGTTGTAAATCTGGTTCTCTGATAAGGTGGGGGGGCTGGAAAGGATCTACTTGCACAAAGGTGTAACATTTTTGGGGAAAGTGCACTGAAGCAATTCTTCATAAAATATTACTGCTACAGTGATTTATGTTATATATACATATTTTAAAGTAACCAAAGCATCTTGTGCTGAAGAATGGATATTAACACAATGCGACGCAATGCTGAGTTGATAGCATATGTTCATATGAAATAAGGAATGCCACAGAATACTTTGTTGTCTCCTGAGTATTTTTTTTAATTATGTAAATTTCTTCTTTGTAAATTATCTCTATTCTTCGTGGCCTGTAATCAGTTATGTTTCAGGTTATCATGGGTACCTTGATCACACATATATATACATCATTAAAACCCGAAGAACACTACACCTGGCTACACCTGGATTTCTCAAGGAGATCATCTTCTGAGAAGTCCTCATGAAGAAGACTCTCTTGCTAGTCTGTCAGTTTATACCTTATGATCAATATTAGCCACGGCTATAGAAAGTTCAAATAGGACATACAAAAAAACTTTTTTTTCTTGTTTGACTAGAAACCACATAAATGTAGTCAGACTGTTGTGATCAGCTACAAATCCAGACTAGTAGAGATCTTAATACAGACACAATCCTGATCCTAACTAGGATCATTCCATAGGATACTCTAATGTGGAGATGCGGTTCCAGCAAATTTTATAGCACAAGAACAGTGAAAATGTCTTAACATGTGCATGTGAACTGGGAAGCCAATAAATGTGCTAGTATCACAACCCATCTATCTGCAGAGGACAGAGACTTGGACCACCACTCAACCTCATGACTTTGCTTGGGAAAGTTTTACTTCTATTTATAATGGAAAACAAACAGTCTAACTTCTTTTATTTTTGTTTTACCTGCTCTATAGTAAAATATATATCTTATAAATAAATAACTGCACACACATTTCCCCTAAGCAACCATTGTATCAGAAAAAGTAACAGGTGAAGTAGTCCTCAAACACCTATCTTAGAAAGCAAATGCTGCTAACCAGTTGGGAAGGTATAATTTTTTCAGTAGGACTGATCAACCACAATCACCACAGCCGACAATCAGGACAGGCACGGGGCTAATGCAGACACTTTCATGCCTCCAGTAACATCTGAACATCACCGGCCAAAACTGACTGAAAGTTACCCAAATATGGGACATTCTAATTTTTAAAACCATAACCCCCCCTCCACAACTCCCCCACCTGAACTACTGCAAATAAGTAATTTTGTCTCTAAAGTATTTGATATTCAATCAGGCTCAACTCCTTCTCTCTATTTGTGTATAGGATGGGGGGGGGGAAGGTTATGTTTTTATGTACACTCAACCAAAATGTGATACACACGCTCGGGTTAGAGCTGCAAATATAAGCAAATAAAATATGCAATCTGGTCAAGAACATAGGTCATCATTAACTGATATAGATTTTGTCATCTTGAATAATTTAAAATGTACAGTGGTACCTCGGGTTAAGAACTTAATTCGTTCTGGAGGTCTGTTCTTAACCTGAAACTGTTCTTAACCTGAGGTGCCACTTTAGCTAATGGGGCCTCCTGCTGCCGCCGTGCAATTTCTATTCTCATCCTGAAGCAAAGTTCTTAACCTGAGGTACTATTTCTGGGTTAGCGGAGTCTGTAACCTGAAGTGTCTGTAACCCGAGGTACCACTGTACATAAACATGATGGCACAAGAATGATGAACATGTGATGAACATGCCCTCCTAAACCAGCTATTATATATACAAACTTGTTCATTTTTCAAATTTTTATTACAACTAGGGGCCTCAAAAGCTGCAAGTAGTCCAGGCCTCTCTGGACCTCTGAGATGGTCTAAAGACAAGTTATAGAGGGCAAAAGATCTCTAACCACAATGCTCAGAGACTCTTGAGAGTCCCATGGACTGCAAGATTATCAAACCTATCCATTCTTAAGGAAATCAGCCCTGAGTGCTCACTGGAAGGACAGATCCTGAAGCTGAGTCTCCAATACTCTGGCCACCTCATGAGAAGAGAAGACTCCCTGGAAAAGACCCTGATGTTGGAAAAGATGGAGGGCACAAGGAGAAGGGGACAGAGGACGAGATGGTTGGACAGTGTTCTCGAAGCTACCAGCATGAGTTTGACCAAACTGCGGGAGGCAGTGGAAGACAGGAGTGCCTGGCGTGCTCTGGTCCATGGGGTCATGAAGAGTCGGACACGACTAAACAACAACAACAAAGCACAAAGCTCAGTCACATAGGCTAACAATTTCTTATAGAAATTTTTAGAGAAGGCACTGGTTTATTTTCAGTAGGAGAAAAAAAATGGAAGACGGGAATTAAACTAAACTAAAACCGGGTAATAATAGAAATAGCAATGCAATTGCAATGCACACAGTTGATTCAACAAGACAATTATTTTAGATTTCTAAACTCTGAAGAAAGAAGACTCAGCCTTCACTACATCCCAGTCAGAATTCTGTGGCACTCCTAGCCTGAATTTCTAAGTCCTAGTCTGATGCATCATTTTACTATGTGAAGTTACAGAAGAGTTCCAGTTTTTATAAATTCCAACAATGGGTGTGCGAGTATGGCTAGATAGTAGATAAGTGTTGTTATATTTGTGCTTCCTGTTCATTACTGAGATTCTCAGATCATGGTCACTGCGTGGGAGGCTGATGCTTGAAAGACTTTTACATGGCAGCTGTTCCAAGCAGCAGCCATAACACGGGTCTCTCTCACCACACAGATTGTTTGCATAGCATGGAAATCATGGGTGTTGAATGCTATGGCCCCTGCAATATAAGAAATAAAGTGGCAGCAAGGAGGAGGAGGAGGAGGAGGAGGAGGAGGAGGAGGAGGAGGAGGAGGAGGAGGAAGAAGAAGAAGAAGAAGAAGAAGAAGAAGAAGAAGAAGAAGAAGAAGAAACAACTAGAATAATGGTTCACAATGCAATGTTTAGGAATTGCTGATCCAACAGCAAAGGTACTCAGAAACCTAGTTGCCTGGTAGCTTCAAGTGATATATCTGTAAGCAACAATCTGAACATTGATTAGAATCTTGAGTCTTTCTGAGTATAGTCTTCATTAGGGGTTATGTAATGGCTGCGCAGGACACAAGGGAGTGACTCTTCACTATTCTCCCTCTACCCAGCATCACACCTAATGATTTTCAGTACCACCAATAGTGCTGACAGAAGGGTTTTGACTCTCTAGGCTAGAACCTTCTCCCTCCAATTCTGCATCTCCATGTGCCTTTCGGATATTTCAATGCTTTGTCATCATTTCAAACCCCTTCCGAGCACAATTCAAAGTGTTGGTACTGACCTTTGAAGTCCTAAACGGCCTCGGCCCAGTATACCTGAAGGAGTGTCTCCACCCCCATCATTCACTGAGGTCCCACTTGTGAGGGTCTTCTGGCGGTTCCCTCACTGTGAGAAGTGACGTTACAGGGAACCAGGCAGAGGGCCTTCTTGGTAGTGACGCTTGCCCTGTGGAATACCCTCCCATCAGATGTCAAGGAAATAAACAACTATCTGACTTTTGGAAGACATCTGAAGGCAGCCCTGTTTAGGGAAGTTTTTTAAATGTTCGACGTCCTCCATGAAGGATCAGGATGCTGGACTAGATGGGCCACTGTTGTGATCCAGCTGGGCTGTACCTTCTCCCAGCTCTCTTCTCTCAATGACAATATCCTCTATCCTATTGATCTGGCAAAAGGTCATGGGTTTAACTCATCCTTCTTTTGCTGCCTGTTACCAAATCACATCACTTCTCCCTAGGCAACATTAAAAAAAAAATGAGACAAAAACTCTGGTCCATCTCGGCCATCTCTCACCTTGCATTTTCTCTTTTCTGTTGGCTTACATCTGGTCCTTCACCTCTATCCAGCACTCTGCTGTCAAAATAATTCACTTCTCTCATTCCTCCAACCATACCACAGTCTCTTTTAAATCCCTACACAGGTTAGCTTTCCATTCATAGATTCTGCACATTCTTATTGTTTTTACCTTCAAAAAAATCTCCATGGCACAACCCCCACCATTATGATCTCATCCAGGTTCAAACTTCAAAGGCCCCCGTCAAAAAATTCTTCCTTTTCTCCCTTGTTCATTCTGCCTGAAACTGCATCTCAGAAATAATCTATGGTGTCACTTCTTGCTTCTTTTAAACTCTTCTTCAAAATCCATTTTTTCTGAGAAGCCTCTAGTTCCCATTCCCTACTGTATCTAAGAATTACTGTACCTAATTACATGTACACATCACATAGTCTCCCCCTTTCTATTCCTGCTTCCAGCTTCTGTCTTTTCTTGTTGTCTCCTTTATGTCATTTTCTAGACTGTAAACCTCTTGGGGCACAGACTTGTCTTTTCATTCTCTGCACACTATGTTCATGGATGCTGTAACAGCATAATCATAAAAATTCAAAAACTGCAAGAGTCCAAAAATATAAGCGTCATGAGGAAATCACCAAGATTCTGTATGAAAGAACAGAAACTAGAGTTGCTTCAGGCTCCAAGGTTTCCTATCGAATCCCCCAAACAGTTAATTAACATTGTCATTGGGGACACATGAAACTAAAGGAGATGGGCTGGTATCAGTAACATTATAGTACTACTCCTGTATCCAGTGTGGTCCAAATGGCTTAGGTAAAGGTAAAGGTACCCCTGCCCGTACGGGCCAGTCATGTCCGACTCTAGGGTTGTGCGCCCATCTCACTTCTAAGCCAAATGGCTTAGAAGAAGGAAAAAGAACCAAACAAATCTTTTCTTCCCTCTTTTTTAATTGGGCTAGCAGCCATGCAGACATAGTGGGGAATTAATTGGGTGTGGTTTTCCCTTGCAAAATAATCCTGTCTGCTAACGGGCCACATCAATGTGTAAATCAACAAAGTCTGCCTCCCCAAAGATTGGAATAGTTTTTATTTTATATTTAAATGTTGTTTTGTATTGATTTTTTTACTGTACATCATCTTGGTGATACAATAGAGGCAGCATATTTTAAAATAAGTAAATAATGGAAAACAGAGGCCAAGCAGCCTCACCCAAAAAGGATTGGCCTACTAGCCAATCACAGTATGACAGAAGAATTTTAATCTCTAGAACAGGTAGGAACACACACTTCAGACAACAGCCCCACCCACTTTATTTTGTGCATCTTGCTTTTGCACAGGCATGTCTTTCTGCCCTTTGACGAAAAGCAATGATCAATAAAGGAATGAAATGGTAGATGTTTGCAGGGTTGGCAAATGTCGCCCCCCCCCCCCAAGGATTCAAACTGAACTACTGGCCTGTAGTGATCTTCCCAAACCAAAGTATGCCGTACACAGTTAACAACTGTCACCAGAGAAATCTCCTTAAGCAATAGAAAGGTGTGCTAGGCCTTTCAGCCAGCGCATATTTAGTAACTTCAAAAACAAGTAGCACACCATGACTGAAAGTCTGTCAGCATCAGAATGACAGGTCACAACTTGCTTGTTCCAGCCGGAGTGGGATATGTTTTGGAAAGCTGTCTACAAAAGGCTGGCATTCACGACACAATCAGCATAATACTGGTTTTCATACCACGAGAGAAACTGTTGAAATTTGCTAAATAACGTGGTGATTCTCTGTGGAATTCAAACTCTAAAAACGGCCGATCTTGAGCTAAATACAAAATTGGGGGTGGGGGTGGGGAATAACCAGCTTGTAACAGCACTAAGAAACAATGATACTGGTACAGTGGTACCTCTGGTTACATACGCTTCAGGTTATATACGCTTCAGGTTACAGACTCCGCTAACCCAGAAATAGTGCTTCAGGTTAAGAACTTTGCTTCAGGATGAGAACAGAAATCGTGCTCTGGTAGCAGCAGGAGGCCCCATTAGTTAAAGTGGTGCTTCAGGTTAAGAACAGTTTCAGGTTAAGTACTGACCTCCGGAACGAATTAAGTACTTAACCCGAGGTACCACTGTAGTAGGAAGCTATTCCTGATTTGACATTCCTGTGCAAAGCTACAGGACCTTTGAAACCATGAGAGCAACTGAACATCGTAGGGCTGCATTACTGCTTCTTGGCTTGAGAGAGGAGTGCAAGACCTATCGCACTGTCCTCCTAGGTCTCAAAAGCCTGGGAAGTATGGCAGGATGGACAGCAGAGAGTGTGAGAACAGGGGAACAAGGAAGACAGCAGAGAAAGGAGTGGGCAAACACTGATTGGTTAATTATATATCCAAAGTTGGGGTGGCGTAGTCACAGGCTCAAGCTATGACTCACAAAGCTGTCAGTGTGCATCTCACCACCGTGATGCACTTATTTCACAGCTTTTAAGCAAGCCAGTGTGTCCTAGCCCCACCCCTCAATCTGTGATATGGGTTAATAATACGGACCACCCTTACAAATCTTGTAAGGATTATCACAATAATATAAGGTGTGAAGTGCTTTGAATGCTTAAGGCTGCATAAATGCTTATCCTTATTAGTAGTATTGCAGGTTTTAACAGGGTCCTGAATGCCAACAGGGATTTTTGTCACCCTTTTAAAGGACAATAATGCAGATACAGAGTCATGCAGTGGCACTGTCAAGCTGTCTTTTCACCAATGGCTGTACTAATTTCTAACAAAATATGTACACTGCAAGCCAGTATGCAGCCCTCTCGGGAGAAGGGAAGAGGTCCTCCAACAGACATGAAACCAGGCATAGGCAAACTCGGCCCTCCAGATGTTTTGAGACTACAATTCACATCATCCCTGACCACTGGTCCTGTTAGCTAGGGATGATGGGAGTTGTAGTCCCAAAACATCTGGAGGGCCGAGTTTGCCTACACCTGCACTAAGCTATGAACCTCACTGGCTGGCTTGGAGACGTCACTTTCAGCATAATCTACAACTCCGAAGACCTTGGAGATACAGTAGGATACAAATCTAACCAATAAATACTAAGCTTATTGGACAAAGGCAAAATCTCTTAAAACTGGTTGGCCTTCCGCTTCGTCGCATATCCACACTGAACTTGCTTTATCATAGCCTGGCTTGATCTGAGTGGCATCCATATCTGATACACCCAGCATTTATTAAATGGTATTCCACCACTTTCGAGTTCATGTGAATGCTTTTTCAGTTGCTGCATGCGCTCTTTTACATTTAACTGATCAAGATCAGAGGGAAGCTGTTGCATCTTTATTATCTAGTTAAGTGTTACATCACATGCATTAGATCCACTTTCAACGCCAGTGTGTGAGTCAGCAAGCTGATCTGTTAGGACTACTCCACAAATCCAGTTTATCATAGGCACACTCATAACCAAACTGAACAATGATTTCTAGATGAATAATGAGCTAGCAGGAACTGGGCACTTCGCCCCTTTCTCTTCCGCCCCCAACAATCCCTCATGAATCTTACTCAACATTCCTCACTCTGAGCACGCTTTTAATTCGTACATTATACTTATTATCCTAATGAAAAACTATGACAAATGAAATTGGTTATGAACTAACATTCAGTTAAATATATAGACAAAATAGACAATGCTGTAGAACACTATCTATATGGTATTCTTCACAAGGAAAAAACAGTGGGTCAGCGGCAGATTGTAACCCTGTGGGAAACATCTTTTTTTAATTAGACAGTGCCTGGTAACCTACCTCACAGGGTTGTTGTGAAGATAAAATAGGGAAGGGACAACAATGCACACCGCCTTGAGCCCCCTGGAGTAACACGTGGCATATAAGCGTAATAAATATTATACACCCCTTAAAATGCCTTACAGTGTTTATCTTACAAGAAGCTACTAGCTATCTGCCCTGATTGTAAATGCCCCCCCGGCCCCCGGCACTGTTGTCATAATCTCAATCTAGTTAATGTAATCGACCTTTTGGGTAGACCCAGGAGCTGTTCTGAGTATGCTCATGGCTGCTACCTTCAAGACCACACCTCCAAACAGCTTGAAGCACACTTTGTAGGCAGGCAGGCATGGGGGAAAGTTTGCTAGTTTGAGCAGCTTGGTTTTCTTTTTTTACAACTAGTATTTGTTCACACACACACAGAGAGAGAGAGAGAGAGAGAGAGAGAGAGAGAAAGAGAAAGAGAGAGAGATTGAGAGGAAAGAGCAAATGTGGAGAGAGCAAAAGAAAGGGTGTGAATTTTCTCAGGGAGGAAGGGAAGGCACTCCTCATCTTCTCTGAACATCTCCTCTGGCTTGCTCCTGTGCTACCTAGTGACCAGGAAGCACAGAAATGCTCTCCTCCCACAGATTCATTCTTTCCCTGTTTCCAGTCCAGAGTATCTCCTCCCCAGTGTGTGTGTGTGCGCGTGCACGCGCAACAGAGGTACAGGTGAGTGTGTCAGGAGAGTGTGTGCCTGCATTAAAAAGGTAAAGGGACTCCTGACCATTAGGTCCAGTCGTGACTGACTCTGGGGTTGCGGCGCTCATCTCGCTTTATTGGCCGAGGGAGCCAGCGTACAGCTTCCGGCTTCATGTGGCCAGCATAACTAAGCTGCTTCTGGCAAACCAGAATAGCGCACGGAAACGCTGTTTACCTCCCTGTCGGAGCGGTACCTATTTATCTACTTGCACTTTGACGTGCTTTCGAACTGCTAGGTGGGCAGGAGCAGGGACCGAGCAACGGGAGCTCACCCTGTCACAGGGATTTGAACCGCTGACCTTCTGATCAGCAAGTCCTAGGCTCTGTGGTTTAACCCACAGCGCCAGCCTGCATTAAGTGTAACAGAATGTGTGAGAGAGGGGAAATTGTTTGTGACAGGTCCTGCCTTCACCCCACCGGATTAATTTGGCACCCATTGCTAAAGGATGCCCCCCTTGCTTAATTCTGTGCAAGGATACTGTGGGTTACCGTGAGTAGTTGGTGGTGACAGTATAAAATCCATGGGTTTCACCATACTGTTGCCTGTACATTTTCCTTCTCTGGATGACGCTTGGCAAGAGTCTTGTCTTTACGCATTCCCACCCCCCAACCACCAGAGCAGGGGTCGGCAAACTAAGGCCCGCGGGCTGGATCAAGCCCAATTGCCTTCAGGATCCGGCCCACGAACTGTCAGTGGATCGGCGTGGGGATTCTGTTTGTTTAGGCTGCGCCATTCCATTCCCCCCCCCCCACACCGCGGCAGCACCTCCTCCCTCCCTCCTCCTGGTTTCTCCCTGCCCTGCCTAGAAGAGGAAGGGGGCTGGGTTTCTCCCTGCCCTGCCTAGAAGAGGAAGGGGGCTGGGCTGAGCTGGCTGAGCGCCATTTTAAGCAGCCCCTCTCTGGAGCCAGCCCTTTCCTGCTGCTCATCTTCCTCCCCCCCCCCCGTGCTCCTGTGGGCCAGAGAGCAAGCAGATGAGCTCCCTCTGCCTACCCACGAGAAACAGCAGCAGTTGTTCTGTGGCCATAATTTAAAATTCCTCCCCTTTACCATAGACTCATTGTTTGGTGCCGTTGTTGCTGCTGGGTACATTATTCTCTGTACTTATACCAAAAACAGGATTCGCTTCCACTGCTTACAGCAGAAATGGAGGGCAATCCAGTAGCACTTTAAATACTACAGCAAAAGTATTGTACAGTATTACTGCATAACTGATTCATGGATTATCAAGAACGATGCATCTGATGAAGTGGAGTCCAACCTAAGAAAGCTATGCCATTGTATATTTTGTTTAGTTTTTAAGGTGATAGTACTATCCTTTCTGTTGTTTTGCTAAAATTGTACTGTGACCTACTTTACAGGGTTGTTGTGAAGATAAAAAGACCATAAGACACTTAGGTAAATTTTAAAAGCTGGGGTGGGGGAGGAGAATAATCTTTTCCTACAGGTTTGGAAATTTAGGGGGTCCCTTCTTAACAGTTCTGTGTGGCCAATTCCAGCTGCAACCCTGAACCTGCTTATCAGGTGGCAGCCCCAGTGGAATTCCCCATGGGGCTTACCTCTGAGAAAAATATGGCTATTATGGCATGAACCCACACTAGAAATTGTGACAGCGGGTACCCAAGATAAAATATTTAGGTGCCAAATTATTATTACAACTTCAGTGTCCACTATTTGCAAAGTAGGTGAATAGCGAGAGAAACAGAAAAAGTGGAAGCCATACAACTTTCCTCCCAGCAGAAAAGCAACTGTGACAGCAGGAGCTTCTCCTGAATGATATTTTCCAGTTTAGTTACCGGTAGGTGCTATTTGTAAAGCAGATACATTAACCTATGCATCCACTGTACCTTGCAAGGGAGGAGGATGGGGAGAATATCAGAATTCGGACACATTCCCATGACCTCTCGTTGACAACACACCCCTGACATCTTTGTATTCCCACCAAGTCTAGTGGGCATTAGACGCCACTAGTTATACACAACTGTTTGGTCCCAATTACAAATACGAGTTGGGAAGCTATTTCAAGAGCAAAGAAACTTGTAAAAAAAGTTGGTAGTGTGTAAGAAAAGAAGAATGGACTGGCCTGACAATTTAGGTTTTTCAGCACACTCTACTTTAGTGCAAGTTAAAACTGTTTCAGTATTTATCAAGAAATGAAAGTGCTGGAGGTGGTTTGCCTTAACTTTTAAAAAGTCACTGCTAGAGTTTGAGGGTCACTATGGAAAGGACATAACTAGTGATCCCTAAAGTTAAGGGTTTTAACAAAGGCATCCTCTATTTAAACTGCAAGTCCTGAACAGACCATTAGTGTTATTGTTTTTAAGAAATAACTTTTGTAGTGAAAGCACACATCAATTATAATACAAACATAAATAAACTCTTCTATCAATAAAATGAGCAAACTACAGCCAGAAGAGAAATATATGCAGGAAATACAAGATTCCTTTGCATGTAAAATTTTTTTTTTAAATGTACATAATTTTATAACAAAGACAAGAAACGTGTAAGATCACTCCTTGCTAAATTTTATTTTTGGAAGTCTCCATCATGTAAAGCTTAGAAATCTTTCTCTGCCAAGAATGCTTATAAGGGAGTGGGGAATGGTGTATGTTTATAATGCTGTTAGCTTGCTAGTAAAACTAGAGGAGATGCCATCCAGTAATCCTGTAACAATACTGGCATTTGGGATTGTAGTTTCAAAGAGAAACACAGAATCAGTATCTTGGCTAATGTTTGATTTGTTCAGAAGCCGTGAATCAATGAATCCCACAAGTGTTTGAAACAAAGCAAACTGGAATCAAATTTGAGAGAATTTAGGAATTGTTTAAGGTACTGTACTTAAAAACACACTACAGATTTCTAAGACGCCCAATGGCAGAATACACTTATGCTCTCTATAATCAGCGCTCCACACAGCAATGTAAAATTGTTTTAAGATTCACAGTGTCAGCGTTGTATGTTTCAAAAAGCATGTTTTGTTGGATGTTTCCTAAATATATAGTGGCTGCCTTCTATAATGCAATGGACTGTATCACTCAGTCACATTTTCCTGTTTAGTTGCAAACCTAAACAGAAGCCAAAAATGAACCCTCACTTGTAGACACAAAAATCCTTTTACTGCACGTTATCGCTCACATATGCCACAAAGAGCTGCAATTCTCTGAAAGAACTGCTGTGTAACTTAAGTGCCCTGCCTCTCTTCCCTCCAACCCCCCCCCCTTTTTCTGGGGTAGTGACTTCACATCCTTTGACATCAGCCTGAAAGTGGGGGGAGGGGAGCACTAGGGCAGAAAGCAGCAAAACCTGTTTAACGATGCAAGCAGCCCTTCCGATTCTTAAATCTTTTCAAGATTTAATAGAACTCCCCTATATTTTTTCAACTTTAATAAATCTGCATCGGAACAAAAATGGATTCTGCTACAAAGGACTTCCTGCTTTCCTTACCCGAGAATCACAATAGCCTTTTATTACCAAGCCACAGAGGGTTACAATTCATTGAAACACAAATAACTCACCTCGAATATGCAGAAGGGCCACGGGCTGAAATGGCCCGTTTGAATTGGCTGCGTCCACCACCATCCTGCTGCCAGCTTTATTACATGTCAACATCTAGGCTTCAGCAGGGAAAGCGGTGTACTCCTTAAGGCAAGAAACCAGCCTCCATTTTAGTTTTAAAAAAAAAGAAACTGAAGCTCTCTGCAGCTGGAGGGAACTGGCTAGTTAGTGATGTCAGCAGAGTGGAGAAAGCTGATTGGCTAAATGCACCAACTTAAAATGACTCTGAAAAGCCGCAAATGAAAAGAGCTCTCTGTGTGGCTGTCACCGTGCATTAAGCTTGTACATTTGTCAGCTCTCTTGTACTTCCATTCATCATTAGTAAATGAATGCCCAGACTACTGTTTGAAAATACAAGCACTAAACCTTCCGAACAAACAAGTATATCATGGAGTTAACTTTCACTTCACAAAAGGAGTGCTAGGATTTTTTCAGAGTCTATTTGTGTTATCAGCCAGCAAGGATCCACAAATAGATGAACTGTCTCAATTTTCTATTTCAGCAGTATTTCATGAATGCACTAAATGTTTCCCCTTTCTTCTTCAAAATGAACTGCACAAGCCTGCAAACTGTGTGCATGGGCTCTGTGCTATTTGCATTATGATTGCTTTAGCACGAATAGAAATATTTTAGCTCTTCCCCCCAAAAGGCACACAATGTACATGTGCGTGCATGCACACACACACACACACACAAAACTTTTAAAAGTTTGCAAGCAGCAATTATATTAAATTTCATCATACACTTAAAAAAAATACATTCAAAGCATCACACTAGAGGTTTGCTACAGGACCCCAACACAATCCCCATGCTCCACTATTATTTATTTATTTATTAGTAATTTATTTATTGCATTTATATCCCACTTTTTTCTCCAAGGACCTCAAGTACACATGCCCCCGCTCCATTTTATCCTCACAACAACCCTGTGAGGTAGGTCAGGCTGAGAGGCATCGACTGGCCAAGATCACCCATTGAGTTTCATGGCCAAGTGAGGATTTGAACACTGGTTTCTTTGAGGTCCTAGTCCAACATGCTAACCGCTACACCAACTTACAATCATTTACCATGTGTGTATTCGACTTTATGTGCTTGGCAAAAAATAAAAAATAAAAAGCGGGCAAGGATCTGGGAAAGAAGACTTTGGCAATCCTGTTTGCTGTTGAACTCATTGTGTTTTGACTATACGGGATTATGGCTTTAGGCATGATCCCTGGAATGTAACCCCTGTGTAAGTTGCAGGCTTATTGTACAGTGGTACCTCGGTTTAAGAACAGTCCAGTTTAAGAACGATTTGGTTTACAAACTACGCAAAACCGGAAATAGTGTCTTGGTTTGAGAACTTTACCTCGGTCTAAGAACAGAATCCAAACGGTGGAAGGGCACTGGAGGCGGGAGGCCTCATTAGGGGAAGCACGCCTTGGTTTAAGAATGGTTTCTGTTTAAGAACGGACTTCCAGAACGGATTAAGTTCGTAAACCGAGGTACCACTGTATTACAAGATTCACCTAAAATGCAAGTTGCAGAAAAGGTCCATTCATTAGAATGCAAATTTGGATAGTTCCTGAAATTTTATCATCCAGAACTTCTTCTTTGGCGATCACTCATAGCCGAATAAGATTGTCTTCCATAAACATGGTTTTAACAATGAGTCCGTAAGTGACTGTGGAGGCCAATTCTGGAGCCACACGTCCTTCCACAGTGGGGACATTGGTTTCCGGGCGGGAGTTGATAACGGTGTGGATTTGCCAAGTGTGCCTTCCTCTTAGCACGTTTCTCCCTCTCGTCCTGAGTTCGAGTGTCTTCAAAGCCCATGACACCTTTGGTAAAGGCTGTTCTCCAACTGGAATGCTCGCAGGCCAGTGTTTCCCAGTTGTCAGTGTTTATACTTTTTTTATACATTTTTTAAGATTTGCCTTGAGACAGTCTTTAAACCTCTTTTGTTGACCACCAGCATTACGCTTTCCATTTTAAAGTTCGGAATAGAATAGTTGCTTTGGAAGATGATCCATCAGGCATCCGCACAACATGACCAGTCCAACAAAGCTGAAGAATCATTGAAGAATCATATCATTAAAAGTAAGATTCCGTTCTGGTTGCTGTTGCCAACTCCTTCTTTCCCAATAGTCCCAGGCCATAGATCGAAATCTCGCCCAACTCTTGCATTAAAATCACCCAGGAGGATAATTTTATCTTCCTTAGGTGTCTCTGATAGGACGGTATCCAGCTGAGAGTAAATTTATTTTTTAATGTCTTCTTCGGCATCCAGTGTTGGTGCATAAGAGCTTATAATAGTAGCCTGTTGGTTTTTGGTGAGCTTTATTCGAAGGGTTGAGAGTCGCTCATTAATGAATTTAGTGTCTATAACGCTCTTGGCATCTGTCCCTTCCAAAGTTTCTATACACTACCTATTTCTCCAGGAAATGTCTTGCATTGGTTGTTGATGGATCCTTGTGAACCGTATTCACAGTGCAAGTCAGATATGCTTCAATTCTCATAAGGACTCAGCTTTATAAAACCAGGACCAGATGCAAAGCACAGTACATCAGGAATAATACAAGGGGATTATAGGCCCACTTCAATGCCACAGAATCATAGAGTTGGAAGGGACCCTGAGGATCATCTAGTCCAACCCCTTGAAATGCAGGAACATGCAGCTGTCCCATATGGGGATCAAACCTGCAACCTTAGCATTATCAGCACCACGCTTTAACCAACTGAGCTAACCATTTTTTTCAACAACAAAAAAATCCAGTATGTAGTAGGCTGGCTTGGAAAGGGGGGTGATAGAGAAGTTCACACAAGCTCCAAAATATAATATTGTACTAGTAGGATTGTCATAGACTAACTCATATGTAGGAGCAAATGTGCCTCAATCTGAACTGAATAAACTGGTCAGCTTGAAACTTATCTACTTCAAGTGAGGAAAAGGAACAGTACTGTAGTCATTTGAGGCAAACCCCAGTAAAACCACCTTAAAACACAAATAGGTAATTGATGAATGCATTAAATTGCTTGTTTGACAAGAGCCAACAGGCTGTATTCAGTGTAGTGTTATGCAAAATGTTCAGTCGGTGCTGCAAGGATTTATCCTTGCGCAATGGAACATTCTTCCCCTTTTCTCCCCTATGCACCCCCTAAATCTGTTCCAGAGGGGTCCCCTTACCCTCTGGAGCAGATTTAGGGACAGCACATGGCACACATAGAAGGAGGGAAATCCCACTGGGCAAAAGCTAATCCTTGCACTATTTAGTAGAGTAAGTAAAATAGAGCTTCTCTGAACACGAGAAGAAAGTCTGTTGTGTCTTGCTTGCTCTTCTCTTCCTTCAGTATTCGTTTATTGTTTGTATACCAATTACAGTGAAATTAACTTTAGAAGGCTCAACTAGTAAGCTGTGTAAAGAGACAAGATCAATTTCATTCCTGATCATTCAGATATTATCTCCTTTCAGAGTGTTCAGCCTACATCAATTTTAAGCTAATTTAAGGAAAGAATAATTTCAGATACAGGCTTGAAACATTTTCATGCCTAAAAATGTGAAGTATAAATATCAAACAAATACATTTGTAAAGACACATGTAGCATTTAATTACACTCATCAGGAGCTACAATATTCTGCAGTTCCCTATTGAATGTACACTAGGGCAAACCTTGGCTTACTGTATATCTAAATATTTTGGCAAATGGTCTTTGGAGCATAATTCTAATTGAATATAATACACCAAGTGCCACTAGCAAAACCAGGCCCCCAGGATGATGGGTAGGTTTATTAATACCCAATATGGAAGGAAGCAAAGGTATCAAGGAAGTCAATTTGATTACTATGCTTATAATTCTGGAGATACAACATGAATAACAACCAGCATTAATGAAATGCAGGTTTCACTACAAAAAATCATTATGCTGAAATAGCACCAGAAGTTTATTTCACTGGAACTGCATCCCAGCCTTATAAGAGCTCCCCTTTCACCAGGCCCATCAGCATTTGATAGTAGAAATTACATTTCTGCTTCAGGAAGGGAACCTGGAAAATATTTCTTAATTGTTGGATCAGAAACCTTTTAGACAGCATTAACAAATTTTCAGATTCCTGAGCAAACAGAGTCTGACCAATCTGTATATAACAAACCCACCCTTTTCCAATTCTGCTAAGTAGATTAACTTAGAATCTATCATTTGTACAGAAAACAGATCCTGGCTTATTACGATGGTTAACAGTCATTAACTAGAGTTCTCCAGCTGGATACAATGGGAAACTCTAGATTAAGACAAGCAAAGAATGAAGAATATTTGTATGCAAGGGCTTGGATAAGCAAGGGGCATACAAGCCAAATGATAATAAAAATCATGGTTGATGAAGCTAGGGAAATATCATCTGAACCCTGCCAATGTTGGTATTCTGCGGCAACAAATTAAGTGGGCACAATTTGTCAATTCCCAGAGTTTATTCTAAACAATGATGCCTGATAAGAAAACAGGGATCTTGATACAAGTAAAAAACATGTTACAAAAAACAATGTTGTATTTTAATTTGACTGTTAGTGTCTGGAATCTAAATAGAAGACTCCTCAATTTGCTTACCCTTAATGAAGCTAGAGCTAAAACACACATTCACACAAATTCGACACTTGTCTGGAATGACAGATTGAACAAACAAAAGCCAAGCAATGTAAAATGTATTTTAAAAGGTGAAGCCTGCAACTTGCTCTTAACATTTTAGGAAAGATAGTAAAAAATATATCCACTACTATATATACATATCTGTGCTGGCACATTTGTTTGCTGTGACAACAGCATAAAATAGCACAACATTGGCATTCTATATTTTGAGATGTTTTGAGTAAGCTCTGTTCAGCCTAACGCAGAAAGATTTGGACTACATTGTTGCTTACAGTGACTAACAAATGTGAAAACTGCAACTAGCGACTTAATACGAATATATAGTATAATTTGAAACATCCCCCGGATATTATACAAACCTCCTTGTCATCCTTCTCCGCAGGAATCAACTTAAACTTGTAAAATGTGCAGTGCAACAAAAAGAAACACCTTCCCTACAAAAAAAGAGGCTAAATTGTTGTGAGGTTATTTATGTATAGTGGGACGCGGGTGGCACTGTGGGTAAAACCTCAGTGCCTAGGACTTGCCGATCGTATGGTCGGCGGTTCGAATCCCCGCGGAGGGATGAGCTCCTGTCTTTTGATGAGCGAAGTGGAAGACTACAACCCATGGTTGTGGGGATTGTGTGACTGTGTGATTTTGTGTGTGTGTGAATTCAACAGCACTTTGTTTGTTTTTGATTGTTAGCTTGTTAATGTTGTTAATATTGTTTTGTGGATTATGGGTGCTGTTTAATGCTTTGTGAATTTTACAATATGGCTTTTCTTGTGGCTGTGGTGTTTAGCCTATTTTTTTATTTTTTTTTAAGCTGCTCTGTTAATAGTGTTTTATAGAAGGTGGTTGTTTTTACTGATGATTTGTTAATTATTTCATATGATTTATGTTGTAACTGTGATGTTCTATTATGTTGTTATTTATTTTACGCAAGCCACTTTCTGACTTGTGAGAGTGAAAAGCAGCATAGAAATATAATTAATGGAAGGAAGGAACAATCAAAAGGACACTCCTCTGATGGTGGATATGAATCTCACCTGTGTTACTTATAATGCAGACATGGAGGTTTCCTCCACTCCAAAATTCCATAAAAAGGAATACTATTACTGAACTTGCTCAGAGCAGAAATGCTGCATTATCATACAGCTATTCTGCATGCGTTCCACTGACCATGAGAAGGAAGCCATGAAATACTTTGGGTAGTGGGGGAGGCAGTAGCAGTGTGTCCCATTCCCCAAGCATCCATTGAGCTATGTACATTGAAGTTCATGGAAAGATAGGAAGGGTACAAATATGTATGATCCCATGCAGCAGCTCAGCTGCAGTGGGTTAAAAGTGCAGAGATATTCCCCCACATCTTTTCTTGAACACTGAAGTGCCCTGCTGGATCAGTCCAGTCCAGCATACTGATAAGCTGCCCTGGTAACTTGTTGAAAGGCAGGATATAAATAGCCAAATAAAACACCATCCAGTTTTCAAGAGCCAAGCAGATGCTTCTGAGAAGTCCACAAATGGGTAACAAAGGCAACAGCTTTCCTGCTGCCCCCAGTAAGCGGCAATCGGAGGCACACTGCTTAAAATTTACAGCTGATGAGCACAGGCTTCAATCCTGCTCTCTGCAGGAGTCTGAGCAGGATTTAACTCCCACTCAGCAGCTGATGAGCAGGGGTGTGGGAGCCATGAAGTCATGGCAAAGGCTTGTAGCGCCACCTGGTGCCTCACTGACCTGAATGTCCGTGCCTTGCAGTGTATTAAGTGCATAACCTTATATGGCGATGGGTGGGTTAAAGCCATGACCGGATGTAGGTAACGTGAGACATTGGCAAACGGCCATGCGACAGGAGAGAACAAAGGATAATAAAAGATACCGGAGAGGAGAGAAGTTCGAAAGGAGCTGCTCATACCATCCTGAAAATATTGCTGGCTCTCTGTGTCTTTATTTTATGCTAAACTGCGCCATTTGTGACGGCTGGCTTCCGTCACAGGGGTTAAATCCTGATGTTTTGATTGTGTGCGCGCCAGTTTCCTCTGGGGAACTGGTTGCTGTTGTTTATAGTCGTTTAATCGTGTCCGACTCTTCGTGACCCCATGGACCAGAGCATGCCAGGCACTCCTGTCTTCCACTGCCTCCCGCAGTTTGGTCAAACTCATGCTGGTAGCTTCAAGAACTGGTACATGCAGCCAATATAGAACTGAACCCTGTGCCATCCATCAGCTGGTGTCACCTGCCCATGAAAGTGACATCAGCTGGTTGGTAGGTGGCTAGAGTTTTTGGGAAATGGTAGAGGGCCAAACAGGACCCCTTGGTGAGCCAAGACTGTCCTTTGGTTAGAGGTCCCTCACCCATGGCCTAAGGAAATCTGAAAACTGTTCTCAAAGTGGGGCATTTTACCTCTTTAAGCTGAATATTACTTGTTGTTTAACAGATCATTTCTGACCTCTGTGTACCAACTACCTTCATATTTATTGAACTGCCATTTTCTAGAAGTGGGGGCTTTGATGTCAGAGGCTGGATTTTTTTCCTTCTTTCCTTCCAAGTTATATAAGGTTAGTCCCATACTTAAGATTCATATTCCTAACGATATTTTCCTAGTTCAAAAACTCAAAGATGGCCAGATTCGCTTATTTTATTAAGACCCATGAGAAAATTAGTCAGCTCTATGTGCAGATCTAGAAGTCCTGATTCTAAAAATAGCTTAAATAACTATACTGTGGTTTTTTTTATAGCCTTGTGAAGCCTGTTCTTTTTTCAAGTGTTCCAAGTTTACAATTGGAAACAACTTCCAAAACCTTCTTAAATCAAAGAACTGTATAGTGGGAAACAGGAACTGACGCATATGTGACAAGATGAGCAGGTATCAACCGTAACATGTTTGGATGGTTGTTATAAACAATCTGAGTAAGAAAAGCAGCATTTTAGAATAATGAGATTAACTGCAAAAGTTATGGCTGCAAAAAAGAAATAGAAGTAGAGAGGGCTTGAAAAAATCCAGAAATGCCTGGGGGTGGGGAATGTGGCAGATGTAACTTTATTTATATAAAAAACACCGTATCTGGTTATCTGTAAGAATGAGTATTTGACAGTTATTTAGCATCTTAAAATAATCCACAAAGCAGAGCCATTTATTGCAATATTGAGGTCCAACTCTTGAGCTCATAGGACATGACTAAATATTAATATCAAGCAATTTCAGTTACAAAAATCCACAGGGGTAGCCATCCATCATTATTCCCAATACAAATAAATATATGCAACCTAATCAAAACAATCGAAATCAGTAGCACTCTATAAAAACCTTTTAAAAACCAAGTACTACACCACACCAGAAACATACAAAGGTCCAATAAAACTGATAAAATGCCACAAGTTACAATAATAAAGCCACATTTGGTAAAACTCCCTTTTAAAAATTTGAACCATATGGAGTTTCAGTCTAGATGTATATCCGAAAGGACATGAACCTACAGAAAAGGTTGACGGCTGCTTGTTTTCAGACTGAGAGGCCTATGGTAGAAATAAGGTAGAAAATAAGGTAGAAAATGTATTTCTTATTTCTGGGCTCCCGAATCAACATTTCAAGGGCCACACCAGATTTGTGCCTAGCCTTTTACCATCCTTGCCCTAAAGCAGGGTTTCCCAAACTTTTGGACTACGGTTCCCATCACCCCTGACCACTAGTCCTGCTAGCTAGGGAGGATGGGAGTTGTGGTCCAAAAACAGCTGGAGACCCAAATTTGGGAAACCCTGTTCTAAAGACTGCAAGAGCAGAGAAGAAATATACTGCTTATATTTGTTGTTATTTATTTAATTTATTGGATTTATGTAACACCTATTTGCCAACCACCCGAAGAAATTTACAATTTCTCTCTCTCTCTCTCTCATACACACACACACACACACACAAACTTGGCAGCGGATAAAAATAAAATACAGCAAATCCACACAAAACATTTTTATTGGCACTCCTGATTTAAAATTACTCAAGTTTTTCTTTGGTTATTTTTTTATTAAAGGTTTCTTGGTTTACAAAAGTATGCGCAATGTCTCTTTTTTCAAGTTACATTTCAGTTTCATTTGTTCAGACATTAGTGTTACATTAGGAAAAAAAGGGGGGAGAGGTGGAGGGGACCATGGTGGATGGGTGTGGGGTCGGGTGGTGATGTTTTAAATTTTACTTAATGTGTGGGGTTTTGTGTCAGCATCGTTTGTGCAGGTTCTCTTTGCTATTCGCTTGTGTTCCTTAGCTGGTGAGAGAGGTTGGGGTTGGTCTAGGGCAGGCATATCCAAAGTCCTTTTCGGGGGTCCAATCTGGCCCGCTGGTGGGTTTAATCTGGCCCCTGTGGCAGTTTATTTCCTGGGGTAAAATCCTTAAAAACCTCAACAACTTCAACCCTGAAAAAAGATCAACAACTTCAATCCTAAAAAAGGGTTAACAACTTTGGTTGGCCCTTACGACCCTTCACTTCATCCAATCGGGCCCTCTTTGAAAAAAGTTTGGACACCACTGGTCTAGGGTGTGGTTGCTTGTTTGTGACTGGCTCTGGTGAACTTTGTTTTCATGTGTGGGTGGGGTGGGTGGATGTTTTGGATCAGGTTAGACATATTGTATTGATTCATATACCACTGGTGGATTCTTGTCGTTGTTTTGTTGGGCTGTGTATGTGATAAAGGGGAGCCATACCAGGGTGAAGGCATCTTCTTCTATTTGTCCACGTGTTAGTTTCAGTTTATTGGTTAATTTTTCTAGTAAGGCTGTTTCCCATACTACTTGGTACCATTGGTCCATGCTTACTCCTGACAGGTCTCTCCAGTGTCTGGTTATGATGTTTCTGGCTGCTGAGAGTAAGTGGGCTATGAGTTCTTTGTGATGTGAGTGGGCATTATTGTCTTGAAAGAATTACTGAAGTTATTACAATGGCTTGGCAATTTTGGTAATTTCACTGAAACCAAAATGTATACCTGAATGTTAGGTACAGCTTCACGCAAACTTTGCAAGTGCAATGTATGGGGCACAATTCTAGAAGAGCACAGAATTTAGCTCATTTATAATCGTAGCTCTCGTTAAAAAAAATGTTATTTATATTTATTTATTTGATTTCTATACTGTCCTTCACCCAAGGATCACAGGATGATTTACAATATAAAACACAAAAATGCATCACATAGTAACAAACAAAAACAACCCCACCACATTTAAAAGGCCACAGATTCTAGACCATATGGAAATGAAGGTATACTTGAAATTGCGGGCAAGCCACCTGCTAAGATTTCAGAAGGCAATGAGCAGGTGAATAGGATTTCTAATGGGCTGGTTGTGCTACTCTGCAGACCTTCTTGCCTCTCTCTGTGATCCAAGCCACAATAATGCAACGAACATTTCCTCAATTTGCATAATTTGCACAGGTTCTTGACTCAGAATTTGACTGCCTGGGCCACATGCATTCCTCTTTCCTGCTTTGATTTGTGTGGAGCACATACATTCTTGACTCCCACAAGAAGCCTAGAAAACTCAGAAGAATAGGAGTTGAACAAAAATCTTCTTAAAAAACTGTTTTCTTAGGACAGGGAATGATTATTAAAATAGCTCCACACCCCCTAAGGACACAAGCATGGTTAACAATTGGCCTGAAGAGCTATTAAGACAATAATAGTGTTGGGTCAATGTGCAGAAATTTGGCCTAGCAATGGGGCAAGCCCTTGCATAATGAGCAGCTTATGTAAACAGAAATTAAGTGTGCTGGTAAAGATGTTCAATTAGGTCAAAGAAAGGAAGCAACTAATTATCAAATTATTGCTTGCAAGTTAAAGACTGAATAGAGATGTAGTTCAGGAAGAGGTCACAGAAACCCAAGTTATAATAAATACTCCAGGGGAGCACACAGGTTGAAATCCATGACTTTTTCTTTAAATGAACTTTGCAGGCTTTAGAAAGAGGGAAAGTGCTTCTCCTGGTTGGTTAGGACAATCTTGCCAGTTTATAAAAATGAGAAATTCCAAGTATAAACCCCCATTTTGCCACCAGAGACAGGGGTAAGGAAATATCCCAACTGCTTAGATTTTTTGTACTTATGGTATGTAAGCTTTTTCAGTTATATATACGTACGTCTACATGACTTTTGATGGCTGATCAAGAGAGACTGCATTTGCACTGCAGCTGCAATCCTATACACAGCTTACTGAGAAATCAAGTGCGATACACTTTAGGAATGGCTTTCTTCTTTCAACAGATGACAGTGCACTGAAACATTATATCCCAGTCTGTAGCCTGTCTAGACCGCTCAGGGAAAGCATTAGCTTTGGGTGTACTAGCCTAGTGTGTTTGTGGGAAAACAAACTTTTTTTCTGTCTCCTTAGGGCTCAAGAAGGTGGTGGTCACAGTGTGCACCTTGGGGAATGTATGGTACTGAATTTGCAGGCACTTTGTTTCTACCCAGACTGGTTTGTTGTTACATGCCTTGCACATAGCAAGCCAGTCTATGGCTTATTTCCTTCCTGCCATGCCAGGAGTGGAATGCACCAGTGATTCCCACATCAGAGGGAACCAGGCAGAGGGCCTTCTTGGTAGTGGGACACACCCTGTGGAACACCCTCCTATCAGATGTCAAGGAAATAAACAACAATCTGACTTTTAGAAGACATCTGAAAGCAGCCCTGTTTGATCTTTTATCGTTGTTTGTAGTATTCTGTTGGGAGCTGCCCAGAGTGGCTGGGGAAACCCAGCCAGATGGGCGGGGCAGAAATAAATAAATTATTATGATTATTACATCAGCACATTCATGTTGTTGCAATCCAGCCCAATCTCTGAGTGATGCAAGATTCCAGGGGTTCCATGCACTTATCCAGGGTTCATGTTTCCTTTCAGAATGAGGCACAGCAGACTGTGGTGTCTTAATGATATATAGTTTATTTACACACATATGCAACCTAAGCGTACAATGGAGGAGGGGTTCACAGCATCAACACCTCAAAAGAGTCTTGCTTCTCCCCTAGCCACAGCCTTAGATTCAAACAGAAATCAAACATTGCTCACTGACCCTCCGCTTGCTGCTTTTGCTTCTAGCTCACATCACAGCAAACTTTGCTCTAAATTCTGCCTTTGTCTATCTCAGTTGAAGGACGGGCACCACGTTTTGGCATCTGGCACAGAGCCCCCTCTCCTTTGTTCTCTTAATGACCTGCACACATTTTCCTGGGAGTAAGCCCCACTGAACACAGTGGGCTTACTGCTAAGTAAACGTGCATGAGCAGCATCACTTTTTGAAGCATGAAAATTCGTCAGATTAGTACGGTTGAAAATTAAGGGCGCTGCAGCCAAACAGCTAGCTGCACTGAATGCAAAGCATGAAAACTAGGTCTTGGAATGCAGGGAACTTTCTAAAGAGAGATGTGGAAAGGTTCTGTGCCCAGACACTTCATTCTCACTAGAAACGCGTACATACTAAAAGTACACTTAAAGGATAGTATTCACATACACAATTCTTCCTGCTTAAGTAGTCATGAGGAGGCTTTGCTTCAAGCATGGGTACAGATGGCAGAGAGTGTGTTATCAGTTATGGTTTCATTGGCCCTCTTAATCTAAGCGTTTAAAATGTCAAGCAAATACTGCATTATTTCAGCGTGCCTTTGGTCTGTCAGGTAGCAGAATGGCTATCCCCCTTGGTTTTCTTATATACAAATCTTATCAAAACGTTTTTAAAAGAATGTTTCCAAGTTTTGTTATGTTAGCTGCCTTGGGAGTCCCCATGGGGCAGAAAGGTGAGTTAGAAATATTTTGACTAAAACAAAGGCACTGGGGATTTATCTGGCCCATCCCAGAAGAATGACATAGTCCATATTGGTCCTACGATTTCCTGTCTCCCTCAACTCCAGTCCATTAAAAGTTCAAGCATGAGCTTGAAAAGTTGCATAGGATTGGATGCGACTTACAAAACTGGGTCACAATATTCAAATGCATGCAAAAAGGCTCATGCTGGTACACTCAAAAGAGTGCTGCATACAAACCTTTTAATCAGAACTCACATACAAAACCTTGAAAAAATTGTCTTGGAATACCGATACAGTTTAATTTATTCCCTCTGTTTAATATGCATTGGATAGTAGAGAGAACGAAGCCATGAGACTGAGCTTGGAGTCAGGACAAGTCAGACTCTGGCTTGTTTTCATAAGTATGGAAGGGGAGGAGTGAAGTAAAAGCTTTTCACAAGTGTGCACCAACACACTGAACATTCATGTTAAACCATAGTTTAAACTATGGTTTAACGTAACATAAGAACCAGGAAATAGGTTTGCTGGAATGACAGCAAGGCACAATAATTTCACTCAAACTTTGTTCTGTGTTCTTATTTGAAAGAGAAGGAAACCATGGCAAGGTGAAGATTCTTTCCAGGAAGCCATCTTTCAAACTAAATTTCAGTACATCTTCCAGAATTCCGAAGTGTATAAACCATTTCTGACATTTAAGGAAGATGCACATTGCCTGCAGGTTTTAAAGAAAAACTAAGCAGAAACTGCCAGAATATCAGCAGTCTTCAAAGTCATGCAATTATACAGCTAGCTGGATTTAAAAGGGGGGGGGGGGACTGACAAAACCCACTCCAAATGCTGAAGAATTTTAGTTTCAAATTGTAAGTTTCATGGAACATAGTTCCAGTTTTAGATTTTGTCCCAGATATTAGCATTCCGTTTGTTACTTTAGAAACCTCAAAGCCTCATGCACACTGATAGCTTTATCAATATACTCCACTATGGAAATACAAATCCATTTTGTTGTCACCTCTCTCCAAAAATTCTTTTGACTGAACTCAAGAGACGGCAGATAAGCATGCACTGCAGACTCTCTAGCAAAAAGGAGTTAAGCAGTCAGTCAGTCGCATGTCACATGCATCTATTCTATTAAAAAAACACCACAGAAGTCTGCTCTATGCTGAGCATACGCTTGCAAAGGCTAAAATAAAGGCCATTATCAACAGAAGCTCTTATGCCCATGAGACACAACTGGCAGCTTGTTAGTGGATGCCTACCTTGACACAGATCTCTATGAAAGATGTATCCATTTTCCAAGTCCTGAATTCAAAAAGGGCAATCAATACAAACTATCAAAATAATAGTGAGATGAACTTTAAAAAGTGCAAGACAGACATTGTAAAGCCTTTTGACTACATATAAAATTATATCTACTAAAAGTTGAGTCCTCCTCTAAATATCAGATTTCCTTAAAATTAAATTAAAGCAGCTCTGACAATGTAAGAGTTACTCACAAGACCTTTATTCAAGTTGGAAAATTGCAGACAAGTAATGGTAGTTCTGGTATGTTATTTCACAACCTGGCTTGGTGTAGTACTTTGTGGGGTTGCTTCCCAGGGTAAGAACTTAGGAAAAGCTATTTTCAGTGCAATCCTATGTGTGTCTACTAAGAATTAACACTGACTGAGTTCCATAGGGCTGATTCCCGTACAAGCAGGCATAGGTTAAGAGGCCTTAGACCCAGTTTAAGTCGTTAATATATTATTTACTTCTATTACTACCATTTTCTACAGCTGGAGTACAGTGGATAGAAATAAAGCTTTATACAGTACTTATTTCAAAATTGTGTTAATGTGCAAAGGTGTGGTCTATGGTTGTCAATAAATTCTATGGTGCTACTGGGTGACTGGTACAGTTTGGCATAGCTCAGTGTTTTGTATGCAGAAGGTTTTGGGTTCAACCCACAACATTTTTGTTTAGTCAAGCCTATCCAGATGTTCAGAAAGTAGAAGTACCGTATTTTTCGCTCTATAACACGCGCCCGACCATAACACGCACGTAGTTTTTAGAGGAGGAAAATCCGTAGGCATGCCACCCGTAGGCATTCCCTCCATAACACGCACAGACATTTCCCCTTACTTTTTAGGAGGAAAAGAGTGAGTGTTATGGTGCAAAAAATACGGTAATTTTAATCTATTTTAGTATTTTAACTTCTGCATGTTTTAAAGTATGGTTGTGAATTTTTCATGATTTCCTTATTTTAATGTTTTGTAAACTGCTTTGAAGTTTTTTTACAACCAAGCAGTGTAATTTTTTTTTACAAAATAAATAAAGCACAACTAAATATTTGCCTGAAATTCTGGATGAATGTTGCCAATCTGTGTACATAAAAGAATGCCTGACTCTAAAAAGTTTTTTTTATAATCCTATTTATTTATTTATTTATTTATTTATGCCTCCCATCTAAGTGGATTGCCCCAGCCACTAGGGGCAGCTTCCAACAAAATATTAAAACACAAATACCCCCAACATTAAAAACCTCCCTAATTCATTCAGATACCAGCATTCAAATCCCAGTGCTACCAGAAATTGTGCAGCCTTGGTAAATTTAATTCTTTTCCTTGGCCCCTCATAAGTAAAATAGAAGTACTAGAGACCCAACTCCAGGATTTTTGCAAAAGCAGCACTGCAAAGTTTTTCTTTCTTTCTTTCTTTGTATGCAAATATTACTAGTAATGTGAGAAATTCAGTTGTGAATACTCCACAAATATTCTTGCTTGGTCTGGGAAATTATTACCGGTAGTTTTTATGCAGGAAAGAGAACAAGCCTATTTCTCAATTTTGAAGGACTGTATACAAGTTTTGAAGATATTTGTAGTATCCCTGACATTGATGGAGACTGCAAGTGCTCCACTCTTCCTATGAAGCCAGGTTAAACATTGGGACCAAATGCTATACCCATGAGATGTTACATACTTTCATTTTCTAATATTTACAGCTATCAAGTAGTAGTTTAAAATCAAGCAACACCAAGACACTAAAGTTTCTCCTTTTAACTGTTCTAATGTCATGAAGGGCAGCCACCAAAGGCACCAATTGGTTACCCTGAAGTGCTTAATTAAAATGAACTAAAAATCACTTGGTAAAATCTGCTAGACGAGCAGAGAAGAAATGCTCACATATTGGGCCAGTGTCTGGAGTCAGTCTCTCACTCTTGTTTATGGAGGGAGATGATAAGCAGGCCCAGCACATCAGCAGTGCAGGCGCTGACTGCCAAGGGTGCATGGGGTCTGCTTTGCCAGAATGTTTCCAGCAGAACACTTGTTTCTCTGCAGTGCAGCTGGGAGGGCGAGAAAGGAGACACAATGTCTCCTTCCCACCCATCTTCCTGACAGTATGGGGTTAAACAAAACCAGTTTAACATTAGCCCAACCCCCTGCACTGATTCTGCGCAGGGGCAGGTGCTCCCTGGGTGGGGCTGAGTGCTTGTGGACACAGCCATAGAAACTAGCAAGTTGCATTATCCATTTAAAAATCTCAGCAGTTTTTGGTTTCTGCAAATTCCTGGGCAGCGCCACATACTTTCTGCTAGTCATACACAAGTAAGGAACCAGCAACAACTTATGTGTGGCTCAGACTCCACCCTCAGACTTCCCAGTCGTACCATAAAGAGGAACGCAATGTAGTATCTGCAGGAGGGATAATGCAATGCGTAGTTAAGTACTGATGTGGTACAAGGCATGTTTCAGCTCACTGGATTATGTCCAAGACGAAATCCAATGAGCACAAGTGCTTAGAATAAAAAACAAAACAAAGCAAAACTCACATGTTTTAGATAATTTTCACCAAATTTGCATTTAATCCCAGCTATTTCAGAGCTAGGTAATTAACATTAAAATGTCTGTTTCAAGACACCTTAAGGCTGATTAACCCAGGGGTGGGGAACTGTTTTCAGTCTAAAGGCCACTTTCTCTCATGGGCAACTTTCTAATAACCACATGCCAGCGATTTGATAAAACCAGAAGCAAAAATGGGCAGGGTCAGAATGGGCAAAACAATGGAAGTGACTCTTACCTTTGCATAATACGCTACATTCCAGTCATGTAAAAGTCTAAAGGTTTTCTCTCTCACACACACACCTTCACTGCCCATTCAGGTGAACAAGTAGCATTACCATAGTTCAAGGACAGTTCCAGCCAGGCAAAAGCACTTGAGGGTGCAGAGCTTCTCTCGTCAGGGTGAAATCTAGGCAGAGTCTGAAGGCGGCGGCGGGGGGGGGGGGGTCCTAGACTCCCCAGCCCTGAATAAACCTTAAGATGCCTCTGAATCATTTTGGCAAGTTCTCCTCCATGTTACATGCCATGTTGTTCAGGGTGGACCCCTGACACTCCAGAGGTTTTTTCGTAGGGAGCAGGGAATTGGTAAGTCCCCTCCCACAACCATCCTTTCACCTGTGATTCTCAGAATCCAACCCCATTACTTTGCTTCGGGACTAGTTAACAACAGAAAAGTATTTGGATTATGTTTTGAAGAACTTCCTCAAGACCATTGTCTATACTCCGTATAAAGAGATCCAAATTCTATTAGCAAAATGACAAAAACGTAAGATTACACAACTAGTTTCCAATTTTAACATATTTAGAATAAAGTTATATACAATACTTGATGTTTTGCAGAACGTCCTATTTTTTAAGTTATAAGGAACATCACATTAACAGCCAGAGGATGTTGCAGTAAGCAAACAGCAATAGAGTGTATAGGGAGGAGGAATATTATTGGAATGTGAGGTTACTGACTGGTCATCATACAGGATAAAGAAGAACTTGCACCTAACATTTAAACTTTCTAACACTTCAAATACTACTTGCATGTTTCAAATGTACCTCCATTTACCATAGATGAAAGAGAAGGCACACAATTGCATAGAACTGCATAGATACACCCAGCCACTTTGCTTTAGTTATTTATATGCTTGTGAGATACTTTTTGATATTCAGTACATAGACATATGCCAATACTTGAATTCAAGTCTAATAATAATAATAATAATAATAATAATAATAATTTATTATTTATACCCCATCCATCTGGCTGGGTTTCCCCAGCCACTCTGAATGGCTCCAAACAGAATATTAAAAACACGAAATCAAATGAAGTGCCATATTTAAAGGCCAGTATTTCTAAATGGGAGCAAAGCTTTTTACACAAGGCCACAGGATCACATGCTCTCCTCTTGGAGGAACAGCCTAACTAAACCTAACTGTAGTTAATGATACACCAGTATTTGCATTTACCACCCTCACTAATGACTAGTGCTCTCTCTCAATTAGGATTTAAAGTCAGCTTCAAACTGTGGTTTCAAATCCAGGTCAGCAATAGCTACCAAGGCAGGTGATGGATTCATGCCAAAGAAAGAATACGTAAACCTGCTCCCTTTGTATGTGACCCACACTTTAGAAATACCCACAACTGAATCTGCATCATCTACAAAACTCACTTAAGGATTAATCCCTCTTCCCAAGGAAAACTGAAAACTGCAATTCTGTGCTGGCAGGGCAAGTTTTTATAATACGGCATCTCACAAAACCACAATCACAGAATCATAGAATTGAAGAGTTGGAAGGGACCTCGAGCGTCATCAAGACCTACAGGGGAAAACCTTGGCAGTTCAACTGGTGTGAATTTGATAACCTTTGATTGTGCCAATATGCCCAGGCAGAATAATTGTAAGCTTTGTAAATAGTGTGGGTCAAAAGTGGTATGTCAGAGGTTGAAGCGCTAAAAGCCATATTGGACGCTGCTCATGAACTGGGAAATATGAATGCCAAGGCTCTTTAAAAGCTGGAAATTTGCCGCCATCACCTATGGAATGGCATGCACTCATAGCCAACAGTGTGAATTTCATCTGTTCTCCAGTTCACTGCCAGCATCTGCAGTAGAAGACCATTTGCTTTGCTTTCTGAAATGGCCCAGGGCCCCACAATAAACCAAAGCTCGTGTAGTCTTGGCTCTACAGTAGATGCTTGCTGAGTAAGAGCCCAATAAGTTCTTAGCTAATTTTTGCCCCGACGTCACCAATGCACAACGTTATCGCATGTATTTTGGAATGTAATCTGCTGCTCGCGCCCCACGGCTACAATCCTATAGGCCATCTGGTGAGCTGGATGCACAACAAGGTCACTAGCTTTTTCTCCCCACCTTCTCTCAACAACAGTTTATGCACAGCTTGACAAGTCACTTTGGAAACCAGGCGAGTTCGAGAAGTGCTCTGAAGACTCAATCTTTGAGGGGAAAAGGTCAGAACCTCTGCTGTGCATGCCTAAATGAGCCCTCCAAATTGAAGTCTGCAGTTGCAGAAATTTGCTCTCTCTTACATTACCAACTTGCTTCTACGACAAGGATTACTGAAAGATAGATAGTAAATACCTTTTAAAGCTAGCAGCTTCTGGAGTTCTCTGTTATTGGCAAGATTAAATCTTGAGGAACTCTGCCGTTTTTCTTTCTTCACTACAGGTTGTACAGGAGGTGTTTTGATTTTAGCTATCTGTGTTGCAGGTACAACGGTGCTGCTGGATTTTTTGCTTGCAACCTGTATATAAAGAATAATTAAGACTTCTTAAACAGAAGCAGTCAAACAATATAAAAGCAGTCAACAATAGTTTTCACTTCTAATACCATTAGCACTAACTCCGAAGGGGTTTTCTTTTTTGGCTATCACCACATATTTAAACCTATTTTAGAAAACCTTAAAGGGGACAAGTCCATAATGCCAAGAGACAGTCTCAAAAAGGTAACAAGTGCTGTAAGATTTGCTACACCCAATACATGATCCAGAAAGGAAGCATCTTTGAGAAAATACCAATGTTCTTTACTTTAGGCAAGCTTTATGAAGCCTCTATTTTTGGCCCTTGGTGTGTCTATTTCACAAAAGCATAAAAATAAACCACAGTGCACATCTGATTGGACACCTGGATTGCCAGCAGTACATGTGAAAAGGATCTAGAGGCCTTGATGGACCACAAGCTTAACATGAGTGTGATGCAGCAGCAAAAAAAGTTAACACTATTCTAGGCTGCATCAACAGAAGTATAGTGCCCCAGGTCAAGAGAAGTAATAGTACCATGCTATTCTGCCTTGGTCAGAACACATCTGGAGTACTGTGTCCAGTTCAGGGCACCTCAATTTAAGGAGGCTATTGACAAGCTGGAACATGTGCAGAGGAGGGCAACCAAGATGATCAAGGGTCTGGAAACCAAGCCTTATGAGGGAATTGGGTATGTTTAGCCTGGAAAATAGGAAACTGAGAGGAGAAATGATATCTAAATGCCTCTCACATGGAGTTTCTCCTGCTCTCAAGGATAGGACCCAAACCAATGGATTCAAGTTACAAGAAAAAAGAATCCAATTAAACATTAGGAAGAACTTTCTGACCGTAAGAGCTGTTTGACAGTAGAACAGACTCCTATGAGAGGTGGTGGCTCTCATTCCTTGGAAGTTTTCAAGCAGAGGTGGGATGCCATCTGTCATGTATGATCCAGTTGAGATTCCTGCATTGCAGGGCGTTGGACTAAATGACCCTCGGGGTCCCTTCCAACTCTTCAATTCTATGATTAATGACTTTGTTTAATGTTGCATGCTGCTATACACATTCCAAAAGGATAGGGAGGCAAAGTGTCTAAATATGTCTCTTTAATACCCATGAGGTTCAGCAAGTCTATGATCCATGGACTTTGAAGAAAGAACTACGCTTGAAGAGCAGCTGTTAAGAGGTTAGTTCGCTGACTTTCCTGAACCTTTAAATTAGAATTGAGAACTTACTTTGTACCTGCATTATGGTATTAGGTAAAGTACACATAGCATTTCAGATTCCAAAAAGCAGTACTTTGTTTACAACAAGCTTGCATCTATTTTTAACACTCTTTGCTGTCACCTTCATTTTAAAGAGGGAAAACCGCTCATCAAAGTACCCTGTGTATAACTGAAAATCAATGCCTACTAGCATTTTTCTCTGAATAAAAGCTTACGGGTTGGGGCTTAACAGCAAGTAGAGTTGCATCAGTAGACTCTTCCCCCATTGCTGCTCCTGCCCACCCCAAAGGGAACAGTATGGAACCTCTCTATTTCCTAAAGAAGAAAAAGTTGCTTTAACCTCAGGAGAGAGTGGACTATGGATGAACTCTCTGAACTATGTTTGCATTTTCTTCCAATAAACACTTTCTTTCTCATGACTAGTGTACTTTACCTTCTACAGTGGTCTGCTGTCACACCCCCTCATAATTAATATTGTCAGTACTGTAGACCCAAAGGAATATGCAAGTTAATACTTTGCCCTCAGGCAAGGAAGGGGGGGAATCCATGGAACTTGGTGTCTTTTTAATAAGGATATTCAATGAATTGTAAATAGGTGTACCGTATTAGTCACACCACAAAGGCTCTTTGGGCACTTGTGAGCAGGGTCTGCGCACAGAAGGCTACTTAATGACAACTCTAAACTAATTACATCTGATATGATGCAATTGTGACCATCAGTACTTAAAAAAAGATGAGGTCAGAAACAGATATAGCTGCTGCACCAACAAACTGTGGCTTTCCATCGCCTCCTCTCCTCCTAGATGGTAAAGTCCAGTACCACAAAACAACAGTAGACTGCTGCGTTTCCCACCCTGCTCTACTTAGTTGCTGCTTGTGGTGTCAGAAAAACTCAACAGTGTAACGACACCACACTTTTTTAATATATTCTACTTTTGGAATCAGCCAAGCAGCTCCCGCTTTATGTAGTTCCAGCCTAACAGAATATAAAAGTTCAGCTGCAACCCTGGCCATGAATTCATTTTTAATTGGACTTCAGAGAAGTTGCATGAGATGTTTGAAATATGTTACCCATTTTACTAGTGCTTTCAGATCTACAGAGAAGATAACATAAAAGTAAGCACCACCATGAATTCAAATAAAATTATAAGATTTATATAGGTGTCTATAAATAAAATATTTGTGGGATGCTGCCACTTGTGTTCTCCTTGTTCTTTGAATAGAGGACATTCTCTAGTCTTCACAATCTGGCATTTTTCACAAAGCACTTGAAACAAAACAACATATGCTAGTACATTTCCAGAAAGAGAGGCTTAAGATTATACGTAAAATTAGCCCAAAGTACTCAAGACAGATACTGGGGAAGAGAAAGGTGGAGAGGTTAAGCCAGGGAATATTGGACCATGGGAAGGCGTCAAACCACCCAATTTCTGCTTTTGAAATAAGCTTTGATTTTTGCACGCCACAGACATTACAACCAGTTGAATGGATATAAGATTTACCACCTAGCTAATAGATAGCTGCTGTTAAGAAGGCTAAGTGAAGCCAACTTCCATACTGAGCCTTTGGCCCATTTACTTGTGCTTCGTCGTGTAAGCATATGTGATTGTAGTGCCGATTCTATTTTCTGGGAAGCATCCAAGTGTATGGTTTCTGTGTACAGTGGTGCCCCGCAAGACGAATGCCTCGCAAGACGGAAAAACCGCTAGACGAAAGGGTTTTCCGTTTTGAAGTTGCTTCGCAGGACAAATTCCCCTATGGGCTTGCTTCGCAAGACGAAAATACCTTGCAGTTTTGAGATTTTTTTCGCTTTCCCCCTTTATCTAATCTGCTAAGCCTTTAATAGCCTTTAATAGCCTTTTAGCAGCTAATCCCTAAGCCTTTAAGCCTTTAATAGCCGCTAAACCGCTAATAGCGCTAATAGCGCTAATCCGTCAATGGGCTTGCTTCGCAAGACGAAAAAACCGCTAGACGAAGACTCTCGCGGAACGGATTAATTTCGTCTTGCGAGGCACCACTGTATCCCTTTGTTCCCTAGCCATCAGAAATGGCGCCAGGAGAGTCTGGTAGAGCTCTGCATTGTATAACACACAGAACATTCATTTAGCAAGGAATTTTTGCGCTTTTCTTGCATCACGCCTTTAGCCATTAATGGCACTTCAGAATATGCACTCACTATATATTTTCATATAACGAGACACAATTTCATACTGGAGACTAAAATGGTTCCCAGTATGCTGATAATTAATTTCTTTTTACGAACATGTACACAAAACAGATTAATATGTATTCAGACAATTTTTTAAAAATGGAATATTTAATTGTACCTGCACTATCGTCTTACATTCCAATATGCACAATTATTCTGCCAGTAACAATTTAAGTGCAGAAACACTTGCATGTTACAGTCCTTGTGGTTTTAGCAACGAAAGATTATCTGCTGTGGGTGCTAGCCACCCCATGGCTTTGTTTGCATGATCAAATCCTGGCTTGTTAAATCAGGATATGTACAAGCTGTATGCACATGCAGACAGCTCCTTTTCCACCACATTGATTCTCCCTTTGTGTGAACGGTAAAAATAAAATAAATAAAAAATGAGACAGGATTCAGAAGTCAAGTTTAAACCATGGCTAACTTCATTTCCTGGGTCGCTTCACCACCCACACAAAGTGAGGACTAAAGCAGCAGCAAAGCGGGGATGTGTGGGTGCATACCGCTCATGCGTATCCTGGCTGATTGTGCAAATGTGGCCCATATGTTCAGCCACATCGCTGTCAATTCTCCATTCTCTCTCCATCCTCCTTTCCCCAGCAACATAGGTTGTCTCTACAGCTCCTTCTCTTCGCAAATCTTATACCAGCTGTCACTGATGCGACAGCTACGCTCATTTCTGGACCAGAAGAGCTTGGCCGCAGTAATTTAGGCATTGGTAACTTCTCAAGACTGGATTACTGCAATGCACACTCTATGTGGGGCTTCCCTTGTGCCTGAGCCAGAAACTGTGCAAAGTGCTTCAGCCCAGCTGCTGACAGGAATGAGAAGCTGTCTAGATGAGAAACACCTCTGCTTAAAGAGATCTGCACTGGTTGCCCATTTGCTACTGGGCCAAACGCAAGGTGTTAGTATATAAAGTATTAGCTGCTTAGCACCAGTTTACTTGCAGAATCACTCCGCCGCTTCAATCTGTGGAAATGGTACGTGTTTTATCCCTTTTTCCATTATGGTTTTAATAATCTTTCAAATGTTTTTAATGTTTTATTTTATATTTGTGCAAAGAGGTTTCCTTATTATCAACTGGCATATAATTTTTGGTGAAATAAAGAGGGAAGCAGATTTTCCTCTCAGATTTTCCTCTGGGAGCCACAAGGGATCATATGAACACATGTCTAGCTGACACAGAAATCACCCTCTTCCTCCAACATGCACAGCAGAAGCTAGTCTCCCCATGCATCGGAAGAAGTGGGCAGAAACAGCCAAGTATTCTAGCCCCAAGTCACAGGCACAGTATCTATCCTGTCCCACTGATTTGATTCTCGTCTGGGAAACAGCAAGTCTGCTTGCATGCAGCACTAGCAGGTCATGTTGAAAATTAGGTGCAACAGGGCACCACCCATGCTGCACCACCAGCATACAGGAAATACAACGAGGCTAGGTGTATACTATTACATCAAACCCCTTTGAGTACTATCCGGCTGCAGTAACAGGGCAAACACTTTGGAAACTTTTAAAAGGACAGAGAGATTGGGGGGGGGGCTCGTTTAATTTCACTGTAAACAAGTGGCACAGTGACAATAAAGTATTCCTATTTCTATCATGCTTAAAAACATTGCTTAAGTAGTTCAGCTAAAGATTTGACAAAAGCATTAAAGAATGTTAACAGTAACAGACATATTACTTCCCTATGCCTTTTTATAGAATCACAGAATTGTAGAGTTGGAAGGGAACCCAAGGATCATCTAGTCTAACCCCCAGCAATGCAGAAATCTCAACTAAAGCATCCATGACAGATGCCCATCCTAAAAATGCCTCAATAGTAACACATTCCAAGTGCTGAAATGAGCATTTGTCAGCACACAGAAATGCCAAACCGAATCATTTTAAAACATAAAATGAGAAAGCTGTACTTTCATAAAAAATAAGACCCAATGGAACTTTTGTATAGGCAAATGTGTACATGATTGCGGCCTTAAGAACAAATCTGTAGAAGGTACAGTACATTTGGCAGTCTTTCATAAGACAGTCATTTCCAAGAGTCTATGCATTGTATCCAACTAACGTCCACTCAGGGTAGAATTCCACTGGAATTAATGGACCTAAGTTAGTCATGCCAATTAATTTCAATGGGACTACTCTATTAAAAACTGGTACACCACCATACTTGTAAAAGGCAAAAATATAGATCCCCAATCATTGTAGCGCAATTTTCCTAAATGTTCAAAGCACCTGAAGTGTATTAGCTCAATATTTTTTACAACAATCCTGTAAGGTAAACCAGGCAGGGAGAACTAACAAACAGAAGTTTGCCTAGTTACCCAGAAGTTCATGGTAAAGAGAACAAGCCCCATTGAGAGTGTTTTACTCTTAAAGGTGGCATACAGGTCAAAACTGAATTTCTTAACTACAAAGAAAAACACTGAGGAACAATTTTTAATCACACTTTGAGAACTTCACATTACTGCTTCTCACAAAACAAGGTCACTAAGGCACTTCACTTAATAATAATAATAATAAATTTTATTTATATAACGCCCTCCCCAGCCGAAGCCGGGCTCAGGGCGGCTAACAACAATAAAACAGTACAAAAGTACAGCATAAACAACATTCTAAAATCATTCATTATAAAATTAATTAATTCAAGCCACTGGCAACCATTGGGCCCTCCGCGAAGATTGCCGAGGGAGGGAGTCAGGCTGTGCCCTGGCCAAAGGCCTGGTGGAACAGCTCTGTCTTGCAGGCCCTGCGGAAAGATGTCAAGTCCCGCAGGGCCCTGGTCTCTTGTGACAGAGTGTTCCACCAGATCGGAGCCACAGCCGAAAAAGCCTGGCTCTAGTTGAGGCCAGCCTAACTTCTCTGTGGCCTGGGACCTTCAAGATGTTTTTATTTGAAGACCGTAAGTTTCTCTGTGGGGCATACCAGGAGAGGCGGTCCCGTAGGTACGAGGGTCCTAGGCCGTATAGGGCTTTAAAGGTTAAAACCAGCACCTTAAACCTGATCCTGTACTCCACCGGGAGCCAGTGCAGCTGGTATAGCACCCGGTGAATGTGATCTCGCAGCGAAGACCTCGTAAGGAGTCTCGCTGCAGCATTCTGCACCCGCTGGAGTTTCTGGGTCAGTCTCAAGGGCAGCCCCACGTAGAGCGAGTTACAATAATCCAGTCTGGAGGTGACCGTCGCGTGGATCACAGTGGCTAGGTCAGGGCGAGAGAGGTAAGGAGCCAACTGCTTAGCTTGGCGGAGATGGAAAAATGCCGCCTTTGTTATAGCTGCAATCTGCGCCTCCATGGAAAGGGAGGTGTCGAAGATTACACCCAAACTCTTAACGGACGGTGCTGGCACTAATTGCGCCCCCGCAATACTTTTTAGTTTTTAACTGAGAAGTTGCTAGTGATCACAAGAGGGACTGAAAAGCACTGCCAAATATCAGCAAAGGAATTTATAAAACATCAGTGTAAACATTTCTGAAAGAAAGCAAAACGTTTAAATTTGTAACATTTACCTCCATGTCCAGATTATCTTGCACATCTTTGCTACTTTTCCCACTTTTCCCTGCTTTCGGAGGTTCCTGAAATTTACAGAGACATGTAAGTTTCCCCTACTTAGAAAAAGAAACAGTACAATTTCAGTTACAAAATCCATGAAATAAAATAAATGGCAACACATGCTTACTATAAAAGAGAAGATGTTGGGTTTCCATTTACTCTCTCTTAGCAAGCAGCATAGTTTTCAAATCAAGCTCAACTACCCCAATGCAAGTAAAAGGAAACGTACAATAGTTTTGAAATTTCAAGGAAAGCTGTCAGAAAGGAGATGCAACAGGGATGGGCAATAAAGCTGCAGAAAGTATTATGGCAACCAACCACTGCTTTCTAATTTTTAAGAACAGCTTAGAAATCTGGACAGAGACACTGGGGTCTGAGCAATTTCAAACCCTGGAGAATTATAAGGAGGCTGGATGGCCACAGCTAGTACAGAAGAAGCTCAGGGAATATATCCTACAGTTGCAAAGATGCAACAGGTGATCCATGACATCACCTTTAGTACAGTGGTACCTCGGGTTACATATGCTTCAGGTTTCAGACTCCGCTAACAGAGATATTTTACCTCGGGTTAAGAACTTTGCTTCAGGATGAGAACAGAAATCGCGCAGTGGCGGTGCAGCGGCAGCAGGAGGCCCCATTAGCTAAAGTGGTGCTTCAGGTTAAGAACAGTTTCAGGTTAAGAACGGACCTCCGGAACGAATTAAGTACTTAACCCGAGGTACCACTGTACCTCGATCCTGAGGTCTACTTTAAACTTTGACCCCATGTGTTCAAACTGAAAACTATGTACAACAGAGAAGAAGAGAAGACATGCAAGTTCAAGGCTCACTCCCATAACTTTGTATGTTTATGACAGCAGGACTAAAGTGTAAACCAGACCTGAGACTTTCCCCTCCCCAGCACTTCAGAACACACCTGACAATCAGAACCCAGGTTAACAGCCATCACAGAACACCTGGATTTGTCCTTCCCCTAAATTTATCGGGATTTACCGTATTTGGCCTGTGCTACAGCCATTTTTGTCTGTTGGGAAACAGTGAGATACAAAAGATAGAAGACAGAGTGCAATAAGCACACAAATTCTGAACAGATGTGCAGATGTTGCATGGAATTCAACACTACAGGGTCCTGTTAAGTGGAAGAGGAGCCTTTTATCACAGTTTTAGCACTAAAACAAGACTTCTTGGAATGTCTGAAAGAGGCCAGGTTTCTGCCTCAGTTACCCTGTCAATTAGGAGACAAAGGACAGGTTTTACTTAATGTGCCCAGTCAATGGAAGCCCCATACAAGGATTTTTGCTTGTGCAATAGTTTCCCCACCTCCAGAACCACACACATAGGGAGGACCATTCCATCTGGCAAGCACAGCCTGATCCTATGTATGCTTATTCAAAATACATCTCATCAAGCAGCAGCACTTACCCCCAAGTACCTGTGGATAGGATTGCAGCATTACTTAAGATTTATGCCTAAACATCACTCACTTCCAAGCAATCAGGTCTGTGGCAAGATGCCAATATGTTTCCCTACCCAAGCAGGAGGATGACATGTTAAACCTTAACATTTGTTTTAATTGCCTCTTTTTGCAAATACATGACAGAGCCAAATTCAAAAAGCTGACAAGCATATCTGGAAGTTTGCTAGGACATGCCCCAATTAAAATATAAATAAACAAACAACACCGATTCCACCATACCAGCTCTGTTGTGTATTTCCCACTGGCCTTACCCATGCCAGCCTTTGGCATTACAGACTTCCCTCTCCCCTCCAAAAGAAACCCACCCACTTTTTAGCAAGAAACACGCGACATCTCCAGAAACCAACCTCAAAGCAAGGGGTGCTGAGCTGCCCTAAGCCTGCTGCAACAACGACTAAAAGACTTAACTCCCGCGCCACAAATAAACCTGTTAGTCCTTAAAAAAAAAAAAAAAGCCACAAGACTCTTTGTCGCTTTATCCCCCAAAGTACAAACTCGTGCCTCTTGCCCTTTTGTTACCCTTTTCGAGATCCGTGTGGGAGCCTGCTCGTAAATTAATGAAGCGCGTGCGCGGATAATAATGGAAGGCGCGTGTCTTATGTATACGTGTGTACACAGGGACGCGCGTGTTTTAACAAATCTTCAGGGAAGAAGCAGCAGCTGCTCTCAGGAGGTACACCTTGTGTGGCTTTTCAGACCACCCTCCCCGAAGCCCTGCTAGTACTAGCGAGCCCCCCCCGGACCCCCATAACCCCCTTTCCCACCTCCCAAACTCCAGCTTCCCCCGCAGGCCTGCCTGCACCCCGCCAGCGACACCCTCCCCGGGGCCTGCTCCTCTCCCAGGACCTCCTCCAGCTCGCGCCTCCTCCTCAGGCCTGACCTGGCTCACTTTCTCCTTCTTGTTTTTATTCGGCATGGCCGGCTGGGTGGGCGGCTGGGGGCCCGCCAGGCCGGAGAGTCTCAGCCTCCCACGGCGGGGACGGTGGCTCCCCCTTCCTCTTCTTCCCCGGGGCTGCCGCTGCTACTTCACCGGCCGGCCAGCCGGCCTGCCTCGCCTCCCTCCCGGCGGAAGCTTCTCCCCTCTTCCCTCCCCCCCCAACCAGCCAACCACCCCGCCTTCTCGGACTCCCAGGAGCGGCGGCGGCGGCAAAGGAGAGGGAGGGAGGAGGCGGAGGCCTCAGTCGGCAACTCTCGCTCCACGGCGGGGCGGGGCCCCTCCTCCATTGGCTGCGCCGCGTCACGTGGCGCCAACGTTGCTCTTCCTCCTCCCCCTCCTCCCCGGTACCTTCCACGTCCCCTCCCCCTCCCTGACGCCGACGCCGCTTTGGCGGAAGAGGCAAACTTCTCCTCACGAAGCCGCGGCGGGGGGGGGGGCGAGTCTGTTTCCCGCCCTTTTCCCCGCCTGCCTGAGGGAAGGAGGAGAAACAGAGAAACCTCAGCCCTATCGCCCCCAAACTGTGGCGGGATATGGGGTGGGTGGGAGAAAAGAGAGAAGGATAGTGAGCGCATCATATGTGCCATGCGTGCCGTCTGTTCTTTGCCTGAAGCCCTCAGGTGTGTTTTGTGTCCCATTGCCAGCGATTGAAGCTGCTGGTCTGGTCAGGTGTACATGAAATTAAGGAGTGCCATCTTGTCATTTGTCTCAGGCAGCCTTGGATCAGCCTTGTCTCAGCTAAAAGACTACCTAAAGCAGTGGTTCTCAAAACTTTTTTCCCTCTTGGCCATACTTTCAGAATAAAACTTTGATCGTGTCACGCTGAATTTTTTTTTTTATTCATAAGACATCCACCGGAAAACACAACTAGGATGGTCCTCATTATCAATCTTAATGCTCTTGCTCTTTTTGGAAAAAAATAATCCATATTCTGCAAATTAAAAAAGAAAGAATGATACTATACTACACTGAAATGTTAAAATGTTTATTTTATCGTCCTTGAATCTCCTCCACACATGCCATCCTCTCTTGCCACACCAATGTGGTGCACTACACCCTTTGAGAACCGCTGTCTTAGAGGAATGTGGCCTTAGAAGCTCTCTCTTTACGACTTTAAAACATGTTGTAGGGTAATGAAAATCTGTCCTACCCCCTCTGTTTATTTTGACATAGGACATCTTCCCTGGGAAACTGTTTTTCATTTGTTACACAAATGAAATTTGTTATTCAATCTCTTTTGGAAGCACCCAGTCCAGTGTTTGAGTATTTGGTAGTGTATTTTGGGGGAATAAGTTCCCTGGTTACTGCTGTACTGTACATTTCAGGAACAAAATGAGACAACCATGTAATTAAACACACTGAGCTGGCAGTCCATAAAGGAGCAGGTGGAGATCAGTAGCTTTAGTCACATAACTTGGCCGGTGTTTTTTAAAAAAATGCTTTGTAGTAGTCTTGTGGGCCAACTTACGCAGATGTAAGCTACGCAAAGAAGAGAGCACCACCTGTACAATCTTTCTTTACTTTGCCAGTAGCGTTTGTTATACATGTAAACAAACGAACTGTATTACGAGTCCAGGAACAGAATGCTATCATGCTAGGAGTAGCAACAAAATAACTCTGCATATACTGGGATTTCTGAACTTTTTATCTTTGGCTCTGGAATATCAACTTCCCTTTCAAACAATATTGCACATATAATTTACAGCCTAATCTTATTGATCCAGTTTAGCTACAGCAGCACAACCAATGGGTTGGATCCAAAGAGGCATGAGATAAAGAGAAACAGCAGCTCCATAAAAGCTTGAGCAAGAATCCACACACAACATTATTCAAGGTAGATTCCATAGCTGATCTCACGCGTCCAATTGCACAAACAACAGTTGCAAGTTGCTCTTGTGCAAGTAGAATAATATATTATGTTAACAACATGATTAGTAAATCTCATCACAGGTTTTTAAAAATTAATTACTAGCGGGGGGGGGGGGAGCATGCTTGACACTGGCACCACAGCACACAGGGAGGAGCGATCTTGGAAAAGCTGTCCCCCCCGCATGGCAAGTAGCATTAGGCAAAACCTCCCATTGGTGCCAAATGCTAATTTACTGAGACTGCAGCTGGGAAGAGGTTTAAACCTCCCCTCCTGTCACACTGAAGCACCAATGACAATTCGCCACATACACACCTGCACCTGGTGCATGTGTGTGTGTGTGTGTGTTTATATATACATACACACACACACACACACACACCCTCAATATGATTGCTAATCATGCCATTAGCATAATGTGTAATTAGGCCCTGAGTTTCACTTTTCTCAAACAGTATTCTAGTGCAAAATATAAAACAAGCCTTCCATTAACAGAATGCACCACCTGCATGTGGTAAACATAAAGGACCCCTGGACGGTTAAGTCCAGTCAAAGGTGACTATGGGACTATGGTGCTCATCTCGCTTTCAGGCCAAGGAAGCCGGTGTTTGTCCACAGACAGTTTTATGTGTCATGTGGCCAGCATGACTAAACTGCTACTGGCGCACGGAGGACCGTGCTGAGTGCCAGAGTGCACGGAAACGCTGTTTACCTTCCCGCCGCAGTGGTACCTATTTATCTACTTGCACTGGCATACTTTCTAACTGCTAGGTTGGCAGGAGCTGGGACAGGGCAACGGGAGCTCACCCCTCTGAATGGATTCGAATCGCTGACCTTCCGATCAGCAAGCCCAAGAGGGAGCATGTGGAAGAAGACCAGTCCATTGACTTTTGCTGTGGACTCTATAGCTCCCTGACCATATTGGCTGTGAGTCCCAGAGGACCTGTTCCCTCTATTGCAGGCCTTTTCCCACCAGGCCTGGGAGGGCAGGGTTTTGATTGACTCCAACTACAAAAGCTGAGGCTGCTGAAGAAGCCAGAGACCATCTTGGGTGTCTCTTAGTCCAGACCCAAGTCATGCAAACTAAGGCCCGGGCCCGAATCTGGCCCAATCGCCTTCTATATCCAGCCCGCAGATGGTCCGGGAATCAGCGTGTTTTTACATGAGTAGAATGTGTACTTTTATTTCAAATGCATCTCTGGGTTATTTGTGGAGCATAGGAATTTGTTCATTCCCCCCCCCCAAAATATAGTCCAGCCCCCCACAAGGTCTGAGGGACAGTGGACCGGCCCCCTGCTGAAAAAGTTTGCTGACCCCTGACCCAGACCCTCCAAGTGTGGCTATTTTCCAGGAACATCCCTGATTTAGAGAAGCCACCCTTGTTTCTGATTTGATCTCGGAATGTCCCACTTTTCCTTAGGATGTCCCTATTTTCACTGGAGAAATGTTGGAGGGTATGGAGTTATATGACCCCCGAGCCATCTGAAGGCAATCCTGCATAGGGAAGTTTTTTAAAATGTTTAATGTTTTATTATGTTTTCATATATGTTGGAAGCTGCCCAGAGTGGCTGGATCAACCTAGTAAGATGTTTGAGGTATAAATAGTAAAATTATCATTATGGAATGGGATGTCCCTATTTTCATCGGAGAAATGTTGGAGGGTACGTGAACCACCATTGGCAGGACTGGCAGCAACAGCAGCTGATATGTTTCATGCTTATGATACTATTTCATTCTTTTGCCAGTTATGCACATTTTATATTTGAATTACTTTGGTAATGTTTTATTTTGAAATCTTTAAGATAATATTTTGGTTTCCTGTTAATTATGCTGCTTTTAATGTATACTTTAAATTTCATAGAATCATAGAATTGTAGAGTTGGTATAGAAATGAAAAGAAAAATGATGATGCTGACGAATAAATGAATTTTACAAACCAACACAGCACCACAACTTCTTCACCACAAATGCCGTGCAATAGCTGTGCCTCATCTGAACAAAAATATAACAACAGAGAACCGTATTATAATTTAAACCAATCTAAAATGTTGTTTATTTTTATTTTTGCATTGGGTTTTATATATTTGGCCCGCACAAGCAGGAGCATGTACCATGTAATTGTGATGTGCCTAGCCCACAGGCTGAATTTCCATTGAATCTGTGCCACAAAGACAAAATGTCAACTTATCCTAATACAAAGGCATGTAACTTCACAGCTGTAAATCATTTGACCTCCTTATGTCTCAGCTCTACGGTAGGGATAAACAAGGACCCATTTATGTATTTATTTAACTACTAGCAAAATATCCATCATTATAATGGGATGTGTTTATGGAGAGGAGGATTACATTTTCAAGGGCACCTTGGGGGAAGCACACCGATAAACATTTTACCTTTCTCAGTCTCTGTCTCCAGACCTGATCCCTGTTGCTAAAGGGCAGCCATCCAGTGTCAGGGACACTCCATAAAAACTTTCCCAAGGGCACCACTTCCCTTATTTCCATAAAAGCAAACAGCAGCTGTTCCCTAAGATGGGAGAATATTCAGGAGTGCCAACAAGAACACTATTAGGGATGGAGGTGAAGCCTGCTTCCTGCCTATGGCGACTCCAGCCTTTGAAAATTAAGCCTGCTCTTATCTGCATAGTCCCACACATTTCATCTGCATAATCCCATTCTGGGTTCTGTTCCCAAGGCCACATCTACACTATACATTTAAAGCACTTTTATACCACTTCGAAAGCACATCAAAGTTCAAGTAGATAAATAGGTACCGCTCCGGTGGGAAGGTAAATGGCATTTCTGTGCGCTGCTCTGGTTCGCCAGAAGTGGCTTAGTCATGCTGGCCACATGACCCGGAAGCTGTATGCCGGCTCCCTCGGCCAATAAAGCAAGATGAGCGCCGCAACCCCAGAGTCGGTCACAACTGAACCTAATGGTCAGGGGTCCCTTTACCTTTTATACCACTTTAACAGTCATGGCTTCTCAGGGGCCACTCTTGGAAGCCACACAGATGGTGATGATTTCATGGCTGCTGTTTCTGTCCCCCTCCCCTGCCTGCCTGCCTGCCAAATCCTTGTTTACTGGCACCGGCACCAAGTAAGGGGGGGCTAAGGCTCCCCGAAAATTATCAACAAAGGGGTCCGGGTCCCCATCCCCCCAAAGTTCTGCGGCAGCCGTGCGCACATGCCATAGGGCATGCTTGCATGTTGTGCTGATGTCACACAGCCCCGGGGCCCCTCAATTGTGGGGGCAAGGCGGCACAACTGTTTACTGGAGTTTTAGGGCTGCAGTACTGGCTTCCAGGTTCTGGGAAAGGGACCCTCCCCCACACTTTTGCTTGCTTATCTGGTGGAATTGGGTTTTGTCCCCTGAGGTTGCTGCCCTGTGGTTTCCCCTAAATAATACTGGGGACACTGTGGTTTGTTAAGGGTGCTGAGAGTTATTTGGAGATGCTTATCCCCCCTCACAGAGCTAAAATTTTCAGGGTGGTAAATCCTATCAATCCCTTTCCCCAGGGGACTTGGGACGCTCAATGATGCCACCCCTGCCCCTCTCAGGAGCCAACAGGAGAAGAGTACCCATTGCGGACAATGTTCTGTATTCAGCGGTCTGTGTTTGCCTGAGCTTCAGTCTAGACTAAGGAATCTGAGCTCCTATGTTCTGATTTGATACATGATGTCCAATCACAGAACATTTCATAATTTGGGCCTCTGCCAATGGCCCTTGAACTCTGAGTTGTGATTCGCAGCTTGGAAGTTTAGACAGCCAATCATGTTGGGAGTGGGAGTGACCCAGGCTTTCAGGAATGTATATAAGCAGTTGCTTTGCCCCTGCTTCCCAGTTATGTAGTTCAATATAGGTTCTTGCTGTTATCACCGTGCCTTGCCTGGTGGGAACCCACCTACACTTCAGACAGCTAGCCAAGGGCTTCCCTAAACCTGGAACCAGCACAGAGGGCAAGTCATAGAGGAGATTAGACTGTACACACATTATACATTTAAAGCACACACACACCCCAAGAATCCTGGGAGCTGTAGTTCATTAAGGGTGCTGGGAGCTGAAGCCGCATGAGTGGAAAACTACAGTTCTCATGTACAGTGGTACCTCGGGTTACATACGCTTCAGGTTACAGACTCTGCTAACCCAGAAATAGTGCTTCAGGTTAAGAACTTTGCTTCAGGATGAGAACAGAAATCGGGCTCCGGCGGCGCGGCAGCAGCAGGAGGCCCCGTTAGCTAAAGTGGTGCTTCAGGTTAAGAACAGTTTCAGGTTAAGAACAGACCTCCAGAACAAATTAAATACTTAATCCCAGGTACCACTGTACTTTAAATGTATGGCATGTATGCAGCCACAGAGTACTGTGAGGCGGCCACAGGAGTCTTTTTCCAGATACAAAAGTCTTCAGGTTGAATCGAGTGGTTGGGTGGGCAGATGGCAGAAATAGGGCAAATAATCCCTCTAGGCCCATCTCTGAGTGTTACTTGAAGGACTGTCTTCATTTCCACAAAACACGCATCTCTTTTTTTTTTTATTCCTGGTTACTGCTCATGCTATTCATGGCATCCAATCCAGTATGAATTGCCATGCATCATGTTTCTAGGATACCATGCAAAGCATCCCTTAAAAAAAGAAAGAAAAGAAAAGCATATATTTCAGGCCAATCAGAATGCAGCTTAAAATATCCCTTAACTATGGATATGTTTTTTAAAAAGCTTTTAAAATACAGTGGTACCTCGGGTTACAGACGCTTCAGGTTACATACACTTCAGAATGAATTAAGTTCGTAACCAGAGGTACCACTGTATTAACCACAATCAAAACATGATGGAGACATTTGCCTCAGACCGGGAGGGGGAAAGATGTGTGAGCAGCTGCTTCACACACACACACACACACAGAGCGAGAGAGAGAGAGAGAGAGAGAGAGAGAGAGAGAGGGAAAGGATTTATGTCAAAACTGAAATGAGACTACAAACTGTGAATAAATTATTGATGGCATTTTATCCTCGGATCAGCAAACTAGATCTCAAGGGTACTCGGGATAATGGATACAGAGGTTTCTGTCTCTAAGTAACTAGTTTATGAAAATGACTTTATGACAGTAGCCCATGTAAAATTAATTACCTGACAGTTTCATTCACAATCCGGTTCCTCTGATGTTGTAAGATTTCACACTGATCCTAAAAAATGTTCAGAGCTGCTGAGGTAACAGGGCACACACTAAGTGGTCTAAGGTCAATATTGCTAGAAGGCAAGGCAAGTTGAGCCATGGGAACACTCAGATTACAGATACAAGCAGGTCTTGATATCGGAACACAATGCATTCTCAGAAAATCATTTGTTAGGTGAGTGCTCACACAATTGATTCCTATAGGGACATTTTTAATGCGTTCC